CATTCACAGAAAGACAAAAATATTTTTTATGTAAATTTACACTCCTTATAGTTCTGACAGTACTGACAATTATTATTATTATTATTATTATAACAGTACTGACAATTATTTTGGAAAATTTTTTAATAAATTTTAAATTAGTAGTACAAGTCATTTTCGATCGGACAACACCGATTTTTTTCAATTTTTTTTTATTATTAATGGCGTCGAAGTAAAAGAGGATACCTATTTTTAGTCAGACAGTAACATACGATTTTTATTTCAATTTTTTCTACTTTTTAAATTAGTACAGTAACAGACAGTTTTAGTTTAAAAATGGAAAAAATAATCGAATATGAAAAAACATTTAACAAAAATTAACTTACCATAAAATTGTTATGAATAAAAAATCATAATTCAATTTTTAAATTTCATTTAATATTCTAAAGGATAAAAATAAATAAAATAAAAATAATTTTATTATTTATGAAAATGTATGAATTGCTTCGATGTGGGTATTAAAAGTTTTGGAATTAATTACATATTTTTTTGAGAAATTAAATTAAAATTGCTTTAAAAACAATTGAATTCTTAGAGAGCTTTTTATTCAAATTTTTAAAACGATGAATTGAATTCTCTCTCAAAAAAATTTATTAAAAATTGTATGTGGACAATAATTGGATTTCTCCAAAGAATTTTATTATTCGATCGTCATGAAAATAATTAAATTCTTAGGAAAGATTTTATAAAAAATTATAATACTTTTAAGAAAATGAACTAAAATTTGATTATTTATGAAAATAATTGAATTCTTGACAAGAATTTGACTCATTACAATTTTTAAAAAATAATACATAAGTAAATAGCAAATTATATTGAATATTTTTTTTCTGTTTGTGATAAATAGTTTGAAAGTTGTGACCCCCACATAAATGCAAGTAACAGGAAATAAATGATGATAAATATGACGAAAATATTGGAAAATAAATTTGTAAAATTCCTCTAATTACGCTATAAAAATGCCTTGACTAAAAAATAAAAGCGCGGAAGTATATAACAGAATCGGAGGGTGATCCATCCGCAAGCAGGCGCGTAATTCCAGCTCATTAAATTCTTGAAAATCTCATACTTCATCTCCGCTCCCTTTCATTTCTTTTAAACAATTTAACAAGTCCCATATATACAGAGCGAGTCGCAGTCACTTTTTTTCCCATAAAATAATGCCCAAACTCTATTCTTTTCACGCAACTATGATTTCCTACGTGAGACTTGTATATTAATCTTCAAAAAGAAAGAAAAAGTAAATATCTTTTTATATTCCAAACATTATAAGAAGAATACCAGCCTTATCTTCACACTTGCATAACTATATAGATTTTTTTTTCTTTTTTCTTAATTAGTGATCGGGAGAATCTAATGAATAAAAAGTGCTATTCATCTTGAAAATTATTTTTTTTCTTTTTTTTCTTTTTTTCTTTTTCTCTTTTCTTTTATCAAAATTTTCTTTTTATTTATACAACTTCCTGTTGAAATAAATGGTTTTAAGAAAATAATTATAAAGAAATAAGATATACGCGTATGTTTCGACAAAATAATTGTACAAGAGAGGAGAAAATTTTCAGAGAGAACATTTTTTATTTTCTTGTGAAATACTTTTTATTGATATATAATTAATTCAGGAGAGAAAAAATTTATTTGATTCAAATAGACGATTAGTTGTCTATTATAAAGAAAATATTTTATTGAATTAAATATTTTTTTTACTTGACTCAAATATATTTTATTTCAATCAAACAAATCTTTACTTGAACCGAATAATTTTTATTCAAGTCAATTAAATATTTACTTGAATCAAATATATTTTTCTTGAATCAAATCATTTTTATTTCAATCCAACAAATATTTAGTCGAATCAAAACATTTCTTATTTAAATCAAACAAACATTTATTGAATTCAAATAATTTTCAAGTCAAATAAAATGTACTTGAACCAATAATTTCAGTATCTTTGAAGCAAATACTAGATTTAATTGATTTAAATAAAAATTATTAATTTGATTCAAGTAAATATTTATATTTGATAATAGACAAGTGAACATCGAAAAATTTTAAAAAAATTTAATTAACTAATATTATCCTGTCAAATTATTAATTAGTACAATTATTACTATTCTACTTGAATCGAAATTATTTTTTAGTATTTAATTAATAATTATTACAATATTGAAATCTTATTTAAAAAAATCAAAAATTAATTTTCAAAGTATTTATAATTTTTGTTATTCTTTATAAAAGACACTAGAAATAGTAAATTAAGTAATAAATAGAAAAATAGAGAAAAAGTTAATTTAAAAAAATAATTAACCGGCGTAGTTTATATTATACTTCCATTATTATTTTTAATTATCAGACATTAAACTTAAGCTACTGGTTAATTATTCATTGAGATACTAATTGCTCATTCTCTTCAGAAATAAAAACAGGTAAAAAATTCTCTTTTTTATACACGATAATTTATTCATAATTTATCAAAATTGTTACACACCTTTTTCAAAAAAAAATTTTTATTTAATTATTTAATAATTTAATTTAAATTTATTTTTTTTATAGAGACACAAAATTATAAATAATTTAAAAATTGCCCTAATGTTTTATTTTTTCATCAAAATTGTTGCACACCTTTTTCAAAAATATTTAATAATTTGTTCATTTCTATTTTTTTCAGACACAAAATTATGAATATTTTAAAAATTGCTTGAATTTTTTTTATTTTTTTCCAATATCTTAACATAATTAAACACTATGAAAGAAATAAATCTATTTGATTCAAATTGACGATTATACTTGTCTATTATAAAATAAATATTTCTATTTAATTAATTAAAAATATTTAAATAGTACCTATAATAATTTGTGTTACAATTAATTTCAATGATTTCCCTTTTCTTCAGAGAGTTGAAAATTGAATTGAATTTTCTAAAAAACGAAATATATTGTTTCGTTTTGAAGAAACGAGAAATTATTGTGATTTAAGATAAACACAAAGTACAAAACTCCTTTTCTATTTTTCTCTGACATTAATTATAATTCCCACAAAAGGAGTATTATAACAATAGACGACCTTCTTAAAAATTTTCTAATTGTTAAATTCACTATTTTTTTCTTTTATTTTTTTCGTGTCTTTTTATACAAGGTATAAAGAAAAACGAGAAAAACGAGAAAAACGAGAAAAACGTATATTTTGCGTATATTACATGCGCGCGCGCGCGCGCGCGAAATGTGTAAGAAAATAATTTTTCCACCTCAAAAATTGAGTAATTTTGCAAAATTAAACTCTTATGCAATATTCGTCTATATGGACCATCAAGTGTTAATGGGAGCTAGTTATAAAATATTATGCCCTCCTTTTATCTTTTCACATTACAATGCATAAATTAAAGAATAAGAGGAAAAAAAATACTCCACTCTCCTGACAGGCTAAACAAATTACAATTTTAAAATAATAGTAATCATAGTTTTGTATAATAATATTGTTCTTGAGATTTTTAAATAATAGTAATCATAGTTTGTATAATAATATTGTTCTCGAGACGGGAATTAAAATAATGGAAAAAAAGTGAAAACTACAAAAGTTGCGTTAGTTCATTATTTAAATTTAGGAAAAATTTATTTATTTATTCATATTCTGCTTTAGAACCGAAAATTTATTGACAAATATTTCATTTACAATGCAATTTATTATTTTAATTTTTAATTTTATTTATGATTTTAGTTCATAATTTATTTTACAATTAAATTCGAGAAGAAAGAATTTTTACATTCATCAATTTTTATAAATTAAACATCGAGAATACTGAAAAGTTTAATATTAATTAATATTTTAATATTGAATTAGAAACGAAAAGAAAGGGACAGTAAAATGTTTTGTAAAAGAAAAATATGTCTTACTTGTGAAGGAAGAAATGGAGAGTGCCGGATAACTTTCACTGGGGGACGATTAAGACTTAAAACAAAAACGGAAGTTAGTACATCTTTTACGCAATAATTTCATGTTTTTTTGGACACTGGAAACTTCTTCAATTTTACAATTAAAAAAAACATTCACCACAATAGCGGTGAGGAAAAAAAATTTATATTTTTGATTTATTACATTTTCTTTATGAATAATAAAAGTTCATAATTAGACAAAAAAATTAAAAGTGAAAAGATTGGATCATATTGTTCACTAATAGCGGTAGTTAAACTTTTTTTCTAATAATTAATTTACATTTAAACGTCAAATTTTCAATTTTCTCTCTTTTTTACATTTACCACAAGATTATCAGTTTTTTCAATTTTTCTTTCAATCGACATTGGCAATTTTTAACAATCAAATTGTTTTCTTTAATTTTTTTTTTAAATAATCTTTTTTTTATATTTTCTTAACTATTCTTTTTCTAATATTTTTTCAACGATTTTTCTAAATATGTAGTTATTCATATAATTAATTAACATAATTATAATATTCAATTTTTTATTATTCTCAATTTTTAACATGTATAAAAATTTATTAATGTAAAAATTCTTCTTTTTCAAATTCAATAAATAATTTAATTTTTAATATAGGTACTTTCAATTTTTTTTTCTAAATCTTTCTTTTCGAGTCATTTTTTTGTCCTATTATTTATTCGAGCGATATTGATATTACATTGTCTATAAGAGATCACTCACGGAAAATTATTAAAATTAAAATATTGTTAACACTGTAATTTTTATTTATTTCGCTTGTAAATCTATTATTTACAATACTTTAAATCTTAAAACAAAGAACGAAATAATTACGATGTCTTAACTGAATCATAATACAAAAATTCGACTAAAATACCAGTAGTATTAATAATTATATTTTTTTGTGTGAATAAAATTTAAATTTTGATACGTGATGTTTGTAAGAAATTAAAATTAATAATCAAATCTTTCAATATTCATACGTTTATACAACAATCATACAAAATTAAAAAAAAACTAACAAACAGAAAGAATCTATATAATATTTAATTTTTATTCCTTTTTCAATATCGGTGACAATAAACAAAGATTTTATAATACAATAATAAACATAACGATATTATACGTGTACATATAAAATATTCGTTAAAAATTTGTTTCACTTTTTTATATTATGAGTATCTACATTGACAAGATTTATTTTTCATAAAATTGTCCAATTTCCGAACATATATTAATTATACTTTTTAAAAATTTTTTGAGCATGGAAAGAAATCTCTTTCGTTTTATTTATTTTTTTTTCTTTTCTATATATGAAAATTAATAAATTCTATACAATAAATAAAAGCTAAAAATATCAAAATCGCTATTCTTTCTATAAAGAAAAATTTTTTTTAAATCATAATAGTACGCAATATTAAGATTCTGAAAAAGAATTTTTCTGCATTTAAAAAAAATTTCCCTAAACAATTTTTTAATACCTAATTTTATTTTTCTTTTTTAGTATTATATTTATATTAAATGTTAACAAAAAAGAAAAGTCTTCTATTTTATCATCTAGTTTCGAATTTTAACAATTTGTTTCCTTTTTCATTTTCAATTGAAAGGAAAGAATCTTTGACTTCTCTTCGCAAATTATCTAAATTTATTACTGCGCATTAATTAGTCTTGCGAACAATATGTTCCGATATCATTTTTTTGATAAAGACATTGTGAGATTTCTTAATTTTTTTTTTCAATTATTCTCTCGCATTATCTATTTGTCAATAATAATCTACTCGAATTCGATATAATTTTAGAAATTTTGAATTCAACATTTTTATCAGTACTTTCATCTAAACAATAAACTTTAATTTAAATTTCAGTCATACAATTGTGAATTTGAATTTTGCCGCAATTTTTTGGGCAGCTATTTTATAATTAATTTTTATGAAAATTAAATTAAATGAACAGTGTAAAAAATGACTATTTTCCCCTATTCTTTTCCTATGTAATTTGAATAAAAAAAATTATTTCGTATAATAGAGAAATTAAAAAACAGCTCTTCTCACATTGGTTTTGAGCATCTAAACGAGATCATCATGAGATTGAATATTTGAATAAATGATATGCGGATAAAATATTATTATATATCACTTCCAAAAGAGCTTGAGAGTAAAATATACTTTTTTTTCTTTTTTTTTTCTTGATATAAATGAACGAGATGAAACGCACTGGTTGAAAATTAATTTAAAGTCTTTAAATGATTTGAGATGTTTTGAATGTAGATTTCGAAAAAAAGGATATATCACATTATCACATTGCAAAGAATGCATTTGTTACGTCTTCTATTGGCCGTGGGCGTGTGTGAAGGTCAATTGGTGGGTCCTCCGATTCAACGTGTTTGTCACGAAGTTCCCTCCATTCGGCTAAAGCGTTTGTATATTCATAAAACTTATCTTGTTCATCCAATTTCATATATAAGTGCATTAATCCGCGGTAATCGTACTCGAGGCCACTATAACTTTGACCAAAGAGTTTTAAACCTGTTGAACAAGAATAGTTTTTCATTTTTTTACTTTTTTACTTTTATGAATATTTAAGAAACGAATAAATAATTTTTCATTTTAAGGAATGAATATTTTTTTACTATTTGAGACAAATACAACTAATGGAGTGCAATTTGTTGAATCGATAATAATAAATTGATTTTCTTTTAAGTTTCATTGCTAAATTTTTCATACTCACTAATGGCAATGCTTCGAAAGTACAATTTTTCAGCGTCTCTATATCGATTCATATGAAAATTGTATAAAGATGCTAAATGTCCTATACTTAATCCAACTTCATAGTCTTCGAGTCCTAGAAGTTCTTCTTTTATACTAATCGCCTTCAAGTGCATATTCTCTGCTTCCTGAAACCGCAAAAAGAAATTCAATTTATTTTAAAAAATTTGCCTTTTATAAAAGAATTTAACACTTTTTCATAGTTTTAATCTATTTTTCGAAAAAATTTATTTCAAAAATGTAGTAGATATAAAAAAATAAAAAATTCATTACTAATTTACTAATTAATTAGTTTAAACACTTAATACCTATCTACTATTAATTACGATTTAAGTAAATTTATCAAAAATAATACAACAAATTAAAATTCTTAATTAATATTTTAAAAAATTTTTTTGTAATTTTTTATCTCTTTAATTCTTTTATTCAAATATTCAAATGTTTCTAAAATTAAAATATTATCATTAAATCACAACTGTGTTTTAATTATCCAGTTCATTTTAAAATCAAAACTGTTTTTTAATTACAAGTGACAATTATATTATTGACTATATAATTAATTTGTAAAAATACAAGAAAATCTAAATTCACAATTTTAACATTTAGTGTGAATACAATTTGTAATTATAATAAAAATTACGAGCGAAACATGATGTTCAATTTTTTGTTATTATTATTATTATTATTATTATTATTATTATTATTACCATGCAAATTACAAATTTTTTTATTCTCAAATATAAACTTCGACTTTTGAAATATTTTTGGATTTAAAATTTTTAAAATTCACTTATTATTGTTTATTATTTTCAAAAGTTTTAATAAAATTTTTAACAAGAATTCAATTATTCTTATAAATAATATTAAACATTCTTCACAGGAATTCAATTATTTTTAATACATTTTTAATAAAATACTTTCTAAAAATTCAATTATTTTTAATACAATATTTTAATCGAATTTCTCAAAAAAAATTGTAATTATTTCCAAACAATTTACAAATTTCTTCGAATCAATTCAATTATTTTCATAAATAATAAAATTTTTTTGAGAAATTCAATTACAATTTTTAATTCAATTCCACCAAAGAATTATAATTATTTTCAAAAATTTAAATAAAATTCTTTGTAAGAATTCAATTATTTTCATAAATAATAAAATTCTTTGTAGGAATTCAATTATTTTCAAGTAAACTTTTATAAAATGTCACGAAAAAATTCAATTATTTTCGATACAATTTTAATAAATAAATTTTAATAAAATTCAAGAATCAAATTTTTAATTATAATTATTCAGACACGATTATTTTAAAAAGTTAAAAAGAATTCTTTGTTATATTCAATTATTTTGAATTTTCAATTAAAATTATTTAAAACAATACAATATTTAAAAAAAAAACTTGAAGAAATTCTTCCAAAGAATTTAGTTATTTACAAAAACTCTAATAAAATTGTTTAAATGAATTTAATTTTCCAATCAATAATTCTAATAAAATTATTTCAAATTTATTATCAAAATCAATTATATTAAAAAAATTAATGAAATTTTTTTAAAAAATTAAATTATTTTCTATATTTTAAAAAGATTTTATGTACTTTCAAAATTTCCAATTAAAATTATTAAAGATATTTCATTATTTAAAAATATATATTTATGGTATTTCTTCAATAGAATTTAATTAAGATTTTCAAAAATTTTAATAAAATTCTATTAGGTATTTATATGAAAATTTAAATTAAAAAAATTTGAAAGAAATTCTGCATAAAATTCAATGATATTTAAATTCTCGCAGCTAAAATTAATTTTCAATAGTGCGAAAAGGGAAAATTATTTGAGAACGTACCGAAAATTTTCTCATACTTTGATACAGTCGTCCTAAATTTCCATAATGTTTTGCAGTCTGTACATTTTTTTCGCCAAACGCAGATTTCGCCAATTGAAGAGCAGACAAATGAAGACCCTCCGATTTTAAAAGAAGATCCTGTTCAGATAATGGCGTTCTTTCATTATCCAAGGCTATTTCCTCCAATATTAGGGCTTTTACTCGTTTTGTACTAGCTAGCATGAGATGCTCTACGGGCAATAATTTCCCCATTATTTCGATAGCTTTACCAGCATGATAACTACAAAAGAAAACGAGATTATTGCATTAAATTCAATTAATTCGATCTTTTAATTTCTTAATCGCAATTCAATTAATTCATTCGATTTCTTAATCGATTTAATTAATTGAATACGAAAAAAGATAATTGCACCGAATTTTTATATTTAAATAAATATTTAAATAAATTCGTAATTAAATCAAATAATTTGAAAAATTTGAATAATTGGATTATTTTCAATTACATACCTATAATATTCTGAAATAATTCATGATGATTCGGTGAAATTTATATTTAAGTTTAATTAATAATTTCAGTTTTGAAGAATATTTATAGACAGCTTAGTTTAATAGATTATATAAAATGCCTTTTAAATACAATTGTCTAAACACTTACGCAAATCAAATAATAGAAAAAGAATTTATGACACGTTTTATAGATTAACAAATATTATTCAATTACAATTCAGACCTTTTAAATGCAAATTTTCTAACAAAACTTTTTTTTTGTAATTTGAAATAAAAAAAAAATGTAATCCAAGATTCACTTTCAGGTATATAATTCGCCCACATAAAATTTATTACAATTTCACAAGCTTGACTAAAGTTTTAAAAATGTTTTTTTTTCTTTCTTTCTTTCTTTTTTTTTTTTATTTGCAATCGATACATGAGCCCACGGTCATATTCCATTTTATGTTAGAAGCATAAAATGATTGAAAGACAATATTTTTTTTTGTTCCATTTTAATGATACTTTATTTTGTGTGCAAGTACTCTGAAATTATTTTGTTTATACGGAAAGGAAACATCATTAAAGTATGCTTAATCATTGAGAGAGAGAAAAAAAATTATAAACTTAATTATATAAGCATTGGAAGAAAAAATATTTTAATTTGCTTGTATGAAATTTTATGAGTGCCTACAAAAAAAGCAGATGAACAAAAATAAAATTTTATTTACCTCGCTTGTTCGAATTTCCCGGAACTGTATTCATGCACGTATAAAGCGTACGCCAATTCTTCGTGTGCTATCGCTACCAGTAAATTCATTTTTCCAAATATCGATTCCCTTATTTCTAGTGCAAACTGAAAATTAAATATTGATTATGTTTTTTAATTTTCCATCTGTAAAAGTAGTGAATGTTTTGTCAAATCGATTTTACTTTAGTAAAGGAAAAGGAAAAAAATTGTTCAATCATTTAATATTGAGAAATTATTTTTTCAATCAATATATATTCTTCTTTTTGTTTTTATACTCTCTTGTATTACTTGAAATTCTAGCTATTAACATTTCTTAATTTATAATAGCTATAAAAAATGATTTCTTGAAAACTTTGTAATTATTCAAACCAAACAATTATAATATAATTAAAAAATGTCGTATACTTGATTGAATATTAATTTTTCCCAAAAATTAAATCAGTGATTTACTAATAAATACAAAAGCAGATAAAAATTGAAAGCTATGATAATTACTTTATAAACTTGTACACTATTGTTGATACTATCGTAATTCAACAAATAAAAGCCGTAATCAATCAGAACATCACTGTAAATTGGATGATCCGTTTCGAAAACTTCTCTTGCGAGATACACAGCCTGCTTGATCAGAAGACCAGCTTTTTGAAATTCTCGTTTTACGACACATGACTTTGCAGCCTGACGCAAGACATCGATTTTGATTCTCGCCGAAAGTGATGGCTTCAGCTGCTTAAGTGCCTCTATACTCCACCTGGAGAGAATTTAGAAATCATATTTGTTACTTTCTTTTCTAACTAGCGATATCAAGGGAAATTTAGACTAGAAACCTTGAAAATAGACTCTTTTTTTCAATTTATAAAATATGCTGAGTACCTATAAAAAAAAATCAAAATTCTCATTTACAGTAATTTAATTTTTTACTTTTTAATTTAATAAATAACGAAAAAAAGTGTAATAATTTTATTATGTTCTTAAGTGCAGTTAATTTAATTAATCTAATGAACGAAATATTTCTGAAAAAAATAGTTTCATAAACCTCGATTGCAATAAAAATTAAAAACTTTATAATTATAATTTTTTTTTTTTTGTAGTTTTTGGTAGTTGTGCAAAATTATTGTAATAAAAATTCAATTAGAAGAAAAAATAAATAAATTTCCTTTATTTCAACGTTCAGAACTTTAGGATCATTTAATTTTTAATTTATTGGACATTTTCTAACGAACTAGAATAAAATATGTAAATTTAAAAAAAAGGAATATAAATTATCAAAATTCTATTTTTTAATTTAAAAAATTATTGTTCTTAATTAGAAAATATTGCGCGCAAAAAGCGATATTTAATAATTTATTACTTTTATGCAAGTAACAAAATTTTTTATTTTGAAATATTAACTTCAATTCACGAATAATTTCAGATATAAAATATTTAAAAATTTAATCATTAACTAATTAATTATTATTTATTATTTTCGAAAATTTTAATAAAATTCTTCGCAAAAATTCAATTATTTCAGATTCAAAATTTAAAAAGTTCCAAAATTATATTTTTTGACAAAAATATTATCTTTTAAAATAAAACTAAAATTCTCTTATTAACGTAAAATTACAAAAAAAAATTTTTTTGCAAAAATCGAGTCACAAAACTTATTGTTATTTAGGTACTTTGTTCGAAGATAATTTAGTCATAAAAAATTATGGTCAAACAATTCTTGGAATTGGTTTTTGAAAAATATTGTAATTTTCCGAAAATAATTGAATTTCTTAATAGAATTTTTGTAAAATTTGAAAAAACTAATTAATTTTTTAAAGAATTTTAATTAAAAATTTTTAACATGATTGTTTTCTTGACAAAATGTTAAAAGTAATTTTGAGAAATGTTAATGTTTGTATTATTTTTTTTTTTGTCTTTGAATTTTCGAAAATATGTAATTGAAAATAATTATTGCAAATAATTGAATTTTAAAAAATTGGAATGAAAAAAATTCTAAGAATTACTTTTTGGCAAAAATATTTTAATATAATTTTTTAGAAGACATTTTTCATTAATTTTCATTTTTATAAATTTATACACTTGAAGGTTTCTCATTAAAATTTTTGAGAATTCAATTATTTTTCCAAAATTTGTTTCTTCAAAAAAGTTGCAAGTTTTTTAAAATAATCGAAAAAATCATTATATCCGAGGCCTAAGTTTTGAAGTTTTGAACGTTCAAATGAAGGACGATATTTTTGTTTCTACATTTAATATTCTAAAAATACATATTCTTAATTGAAAGAAAAATAATTTTTTCCAAGTTTTTAAGTTAAAAAAAAATATATTCTGGAATTGTTTTGAACTCCCTAGGAAAATTAGTGATATTTTCATCTCTAAAAATGTTAAATAATTATTTTCGACGCTTATTGTCGACGCTAACTTCAGAGTCGGGAATTAAATGGAAAATAATGTTCATTTTATTTAATTGAAATAAATTTTGGAAAATAGTTAGAAGAAGAAAAATGTTTCGTTCCTTTGGAAATTGGAACGTTCACAACTTTCGGGAATTGATAATTTTTTTGGAAAGTGATTGAAAAAAAGTGATTCTTACATATACGCTCGATCATATTCACTCCTAATATAGAAAAGTACACTAAATTCGGCATAGAGAGCGGCATGATTTGCATTTGAATGTCCAGCATTTTTTAGTTTTTCAATAGTCCGTACTGCCAATTGGTAAGTTTCTGCAGCAGCTCGAAATGCACAATACGCAGCTTGAGCGTGAAGTAATCTAAAAATAAAAATAATATTCTTATAGGTATATTTAATGATTTTGCAAATAGTTAAATATATTTAATCCATTCTAATAATATGATGAGGCAATTTCTTCTTTCTTTTCTCAAGGCAACAAAATTGTTTCTTTGATAAAATTAAACTTAAAATTCATTAACGACTAAAATACTCACTTGTGACAACAATCTAATGTAAGACACCAATTCTGAAGATTTTCTTGATCAGTAATACAGAGTTCCTTGCAAGCCAATAGCACCCTTTCACTTTCTACGTACCAGCCAGCTTCGCTTAGAAACCCTCCTAATTTAAGACCCAGGTTTATAATCTTCTCCCGTGCATTTTTATTTTCTCTAACACCAAGGCAACAGACGTCATAACAAATTGCCAATTCACTGCAGACTCTCATTCCATGGTCCATAAGAGCCTTTTTTTAAAAAGATAACGTATTAAATGTAAAAATAGCGCTGGAAATAATTAGCATAATTTAAATAGAGGATATAAATTCTAAATTATAATTTCAAAATTCAACTAAACATTTTTTTTCTTCCTTCGATTCAAAATTTAGATTTTAGATTTTAGATTCTAAATTTTCAATTTGTAAATAAAAAAAAAATTCTTTTCTAAATTTAGCCACAAAGTTAAACTTTTTTTTTTATCTAGAACAGATTAGATTAAATAATTTTAAACTGACAAGACAAAATCGTATATTATTTGACATAATTACATTCTCATTATTATTATTATTATTATTATTATTATTATTATTATTATTATTATTATTATTATTATTTTCGTGAGAAAAAAAAGCTAAATACAATGCTTAAATAATAAATAATACTCCATGCAGGAAAATTTCATATAAACGTTTCAAAGTTTCTAATTAGAGGTTCTTACTTCCTTCGCGCAGAAATTGTGTAACTTGAGTAGTAAAATAAAATTAAGTACATATTGTTTTGAATACCTGAAATATTTGTAATAAGTGTATTCGTCGATTTGTAACTTTGAGCATTAGTGAAAAAGTTTTGAGATCGCTAAACTCCATCCCTATCAGGCATAATCTCTTCTCTTTGCATAGCTAAAAATAGTCGAGATAAAATGCATTAATAATTTTATTAAATAGTTTACAAGTTTTTTTTATTATTTTTTTCACCTTAAGGACATTTGAACCATTATGACGTCACAGTTTTAAAACACATGCTTGGCATAAATTGTGACGTCATAATGATTCAAATGTCCGTAATTTTTTTTTTATTTTTTGAAAATAAATATTGTCGCAAATTTACCATTTTTTTGTGCAATTTCGAAAATTTACAAAGCAACAAAATTGTATGTATAAAACATTGGGTTAATAATGCACAATTATTTTATCATTAAGTGGAATTAATATTGAAATAGATATTTTTTTTAATCGAAAAAATTGAACGTAGGTACGTGAAGAATAATTACACACTCAACGACAAATATGAATTATTATTCGTCGTTAAGGAGAATTTTTTGCAAAAAAATACTTTATTATAATGAAGAATTTTTTTTTGCAAAATATTAATATTTTCAATTAAGTGCAAATTTTCTTCAGTCTAATTATTTATCTTCGTATAATTTCTAATTTATTTGGAAAAATAATTAATGCGAAAAAAATAATATACGGAAAATTTACAAATTTCATGACTGAATATTTCCAATTGAAATATTCTGAATTTTAAGCGAAACAGATAAAAAGTGTTCATTTAATTTATTACTAAGTTTCCTGTTTTTCAATTTTTCCGTTTCGGTATTTAATATTAAATCTTAAATATTTTTAATGAAATAAATATATTTCAATTGACAAAATTAAGACATAAAATAAAAAAAATAATATTAAAAAAGTTCATTTGACTATTTTTATTTTAAATTATGTATCTTGATTTTCAATTTTTCCTTCTTGAAATTTAATATTCTCGATAAAATATTATTATTAAAATAATATCATTACTTTTAATAATTAAATTTCAATTAATATAATTTAATAAATAAAAAAAAATGAAATATGTTCATTTGACTATTTTTTATTCTCATAAAGTTTCTTGCTGTTCATTTTTTTCTTCTTGATATTTAATATTCTCGATATTCTTACGAGAAATTTTATTAAAATTGCTTTAAAAATAATCGAATTTCTCCGAAGAATTTTATTATTTATCAAAATAATTGAATTAATTTTTTTAAAGAATATCATTAAAAATTTTAGAAATAATTGACATTATTCAAATAATTTTATTAAAATGTTTAAAAATAATTAATTTTTTTCACGAATTTTATCAAAATTGTTGAAAATAAATCGAATTCAATTACAATTTTTAAAAATAATTGTATTCTTTCGAGAAATTTTATTAAAATTAAATTATTGAAAATAATTGAATTCCTCTGGGGTATTTTACTATTTACAAAAATAATTGAATTGTTTCGAAGAATTTTATCAGAATATAATTGAAAATAATTGAATTTAATTAATATTTTTAAAAATAATTTAATTCCTTCGAAGAATTTGATTATTAATGAAAATAATTTATTGAATTCCTTCGAAAAATTTTATCAATAAAATAAATATTTTACAAGATTAAAATTAATGAATGAATTAAAAAAATCTTTTATTAGAAATAGAATATTTTATCAGGTAATTAAAAAATGAAAATAAAAATATTTTAAAAATATTTGCAATAAAATTATTATTTTATAGGATAAAATTAATGAATAGAATAAGAAAAAAATTCTTTTAATACAAATAAAAGGAACAAAGAGTTTAGAAAATAGAAATAACTGACGAAAATTTATTTGAAATTCAACTTCATGCGTTTCGAAATTTTATTATCTTTGCGTATTTACTACGGCAATACTGTGTATAATTTTTTCTTTCTTTTTTTTTGCAAATTTATCTCTCTAGATTATCTCCAAAACGACTGTGTCCTACTTTACTTACGACTTTAGTAAAGTTAAGCATTCTAATTCAACAAAATAAGAATGATAAGAATGAGTATAATACATTAATTCATATATGTATAGATAACACTTCAGTAAACTGATTTTTTATGAGAAAAGTACATAAAATCAAATGTTATTCAATCATTTTTTTTATAAAGGCCTTTTATTTAATTTGATTCAATTTTTTTAACTTAATTTCTATGAAATGTATTTCAACATTTTCTTACTATTGAGAAAAAAATATAAAATAATAAACTTTGTAAACCCGTTTATAATTAAAAATAAAATAAAATAAGATAAAAAATAATAAAATTTGAAAGAGTTAAAATAATAAAAATGAAAAGTATTAAATGTAATAAAATAAAATTCAATAAACACGAGACAGATTCTAAACTGGATAATATTATGAAAATAAAATGAATTTTTAAATAAAAAGAAGAATTTTTTTTGTTCTAACTCTCTACTCTTAAAACGAGTTATTTCTATTTTTATTACTTTGACTTTTTCTAACTTGCAATTTCACTAATATTATAATGATAAAATCACATATAATTATAAATAAGTTTGTAAATGCATAAGCCGTGATATGTAGTACATATGTTGAAAACGATATAGAAAATTCAATCGTGTCCATGGAATTTTTTATATCTGAAATTAATTTAATTCCACATGAAATTGAGAAAATTCATTCAATTTTTATTTTCAAAAAGTTGTCGCCATTTTTAATGAAAAAAAAAATATTAAACATTTTTTTTTGAGAGAGAGAGGAATATTTTATTTAGAAAACAAGAAACTATAGAAACTACTTCAGAAACAGCTACTATAAAGTGACAGTTATTTTCAGCTCATAATACTGGTTTCAACATTTTTGTATATCAATTTTCAACCAGGAATAACAAATTTTAAAGTCGACGATTTATTTATACAACATTCATAATATAAAGTCAAATTAAATATTTATTTATTTATTTATTTATTTATAATTTTTCATTTACATTTATTAAACTATACTTCCTTTTTCTTTAAATATAATTATGTATCACAATGAAATAAATATTATAATTTCATTAATAAGTCTCTGTGAGAGATAAGTACACAAAAAAAGAAATCTTAAAATAAATGTCCCAAAAATTTCTATTTATAAAGTTTCAAATGTTTTATCAGTCAAAAATAGAATGTTAATGAAATTTTTATTTACACATAAATATCTCCTCGTATAGCAATATATTGTCATAAATTTAAATTTTAAACATAGTCAAACACTAGACTTCAAAGTTACCTATTATGTCAAAAAAAAAAAATTTGACAAAAACTTGTACAATGAAGTGTCAATTGTAAAATCATAGGATTTTTTTCAAAACATTCTCGATATGAATAAAAAAAAGAGTTTTATAAAATGTATTAAATGTATAAAATTTACGATTAATAATTAAAGCCATAAATATTCAAGTTGAATAAAGTAATTTTATTGAACCTGACATTGCAAACAATGATTCTTTATGACAATATAATGCGCGTAATCCTTGAAAAGAAAATAAATGTCAAGCAACTTTATTATGAATGTGTATAGAAATAAATGATATGTATAAAATTATAAAAAAGTGTTAAATGAAAATAAACTTTAAGTTCACTTTCTTAAATGAAAATGAAATGAACACATGTGGTGTGTGTATAATAAAGACAGGCTCAACTTTTGCAGATGTTTTTGCAAGAATGTTTTGACACTTACCTGATAATACAAATCAAAGAGTACTTTTTCTGGTAGATAAGAGAGATGCTTTTTGAAGGTAATAAATTTATCTGCTACTGCGATTACACTTAATTCGTACAAACTCTTGGTGGAAAACACACGGGATGGAGCAACTCTTTCTGCCATTTTCCTCGGAGACTTTATTATAATACACACACGGGTCTTCACTTCTAACCTCACTTCGCTCACTTCCCCAAATGTATATTAATCATTCGCGAAACAAACTTTAAAAACGTCATTCATACAAAGAAAAAGAAGCCGTATCTTCATTTACAACATTTTTTTCACTAGCCCATTGACAAGACAATGACTGACAATGACGAGTGACGAGTTTGACGAAGACGACTGAAGTTTATATTATAAGCAGCGCGGACACAAAAACAACTACAATGCCCAACTTTATCCACATATGACAAAAGAATACTGTTTTACTGTCGATTGGTAATAACAGTCTTTGCCTTTTTCAAGGTTATGTTTTCAACTGTCATCTGTCAATTTCCCTTTAAATAATACATTTAAATGGTTTAAGGTAAACAAACATCACAAACATATATACACTTTAAAACTTGTTTACTCGTTTAAAGGGTCAAACGAATCGAAAATATCTCATCGATTTAAGTTTACATCAATATTTCTTTATTAAAAACCGATCGAAATTTATTCAAAGTAATAATAATTTAAAAACGTCACAAATGAAAATTTTTACAATTCTTTTGAAAAATCGGACATTAACAATAGAAATTGATTGCATAATCCAAAACAAGAAACATAACCTCAAAATTATTAATTTTTATCTTTTACGACTAGGTTGTAATTTCTAATATTTTTGTTAGAAATAACAAATAACGGTGCTAATTCTTATTTACTTGCTTCAAAAATATCAGCCTTTTATTTATTATTCATATAATTATAAAAATTTATGTATAATATATATTACCTATAAAAATAATTTCATAATCAATAAATGTACATTTGTACACACAGCCGCATGAAGACGAACTTGAAAGTATAAAAAATAATTCATCATCTATCGCTTCAAGAGCAAAAACAAGCAAAAACAAGCAAAAAGAAATAAAAATAGTTGACTTAGAAAAAATAAAGATAATTATAATTATATTGCCCTAATAGTTATCTCATAATTGATGTTAATTGAAAGCGAGATTAAAAGAAACTCATATATTTACAAATAATTTCTCTTTTAAATTTCCCAATCATCGATAATTTTCCTTAATGTGGGAACCAATGCAAATTCTCTTTCTACTTGTGAACGACGATAAGTAACAGGGCAATCTAATGATTCACAATCTGCAATGCCCAATTGACCTGTACATGATCTGCATATCTAAATAAACATAAAAATTTCAATGATGAAGAAAAAGAATAATAATAATAATAATAATAATAATAATAATAATAATAATAATAATAAATTAAACAAATTAATATAATTATCAAAAATCTTACCACATCGACATTAAATAAATTCTTTTCCAAGCAACCAAGTTTCTCATGGAGAATAATAATTGTTCTGCATGATTGTTCAACACATTGTTTGCAAACGTTGCTCTCGGATGAATTTCCACAAGATAAACAGACATGTGCGCTAAAAAATTGCGAGATTGTTGCCTTCTGTCTATCATTCGGCAAGAAAGATACTTTACTCAGAACTTCACGATGGGGCATATCTCTGAACCTAAAACAATGTTTTATCGGCATTTTTATCCACTTTTGTAGTTATTATTACTAGCAACGCGGTATTCCATTTATTATTATTTTGTAAATTAAAAAATTTTATATTTTCAAATATAGGTAATCAATTTTGGACAAAATACAGATTCAAAGTTTAAAGAATTCACTTATAAAGTAGACAATTAAATATTCTTGTTTATTAATTTTCAAATATTTGGATAACATTTTTTGCAATAATTCAATTATTCTCATAAATAATAAAATTCTCGAAAGACCAATGAATAATTTTCAAAATTATTCATTAAATTCCATTATTTGCAACAATTTTGAAACAATTTTCGATGAATTCAATTAGTTTAAAAAATTCTATCAAAAAATTCAATTATCTATTAATTCGTCTAACATTTTTTGGATTACTATACATTTTAAATAATAAAATTAATTTACCAAATATGGACGTCTGCGCCTAGGAGATTCAAGCAACGATTGAGCGGTGGAATAATTACTCTTGTTATGTAATAAATGGCATTAGGACGTAAACTTGGATCGTTTAATAATTCTTTTGGCGATCGAACTGAATGAATAAGAGCCTCGTTAGGCGCTCCAGCGACAATAATATAGGGAACTCTTTCACTAGTCCTGGGAACATTTCGAGGATCTTTTTTCATCAAACGACGAGTTAATTCCAGAGCCGGTACACAGGCATTTTTACTGTATCCTCTCAAACCTCGAAATTCTCTGGCAAACGTTAAATCCTGAATTGACACTGTTCCTCGAAACACTTTGTCCAATTGACGCGTTACGTATTGTTTTACTTGAGATAAATCCTTCGTGTCGAAGAGAATTTTAAGTGTTTTTTCTAAAATCTGAATTCAGAGGCAAATTGTAATTATATTAAAATCTGTTAAATTTACAAAACATTTAAAAATTGGATTTAAATTTAAATTAATTTGAACCTTTGCAGACGCTGGACAACCGTCACGACGAACAGTCTCGATGCCTTTAGCCAGATATTCCGGTTTTTCATTATCAATCGTTTCATACGAATAACCGCAATATCGTTTCTTTGTCTAGGATAAAAGAATTTATTCAAGAATTAGATTTCATTCCAAGAAATTATAGTAATTCTAATTCTAATTGTGATTGTAATTGGAATTGAATTACTAATTAATAATTCAATAGAAGCAATTTTCAAAATTGGGGAAAAAAACCTGTAAAATGCAGGGATGGAGAACTTTTTCAAATTTCAACTTGACTGGCGTTGGATTTGCAGCTGTGACAGCGTCGGCAATTTCAGCTCCAATTTTAAATGCCTCATTTCTTGATTTTCCGTGTAGTAGTATAAATAATGAATCAGTATCGCCGTAAACAACACGAGCTCCCCACTTTGGTGTGTCTTCCACCATTTTTATTGCACGCTGAAGTGTCTCCTTTCCTTTACTGACAACGCTGTCTGCAACCTGAAAATAATGCAAAAACATCGATAACTTCTCTTTACTGTTGAATAATTGAAAAAAGTTTTTTTTTTTATTTAATAATAAACTAATTAGGCTCGTAATTAAATTATTTTAATTTAAAAATAGACATACCTCAATGCATGACATTCTTCCGCTGAAATTCGCCGACGTATAACCATAAGTGACATTAGCGATTAATTTCAAACCCAATTGTCTGTTATGAAGAACCTGCTGCAAAGGACGATCGTTTTTCGGATGATCCTTCATGGCCTTCTTCACCATTAAACGTGTATTTAAAATTTCATTCAACATTCGCGGTAGAACACCCTTGCGAATTTCCGATTTCACGAAACCAATGCCAACTGGAGAGAAGTTAATTTTTCCCTCAAGTTTCAAAGCCGTTTTCTTTGTCACTTTCAGTGTCGTGCAACCAAATTCGAATGGATCTTGTCTGAAAGTAATTTTTATTCATATAATAATAGGTAATAATTATTAATTAATTCTTTTCCGAAGAAAATTAATTACTTACTGTCCCAAATGTTCCACGCGCCCCAAACACGTTGAGAAGCAATAATTGTACGCAATTATAATACTGGGATAGAGACTCTGAAAATCGAGAACCACAACTGGATCACTGTAGAATGTCGAAATTGGTTCCATAATTAATGGCAGAGCTTCTGGAGCTCGCATTGCTGCCCTTTGTCTCACTGACGGCGAGACGAGAATGTAATTCAGTGGCTTTGCCAATCTCAACATCATTGACTCGACCCGAAATTGCGAGCCACGGGAGAAGACTTCGAAAAATTGGATTCCAAAAAGACGAGCGTGTTCGCAGGTTCTACCTAACAAGTATTATTATATTTATTCGATAAAAAAATAATATTCGAATGTTCTTTGGAATATTTAGGAAAAATTAGCGTATCGTACCAATAATGTCAAGTTGCTCGAGAAGTTCCAGTGTTCCTAAATTTTTCTTCACGTAAAAATCCATGACCCGCCAACGTAAACAGGGAATTTTTGAGAACCACCACTTTGCTAGCGTTTTGAAAGAAGGGCAAGCTAATCTTTTCCGCATCACGTGGAACATGACATTTTCAAAAGTGTAACTCAAAAGAGCTGAAATTAATCCAATTGCAATTATTAAATTTATTCACGTCCCTAAAATTCTTTGGCAATTAATGAATAAAATACTATAAAATTTTGCACTGACCAATTTCGTGTCTCATTATACGCCAAATGTCAAGAACAATTCGTCCGGGTAATTTAATTTCAGCAGCTAGAGCTTCCAAATCCAATGCATGTGACTCCCAAGAGCATTTACTTCCAGGTATTCGTGATATCGTTGATGGCAAATTTGTTCCTAAATATCCAGCTCTTTGGAAAATGTATCCCCACGAGAGTGTCTCCAATTCCCAGCCAATTAAAATATCCGGATTGCATTCGCTTATCAGGGAAATAATATTACAAAACAAATCCGCTTCACACGTTACGTAGGTAATTTTACATTCCGGATATAGTCCCCGTAAATTTCCGGATTCATTCACATCAACTATTATGGCACCTGAAAAACAAGTTACAATTATAATTCAAAAAAAAGTTGTTTGTTTTAATAGAAAAAAAAACGATTTTAATTTTCAAAACAGTTTTTCAACAGGAAAACTTTTTTTGTTTTTTGAAAAAAAAAAATATAAGACGCGATCTGAAGAAAGGTTATGTTTGCAATTTTTGAAATAAAAATACAAAAAAAAGCATCAACTGTCAATATAAATTATCAATGTTTAAGTCTTCATTACAACTAAAATATTTAATAAACGCGCTGATTTTAATTTGCAATAAGCAAAAAAAACTTTCAATAAAGAAAAAAGTAACACTAACATAACCTTAAAGTGATTTGCTTATCTAAGGTCCCTTTTCTTCAGATCGCGTCACATTATAAAAAGAATATCTTCTCGAATATATTTTTGACCTTGTTCCAAACGTTTGACTTTTGAATCAGGTGGAACATCATTGTGGATGACATAAAATATTGCTTCGATTTGATCGTGTCGAGGATCGGGAAGAAGATCATTGCGCGTGGTAATGTGAGTTTCGACGCACAATATTGTCAGGTACTGATACTGAAAAAGTAAAAAGAAATAGAATAGAATAAGAGATTAGAATATTAAAAAAGACAATTATAAAACTCACTGTTGTTATAGCTTTAGCATTTTGCAAATTTTGATTAGCAACATCAGTTTCGAATTTGGTTTCGTCCATGGAAAAATCAATCTGTCCAATAGAGACACCTCTGTGATTCTTGTCACCTTTTTTCCGATTAGTAAAAATTTCCGAAGGTCTCAAAGTACTGCATAACGAAGAATCATTGCTAATACTATCACGTGATTTTCCCTCAGAAATATTTAGTTCTTTTGCCAACGAAGAGAAATCCAAGTGTTGATTTACTTTCAAACCGTCTTTTTCCTTATTTTCACTATTTTCACTATTTTCGTTCCCACTCTTGATCCCTTCTACATTGTCTGCCCCAATTTTTTCTTCTCCCTCATCGACTTTCCCATTATCCTGATTCTTATCACTTTCACAATTATTTTTATTACTCTTTTCCAAAATTTTATCATCTTTGCGTTTCGACCGTTTTCGACTCTTAATCCAATTGGTGACCATTTTTCTGTCTGGCGGTAAATAAAGAGGAGTGACGGTTATCAAACGCCTCTCGGCCAGACTTTTCTTAATATTCGCAGAGTTTAGTTTTCCATGGAAAGAGTGAAATTCATTGACTTTCATTCGTCGCCATAATTTGATACCGACGACGCCACCGATCTGTGACTTGAAAGAGGGAAATTCGGAAATGTCCTTTTTGTTTATAATCTGATGTGCCGTGTCCTTGTGCTGGCGAATATCGTTTCGATTACTGTAAAATGGTTCTTGATTTCTGCAAGAGGGAATACTGTAAATATTCATAGTGTCGAGAATATCCTCTCGAGTTGGTGGAGAAAATCTCGGTGTTATTGATATCAGACGATTGGGATCCAGACTCAATATCGACTTTCTGGATCTACAAGTAGAATTAAGTTCTTGATTCGTGAATTCGGTGAAAGTTACGGTGAGTAATTTTTTTACGTCACATACTTGGTTATTTATTTCTTCCTCGATGTTCAAATTGAAATCTTCTGCTACTATCGTATCGTCACTTGATGTATTCTGATCTTCAATTATTTCTTCTAATTGTTTCCTCTTCTCTTCGGTTGTTGACAAATTATTCCAATTTTCCGAATTTTGTGAATATGAAACATTTTTTAATAAAATTTCCAAGTCTTCTTCAAAATCGGAAGAATCAGTTTCAACTTGATAGATTTTTTCATCTTCAATGAGGGGGGAAATATTTGATTTTTTGTCCAATTCGAGTGATGAATTTGTTTCAGTTTGCGAACTTAATTTTGGTTTTTGGGCTAAAGGAAACGATCCTTTACTTGATTCGTCATCGGCGGAATTTTGTGAGAAGGACCAATTGTCATCACTTTGTATATTTTTGTTCAAATCTTCGTCTTTAAATTTTTTGTACTTTCCACTAAAAGATGAATTCATCTCATTTGGTGTTTCTTTTGATTCCAATTCTCTCCTTTGGAAACTTGTCTCTCTCTTCTCTTTGGGAATTTCTTCGGAACTTTCTGTCACGAATAGTTCAACATCACTTTTGTTATCTTCGGAATTAATTTCAATTATTTCGACTTTTTTCGATTTCGACTTTTTATTGAGAATATTTTGGGAAAAAAAGGATTTATCCATTAAAGATTCCTTCGTTTCTTTAGATTTTTCAACTTTGTCGGGTTTCTTTTCCCTTGAATTTAATTCTTGGGAAGAAATTTGTTCAAACTGTGATTTTTGTACTGGAGATTCATGAGTTTCAGTAGAAAAGAAAGTCTCACTGTCTTTCTTTTCTGTTTCTCGTGTATTCAAATTATTTTCAGAGACACTTGATGAATTTGTTTTGTTGATCCAACTTTTTTCTATATTCAACTTTCGTAAAGAACTTCTGCGAAATAGAGATATTTTAGATACGAATTTATCGTTTTTTTCTGTTTGAGAATTTAAGTTGTTTTTTTTAAAATTTGTTTCTCGAGTTTCTTTCTCTTCTGCTGGTGAAGTTGGTTTTTTTAAATTTGTTTCTTGACTTTTTTTCTTTTCTTCTGGAGGAGTTGGTGAAAAAAGTAGATCTTCATCAGAATCGGGGGATTTTTTACTCGGTCCAGGAATATTGTAATTTTCGGACAAATTCTTACTTCCTTTTGAATTACTCGCCTCAATTTTTCGAGTATTTTCTCTAGAATTTTTTTGAGAGAAATAGTGAGTTTCATCTTCTGCATCGGCACTGGAATCATCATTTAAAGGGATTTCCTGAGAGAGTTTATTGAGTTCTTTTCTTCGTTTCGATGGTGTGACGATTATATTTAACGATGAATAATTTCGTCGAGGACTATTCAGAGATTTTCTCGGACTCCTCCGACTCGGGCTTTTTAACAATTTTCTTGGACTTTTTGACGTCCGTTTTGGACTTTGCAAATTTTCCTTACGACTAACAATGACGTTCTTTTTGTTACCTTTGTAATTGCATATTAATTTTTCCTCAACAACTAGAGTTAAATCGTTGTTTTTATTTTCAGCACTGTCGCTAGTTTCCGATATTATGAAATTATCGTTATTGGGAACAATAGTGCGATCTAGTTCGGAAACACTTTCACTCGAACTTGATCTTTTTAATTCACTGTCGGGAAAATTTAATCTCCTGTTCAAACAATGAGAACTTTCTTTTCCTTTGTGTATTTTTCTCTTCTTTTTTGAGTCCGTATTTCTTTCGGTACTGGAATTTCTTTTTTTTGGCAAATCATTTGCACCATCAAATTGAGGAATATTGAGGGAATTTTGACTTTTTGTTTCATTCCTTTTATTGATTTCGGTATTAAAATTTCCTGGTGATAAAGAAAGTCTGGATTTACCCGAAGAGGGCGTCGAATTTGGATTTAAACTCAAATTATCAATTTCCAGAGCTGTGAGATTCAAATCAGGAACTTCGGGTTCAACATCTTCGTCACTTTTATAATCATTGGTAACTGCCGAACAATACGATCCTAAAATACTGTCATTATCGACTTGTTCATCTACATTGTGTTTTTCGGCCAACTGCTCCAGAATATCCACAAGTGGCACATCGTCAATGTCAAAAATACTCTGATCAAGAGTCGCATTTTGAAATTCTTCCGCCGACGATTTTTCAACACTGACTCGTAATTCCTCCGATTGATCAAAATGCAATGACAAATCAGTGTCTGACGACGTAGATAAATCGTTCACTATTTTCTTGTTATTTTTCGGACCCACGTGTCTTTCGAGATGAGAGGCATCGAGTAAATTGAATTTATCATCAATTTCAACTGGATACAGTGAAGAACCAGAAGAATGAAAGGTTTCTGAATTCTCCTCACTTTGAGTGATGAACATAAGTTTCCGATGAAATCGTTGCATTTGGAGTAAATCATTAACGGTTGGTGGCAAATTTCTTCTTATCGGACTCTTCGGTGGTCCTAATTGTGAATCACCACCCTCGAATCCGGCTAACATTCTCCGGGCCTTCTCCTCACTCCAAATTGCCGCCAAACCGGGATTTACGTCCAAGCCCTTTTGAATGGCCTCCTTATTCAAAATGTCAGATGCCCAGGCGTCGACTTCAATTTCACAAATACTCTGTCTCTTCACAGTGGGTGGTAAATAGTCTCTGGTCTTATAATCTGCAGTGAGAGATTCGGTCCTTAATTTGCCATCCGGTCCACGGCGATTCGCCTGACGGTATTTAACGTCTTTCAAATTTATAAGACTCATTCCGTATATATTGTAATCAATCATAAATTGCAGAATGAAAGGAATGTGCGCCTCGTGCGGTTGAAGTGTTTGATCAAGTACTGAGCCATTCTGAAAAAAATAGAAAATAAACTAAATAAGGGAAAGATTTCTCTTAATTTTCTATTATTTATTTTACTTTTTATAATTTTTCTCTTATTATTTATTTTTTTATACCTGTAATAATTCCGCTGCTCTTTTAGTCATTGATGGATTATAAAAATAAATTTTAAAATAGTGATGAAGCCTTTCGTGATAGCCATAGAAGGGTCTGTAAAAAATCACATTCTTCAAAATATTAAACAGAAATTAAAGAAATTTTATTTTCTTCAAAACTTACACGCCTTTAACTTGATGAATTTTATAAACATGTTGAGTGTCTGATCCAGCAGAACCAAGTGAAACATTAATGGTGTAATCCAAAGCTTTCGCTAAACGATGTGCAAAATCTTCTGGATCGTCTCCGCCAACGTAAGGCACATAAATGTAGGGAAATACACCGTGAATGTGTAAACAAACTTTTTCACCTATTAAATTTGATAATACGAATATTAAAACGAATATAAATTAAATCTCTAAATTAGGAAACCTGAAAAACGACATTCACCTGTAAGAGTGGAGCCAAAGACTCTAATTGTTGGAACATTTTTAATCCTCGAATTTCGAAATTCTGAGACTGATAAATCAAATGGAATAAGTGGTGAAGCTTGATAACTATCTGCAATTACCAAACGTACAGAAAACATTGTATTTTACCTGAAATATCTGTAATATAACAAATCTGAACATGAAAATGATGAAAATTAATATATAATGAAAAAAAGGCAATTAAAATACTTGATTGATTGACATTTTCATTTTTATTAATTATTAATAAAAAAAAAAGTTCAAAATGTAAAAAAGTACATTTTGTATTACTTGAATGTTTTCTTTATATTTTTTATATAAAAATTTGACCGATTTTTGATATATATATATATATATAAAAGATATAAAAGATACAAAACAAGTATTTATAGGTTATGTACCATTGTTTTTGTTTGGTTATATATATATATATATATATATATATTATTTTTTCAAAAAAGAAAAAATTTGCGTTATGCAAATATTATTTTATAAATGAAACGTAAACTTACAAATATATTTTTTGAATTTCCGGATAAATTAATTCCATTAATTATAAATAACGAATAATGAAAATCATAAATCATCACCTATAATAATCATTAAAATCAAAAATATTAAACTTTCAAGGTTATGTTTACTTCTCTTCCTCCTTGCTGATAAGGCTGATAAGTAAACTATTTTCATTACCGACACAAATATATGTATCTAAATCTTATTCAAGAAGACTTGATTTAATTCTATTAATCAAATTAATATAATTAACTTGTTTAATAACACTTATTATTTATTACTAAAGAGTTTTCAACTTACTTTTATTCGAAGAGAATTTTTAATTTTGAATAATTTAATAATCAATTTAAGATCAACTCCAGCCATTTTATTTAATTCACTGAACACATGAAATCGTTTATACTTACAATTTTGTTTTTCATACATAATAAAACCAATTGTCTATTTAAACAGTACAATTATTTTTCCTCGAATTAATTTCACTATAAGAAGCTATAAAATAAAAATTTGTAAAAAGAATAGATACTAAAAAATATTGTCATGGTCAAGCACACTAATTCCTGTGAAAGATGATAAATAATCTTTTTTATATAATTTGAAATACTTAATTTCATTAGTGAAGGTAATTTTAATATTATACATATATCCTTCTAAATATATAATATACATATATATTTTGTTTATCAATCATGATTTGTAAATTCAGATATTCTGTCTACTTGATATTCTTGCTTCTTCGAACATGGAACATATATATAAATACCAAGTTCAAAAACTAACGAATAGTCTCATCATTTCATATACATTCATTCAAATAATTCTTTTATAGTTTTTAATAATCGATGGCTGTAAAAGCTCACAAATAATTAAAGTATGCTTGTCTTGAACTTATTAGAAGACAGAAAAATTGTCTCGAACCCATTATTTTCACCATTAATATGTGCAATTTAATAATTATTTATAGAGTAGTTTCTGGGTTTTTTTTTGTTTTTTTTGTTTTTTTTTCATATTCAATCTGGAGTATTATTAGCAGCGAGTTTCGTAAAGACCACTTCGTCCAATGTATCGTACCCATTTAATGACATCGTGATCGGAATAATTGAGTTTCGACTCGAATACCTTCAGGTAACGTACTTTGAATCCAGAAGGTGCGAATGGAACTTCGAAATTCATGGAAATTGGCGGACGTGTCCACTTTCGCTTCGTATCCGTCTCGAGTAAATCAATTTCAGCCGACAGTTGTGTTTCCTTCATGCCGGCAATTCTCTTAATTTTCCAGACAATGGCATTCTCTGAGGCCTTATATTTCGCTTTTCCCTTCATGCAAATTAATTGCACACCTGCTGTATTCAATGGAGTTGGAATTCGAACCTCAATTTTTTGTCCGAGCAATGATGGCTTGAAATTCGATTTCAAAACTGCCTTCACTTCCATTTTGGTGCGACCCACCTCACGTACCAAGGGAATCACGCGGAATGGCAGTGAAATATCTTTCGTTGTGCGATATCTAAAATTAAATTATTATATTAATTTATTTGTGGAAAAGGGAAAACTTTAATGGGGAAATTTCCTTTTTTCTTACCTCATCAATTCAAATTCTCCATCGGGAGGAATAAAGCTAATGGAATGTTCGGTCTCGAATTTTGACAATTTGACGCATTGGTGGAACTGACAATCGTCTATTACGACAACTGGTTTACCAGAGCGAGAACTGGAGGCTTCTTCATTGCCACAGCAAATTCCACCCACTCCCTTCATTCCCTTGGTGTCCATCACTATTTTATCGTTGATCCCAAATTTACACTCAGGCATGCCGGAAAGATACGATTTCATTACAACCTGTTGAAGGTAAAAAATATTTCTCTTCCTTTTCAATATCGTTGAGAAATGAAATGAATACAATCCTTCCTGTTCCTCTATGAGGAAGCAATTGTTAATATGTAATTGAAAGTAAGTAAAAACGAAGAATTTTTTACCTTTCCAGCGACATGAGCACTCAAAACTTGGCCTTGAGGACTCATCAAGAGATTCACGTACTCCAATACATCTAAGAAAAGCTCATTTCTACGATATTTAATTCCCTCTCGTCTCCATCCAATTTGTCCAGTGACTTGCGACGTTATTTGAGCTTGTTCTTCCTTTGTCGCTGATTTAACTCCCTGCTGGGTTATGAAAGTCTTCAATACACCAGTATCGCAATTTTGCGGATAGCCAAAGTCCAAAATTTCTGTCAAAACAAAATATCTCTATTAAATTCAAACAATTCTGCAATAAGTTTTGTTACCTTAGATTAAAATATATATTATTATTATTATTATTAATCTATTACTTTACCATCAAGTAATTCATAGATGAGAACAAAATTATTCTTAATGTTCTCCTCTGATATTTTGCCAAAATATGATTGCATTACTTCAATAATTTTGAGTAGAAATTCAAAAACCATTGCAGCGTTGACATTTTGTTTCGTTACAGCGGCCAACCAAATATTCGCACGTTTTATATGGAAAAATGATGTTCTGGCAATATTTGTCACCGGTGAACGAACTTGTTGACGTGCATGAATGACATTTACACGAAAAGCATCAACTGCATTACGTCCAATGTCATCACGATACACTCGGGAGATGAGAACTTCTCCCTTGTGATTATAGACAAATAAACCCCCTATCATTTTTGATAGAAGATTTTTATTTTAAATAAAAAAACAATTTCTTCTATTCCAGTTCTGAAAAAAAATATTATTCGATTACAAATAATACTAAACAAAATTTCTAACATATTTTAGTAACATTAACAATAACATCTACCTAATTTTACAAATTATAAACGAAAAATATTTTTTTTATAAAATTGGATTCTATTTTTATTTCTGACAAGCGGTCGAAAATCAATAAAACGAGAAAATTTATTAGGGCAGAGAATCAAGGAATGAATATATGAATAAAATTCTAAACATCGATTGGCACTTAATTGTTAATTTGTTTCGTAATTAAGTAATCGTAGCGTCAATCTGAAACGCCCCTTTTTAATGACATTTCTGAGAGGAATACGTTTCTCCAACTGGTCAAAATAATCGATCTGAAGAATCTGTCTGTGCCTTCAGTGAGAAAAATTGGGACATGAAGATTATCACTATCACTATTCAAATAATACTTTCGAGAGGAAAATGCAATGAAACTTATTTTTCTAATAATAATACATACCCATGGCTTTTATTATCAACTAAAGTTTAAATAAAGTCTCATAAAGAAAAGACTAAAATCACTTTGAGTAAAATAACCAAAGAACTCGCATCTCGCAAAGAACACTATCGACCGGTGCCGATTGTTGCCGAAGAGGCGCGAAGCGACGACACCCATTTCTCCTACAACGTCAATCAAATATTCACATCCGGATCAATTCAAATTCAAGTTGAATAATTTTGCTGAAGAGAAAAAAACTTATTTATTACTTAAAAAGTATTTTAAAAAACACCTGGATGATTTATTTTTAATTTTAACCTAGTGAATATTGAATTAGTAAATATTGTCAACTTAACAGTTTTGAACTTGAATTACGTTCATACGGGACAAACAACACGCGGGCTTTTTGAATTCAAAAAAAATTAACAATGTTTATTAATTTATAACAAATTAAATTAATAAAATATTTTCTTAAAAAAGTAAATTACTTATTTTAGAAAGAAAGAAAGAAAGAAAGAGAGAGACAATTTTTATTTCACTTAATATTACTTGATTTGTCAGCAATCAGTAATAATTTATTTAATATTCATATTACAATATTTATTACATAATAAATATTATATAATATACAAACAATATTTATTATATATAAAGTCAGTGTTGACTTAGTGTACAGCCGTCGCTACCAGGATTCCTAAAACTTTTTTATTTTCGACCAAAACCAAAAAAAAAAAAAAAAACAAAAAAAAAATCATCATAGCAGAAACAAAGTATTTTTTTTATTTTTAATGACTTATTAATTAATATTTCTAATTAAAGGAAGATTTTATTTATCAAGCGAGCTTTCAAGTTAAACTGTATTTATACATATGGAAACACTCAGACTTAAAAAATTAATCACGTGATTTCTCTTTTGTGTGCACAGACATTGTCGATGATAATTTATTTATAATATTAATAATAAATTATCAGATTGTAAAAACTATTCACAAAATTTTTTTCTTTTTTTTCATTATACATTTTTTCATCAATCAATTACAAAACTAATATTTCAAAATTTCCCTTCAAATTATTTTCCATCTCTCAAAATTCTCTTAAAAAAAATTGTTGACATTTCAATTTTTAACGACATTTTTTTAACAAAAAGTAATTAATTAAAATTTTAAAATAAAATTTGCTAAATTAAATGAATAATTAAATTGAATTTAAATTTAATTAAATTAATTTGCTACTAAATTAATTAAATTCATTTAATAGTAAATTAATTAAATATTAATTTAAAGATTAACAATTGATTGAATTTGGAAAAAAAAAATATTCGTACACAAGTTTTTCGTAAATTAAAAATAATCAACAATTTTTTTGTAATGGATTTAAATTGATATAATTGATTTACAATAAAATAAAACGACTGTTATACATTGTTAAAAAAATTCCTATCGTAAGCGATACATATGTAAAAAAATGCACCAATTGGTCATGTAAATATCGTGTTCCCAATTTGCTATTTTTTCTTTTCATTTTTTTTCATTAAATAACATTTAACAATATTCTTTTTCTATAAACTTTCATTACTATTTCGCATTTTGAGTATAGATAATAATAATATTATTTATAACAAGTAACGTGTAGAATGAGGAGGGATTCGCGAGAGAAAAATTAGATAATCTGGTTTTATATATATATATATATATATATATATATATATATATATATATAAATATGCGAAAGAGATGTGTGAACAATATTTCTTCCAATTAATTTAATTACTTATAATAATCGTGGTATAACATTATTTAGCGCAAAGATTGTCAAAAAATTCTGCGTTTTTTTTATTTTCGAAGAATTTTAATAATAAATTTCTTTTTTTGCCTTTTCAACTAGATATAATATACGCTATTCTCCTTTCTTTTTAATGAATAATATTGCTTTTGATTAATTAGAGGAGTTACCACACTAAAGCAGGAATTAATCGTATTTTTTTTTTGCTTTTCTATTCAAAGATATTAAAAAGTAGGAATTTATTTTTGTCCTGGCTCCTCTTGTCGTGTAAATAAAATTTAATTTTGATTAAATTTTAATTATTACATTTTTTTTCTGTTCTTATTAATTTTCTTTAAAATTGAATTTACATTTCAAGACAGGACAGAAACTTGTTGATAAATATTGAAAGTTTTTGGCAGAAACTATTTTTTTTCTTCTTTTAAAAGCAAAGAGTTTATTTGAATTTGAAATATCGAAAAATAATTGAACACTTTTTAAGTAGAAAAAAATTATTCTAAATAAAAAACTTTCCCACTTGAAATTTTTGGAAAAAATTCTTCATTTGAGCCGACGAATAATTTACAAGAGACGAATGATAAATTGAAAGGATACATAATTTTTTTGAACACAAACAATTGAAAATTATTCAATTAACTATAAACTACTTAATAGTAATATTATACGGTATTAAACTTTAAAAAAAGTGCGTCTGTAAAATTGTGTCAGTAAAAACTTCCCTCGTTTCCAAATGTTTACACTAATTGATTTCAATCAATGAGAAATAATATAATAATTAACAGTAATTTCAGTTTAGTATAAAACTTTCTCATTTCTCTTTTTAAAACTGACTTATTGTAGCTATTGAAATATTTACAAATATTTTGTAAGTTAATATCATGTGTATATCTTTATTCAGAGAAGGATAATAATTAATATAATGACTAGCAGCACTGAATATTTTCTCTTTCTTTCATAGCAAGAAGAACACAGTAGGGGGAAGTTTTCTTTTTCACTATAATAATATATAATAGGTATATTATCGACGTTCAAAATGTAAAGAATTGGAAACGATTTTTCATGTTTTCTTTGATCATTTAGCGATGATTGCATTCTTTGGTACGTCGGCTCGACAAATAGTGAAAATCAGCCAAACATGAAGAAACGGGAGACTTTAATTACATTTATGAACACTAAATAACATGTTATGACAAATTTGATCACTGTATTACCGTGTGTCTTTATGCGAGGCTCAATCCGTCTTTTCTTCCCACAAATTATCCTAGCACGTAATAAACTCGCTGACTAGAATTAAAATTGATTATTTTCCGTTTTAAAAAGGCATTAAAATATTGGCCGCGAGCCTCTTCATTTACTTGGCAGTGAAGTCTGGCCAATAATTTATGTAGTAGCGGTGTGTCGAACCCTCGAATAATCTGTCAAGCCAATTTGGCAGTCCGTCCAATAGCTTCTCTTGATACAGAAAACTATTTTCCGACTACAAAATTTAATATCAATTTTTAATTATTCTTAATAGTAGGTACATTTTTCAAAATCAAATTGATCAAATTGATTAGTAATTAAATTAAAGAAATTTTAATAGATTTTCTATTTCCTTACATCGTCTTGCGATAAATCGGAATCATTGGAACTGTCGAATCCAATAAATGCTCCGGCCTCTGCATCGTCGGTTCTCTGCGTCAATCGTTTCGCCATTCTCTCCATTCGCTATACATTAAAAATTGTTTCATTTCACAAATATTTCACAAATATTTCACAAATTCAAAAGAATGTAGAATGTATTCTAAGAATTCTGTTTAATTCAAGTACCGAAAAAAGAAAATAATCAATATACCTTGGATCCTTTGCCTTTACTGCTCTCAGGATGCTTTGCGTGGTACATACAAAAGTATCGTCGGTGTCCATTCAGTGACAATACGGTCCCTATACAATTTTTCGGATTAATTTTCAGGTCTCTCGGCTCCGGAAGACTCAACAATAATAAATCTTTATACCACTCGAGTCCACGCTCAAGATTCAAATGACCAAACATCAATGTTTTATTTTTCCTGAAAAGAAAAATGAAAAAATTAACGTAAATATTAAATGCAAATTTATTTTAAAAATTAAAACTCACCTATAAGGCCATACCGCTTTATGAAAAGCAGGTAGTAATTTTAATCTACTTTGTGTGTCGACCAGTAAAATGACAGTTCGACATCCCGGTTTCAAGAGTCTCACGAGACCATTATACTTTTCAGCTCTCAATTCGTGTAATCTCAATTGTGGCTGTGACGACAGTACTTTTGTATTTCCCTTATAATGATTCCGATTCGCCTCAACACTCGCCTCCTCCAATTTACTAAAGAAAACAAATCGAAAATTAGACTATTTCAGAAAACAAAATTTATCTTTTAATCGTGAAAATAATAGAAAATTAGATAAATACGTACATTAGATAGGACATTCCATAACCGACTGCGCCAATTAATACAATTGTAAAAAGAACCGAGATAACAGGCAAAATTTCCTCCTTCTTAAAACTTTCGGATATAAAATCTACTGCCAACAGTGCTCGGCCTATTAATCTATCCACGGTGCCCTGAAAAAAAATTTGCATTGTCAATTACAATTCAATAATAAATTAGTCATTATTATGAATAATTTTCAAAAATTTTTACAAATTCAATTATTTAAAATTATTTAAAATTTTTTTTATCAAATTCTTTGCAATCAATTATTTTCGGAAATAATAAAATTTTCACTGAAATTCAATTATTTAAAACACAATTGTCATCAAAATTTTTAGAAAGAAATCAATTATTTAAAAAAATGTTTATAAAATTCTTAGCAAGAATTCAATTATTTTCATCAATAATGTAACTCATTGCACGATTTCAATTATTTTTAATAACATTTTTAATGAATTTTTCGAAAAATGCAATTATTCTTAAAAATTTTATAAAATTCTTCGTAAAAATTTTCAATTTCTTTCAAAAATTTTTCGAAATTCAGTTATTTTCAATTTTTAATATTTAAATAAAATTTCCCAAAAGAATTCAATTATTTAAAAAAAAAAATTTATTTCAAATTCGTCGAAAGAATTCAATTATTTTAAAAAATTTGGATAAACTTCTTATAAAGTTCTTTATAAGAATTGATTTACAATTGAGTTTCAGTTCAAATTTTAGATAATAATTGAATATTGAAAGCGTCAGAGTGTGAATCTTTAAAAGTAATTAAATTTCAAAAGATTTTTAAATTGAAATCATTGAAAATTTGAATTGTTACAAAACTGTAATAATATTTAAATTTTTCTTTTTAGAATTATATATAGTTAAATTTTAAAAATGCTTTACATTGAAATCAATTAAAATATTTTAATTCTTGTGGAAAAATAAATATGTATTCGAATTAAATAAACAAATATTAGGAAAATAAATAATTTAAAAGATATTATTACCAATGCATGTTCGTCGGCTAATTCGCCAACTTCCGCAGCATATGGTAGAGCCTCCGTTGTTCGCAATAATCTCTGAATTGCTTTTTCCAAATTTTGTCGCGATTCATTCCAACGATCCTCATTTTGGTTTCCATCGATCCATCCATTCGGTAGCCACTCGTATTTCAAATTATTCGCGTCTCGCCTCCAAATAATTACAATATGTAACAGAGGATCCATGGGACTTCCTTCGCCATTTAAAAGCGCCGAGACAAATTCCGATTGCGCTTCTTTAAAAACATAGGTGTACCTAACTCGTTCCGTGCTATGAAAAAGAGAAAAGAAAAAAGAAAAAAGAAAAAAAATTGAATTATAGAAATTAGAAATTAGACATTAGAATTCAATTAGCAAAAATAGATTTAAAAATAAAAATTAATAGAAAAAAGGTATTTATTTACCTATAGGGCGACTCATGAGCAGCCTGTCGGAATTTAAGTCTCGCAAAATCATGAACGGGACTATTTTGTGAAATTAAAACGGCGCAAAGACGTTTTTGTGGTCGTAGCCATTCGGGTGGACAGACGGAATCCAACATTGCTTGATTCGAGAGTCTCGGTAGTGTGAGAAATTTATTACTCGCAATAACATTGTGCATTGTATCGCTCGGTATGTCCTTCATGCTAATCGATGCCATTGGCTTTTCAATATTCTCATTGAACAACAATAGTGTATCCAAATCGCCAGTTATTTTATATTTCCCAGTGATATTTTGCGTCTCCTGCTTTCCCACTTGAACAAAACCAAAGGCAACTCGATCCCTGTGATGGTAGGCCACCAAGAGGTAACGCAAACGAGCCACATCACGTCTCTCAAATATCAAACCACGAATTCGATTGTCCATCCATCCCGAAAGAAATTCATCTAAATTCTCTTTATTTACAGCGGCTATTAATTTATACGGGAATATTTTCCTCAAGAATTCTGCAAAAAATTATTTTTCGTTTAGAAATTTTCTAAGAGAGAGAAAGGGAGAAAGAAAAAAAGGAAACGAAAAAAATACTTGCCGACAATTTTCTGTACACTGTATAAAGATTCTTTGTAAATGCTGGTCCTTCCTTCGACAGTGACGGCAAGACATGGCAAGGAATGAACGCCAATTTTTCTGGCGAGAGCTGTTTCTCTTTCGGCGTGAACGGTAAATAAACCAACACCAAGTGGTTCTAATTCATCAATTAGTCGTCGCCAAGTTGGTTCCACTTGTAAGCACGCGAAACACCAATCCGAATAGAAGAGTAGTAAATGCGGAGTTCGATAACTTTTTGGTATTACATTTTTTTCAAATGCTCTACAAATGGGAAAATTTCTCAATTCGATTCAATATTTCAATCTCACACAATTAGAACTCAACAAAATGTTCTATTACATTTATTTACGAATTTTTTTAATTGCAAAATTATTCGGAAACATCAAAAAATTCTTTTTTAAATAAATATAATTTAATCATTATTATTATTCCATAGGAATTAAAATTTTCAAAAAATTTCGAATTCAAACTTTTAAGAAATTCAACAACTTTTAAGAATATTAGGTATTATAAAACATGAAGATATCAATGACTCCGAGTCTTTCGACTTTTATTATAATTTAAATTGCCTTCGTTAAACTTTTCAAAAAAAATTAAATTTACAGAAATTTTAATAAAATCCTAAGCAAAAATTCAATTATTTTTACAAGGTAATGAAATTTTTCACATGAATTCAATTATTCAAAAAAATGTGTAATAAAATTCGTTGTAAGAATTCAATTATTTTCATAAATAATAAAATTCTTTACAGGATTTCGATTATTTAAAAAAAATGTAACTAATAAAAATTCGTTGCAATAATTCAATTATTCTCCTAAATAATGAAATTCTTCACAGGATTTCAATTATTTCAAAAAATGTAATAAAAATTTGTTAATTTTCAAGAAATCAATTATTATTTTCATAAATAATAAAATTCTTCACAGGATTTCATTTCAATTATTTAAAAAAAAGTGTAATAAAAATTCGTTGCAAGAATTAAATTTATTATTCTCCTAAGAGGCCATCCATAAATTACGTTACCAATTCAGGGGGGGAGGGGGTCTAAAAAGTCTGAAAAATTGGTAACGTAGTTTATGGATGGCCCCTAAGTAATAAAATTCTTCACAGGATTTCAATTATTTTTAATACAATTTTAAGTAAATTCTTCGAAAAATGTAATAATTTTCTAAAATTTTATTAAAATTCTTCGAAAGAATTCAATTATTTCTCAAAATTAAAACTTTAATGCTTTTAATATTTAATTATTATCTATTTGAACTGAAATTCATTTTTAAATAAATTTTTCTTACAAAGTTCTTCGAGAATTCAATTATTTGAATACAAAAATAAATAATTTATTTTTGAAAATGAACGTTTCTTAAAATTTTAATTTTTTCGACTAATATTAATAAAATTTTCAAAATTACTTTTTTTGAGGAATTCATTTAAAATTTTATTAAAAATAATTGAAATTCTATGATGAGTTTTATTATTCATGAAAATAATTGAATCTCTGTCAAAAAAAATTTATTATTTATGAAAATAATTGAATTCTCGAATTTTCTAAGTGATTTTATTTTATTTAAATATGTACCTATAATTTAAATTTTCGAAAATAATTGAATTATTTCGAAGAATTGTATTAAAAATTTTTGAAAACAATTGAATTCTTTCTAGAAACTTTATTAAAATTACCTTAAAAATAGTTGAATACTTTCGAAAAGTTTTTTTATTTAAAAAAATTATTTCAATTTTTAAAAATAGTTTTTGTTTTAAACTTTTAAATTTTTTTAAAATTTCGTTTTGAAGAATTTTATAAAAATTTTTAAAACAGTTAAATCATTTCGAGAAATTTGATTAAAATTAGATTGAAGATAATTAAATTGTTTAAAAGAATTTCATTAAAATTTCTAAAATTATTATGTATTTTCGAATATGTAACTTTATTAAAATTTTTGAAAATAATTGAATTTTGGAGAAGAATTTTATTATTTTTAAAGATAATTGAAATTTTGATGAGAATGTTTTGAAAATTTTTGCACATAATTGAATTTCTGCAAAGAATTTTATTACTTTTAAAAATAATTGAATTTCTGCAATTATTTGTAACTTGTACAAAATTCAATTTTTTTTTCATTACTTAAAAAACATCTCTGTCTTTTCCCTGAATTTCGTAACCTGTAGCAACCCTGAATATTTATAAATTTTTTTGTTACCGATATGTGATGCTCATTTTGTGAAATAACGTGATGTCCCTGCTTTGATAGTGAAATTTGAAATTTCCCGAAAATAAATCCTCCAAAGGATCTGGCATATTTTGATGACTATCTCTTCTATATCTGGGCACACTTTCCTCCGTTATTCCGTGAATATCGAACTTTCTTCTTCTTTCAGGATCAGAGAGAAGCTGCAAAAAAGAAAATGTTTTTTAGAAAAACAGAAAACTTTATTTTGCCAAAAATGTTCTTTTGTTCTTTTTAATCATTTACCTCGTAAGCTTTCGTAATTTCGACGAATTTCGTTTCAGCTTCCGGATGATCAGTCTTATCAGGATGCCTGAATGAAAAGCAGGGAAAAGGAAAATTGAGAGGAGAAGATAAAAAAATTAAAAAGCTTTCGTGTAAAGAGAGAAAAAAATCGTTACCATTCTTTAACAAGATTTTTATAAGCCTTTCTTATATCCTGTAAAGCGGCATGCCTCTTGACACCTAAAATCTCATAAGGATTTCCAAGTGGTTTGTCAGCAGAAGTCAATGGTAAAATGTGAAAGATAAACATCACAGTGAAAAGCATTGATAGTCTCCCTAATGTTGAGGTATTTTCAATGTTTCTTTTGAGCTTCTCTGATTTTTTATTATTTATCGTTATAACCGCTAAAAAATTGGCTATTAAATTAACAGCGCAATATACGCTGGATAAAAAACTTTTTGGAATATTACGAGAACTCTTCCATTTATCACTAATAATAACAGTTGCACAAGTTTCACACAAATTTTTCTCATTGTTTTTTAATGATTTATTTAAATTAGTATTATTAAATTCCCCATGAATATTGTCCGTTTTTTGTCGAAAACAAATATCGCAATAATTATCATTTATAATTGGCGCACCTGTGCCTACATTAATTATATGTAAATCCATATCTGAAACACGTGAACTGCCTTCAATTTTTATCATTTTTATAGACGATGGAATTGAGTGATTTAATGTCGTGATACTTTCCATTTCATTCATTTTATTCAGTTTATTAAATTTCTTGTTCAAATTTTGTAAAAGAAGAAGGAGATTCTTGATTTTTTTCAAAAATCTCTCACAATCTTCAGGTTGTTGTCGATGAGAAATTGATGATTCTTGAGAATGTTGATGATAATGATGTTTCAAGGAGTCTTGTGATCCCTCGACGGAGATGGTTTTTAAAGTCAAGGAAGAAGCATCCTGAGGCACTGGAAAACTTGCCCTGGAGAAGGCATGTTGATCTTGCGTTTGACGTTTGATGATGATACATGACATGTCAAAATTGTGTGATTCTTGACTTAGAATGTTGACGATTCAATAGAAATCTTTTTCATTCTGACCTGAATTATCAGTCATTTTTTTTCACTGGGGAGTTATCGTAAAATTTTGAGCGAAGCAGCGTACAAAAATAGAATCGACACCAAAAAGTCCCGAGGATGAGATGGGACGTTTAAAACGTCGCAATGCACAATGACAACAACAGTTGAAAACAATTTTTTTTCCTTTTTTTTAAATAATTAACAAATCACAATAATTTACATCACTGTTTTGCTTACTGCAATTCGAATCAAGAAATCAATTATTTCTACACTTTGGTCATGTTTTCACTCAATTCGCTCCGACAGAGGGAGTCAAACGTCAATTAACAAAGGTCACTTCAAATGCATCTGTAGAAAAGTATTTCTAAAATAAAATAACTTCAATAGGAGTATTAAGAGGCATATTTATCGTTTTATAAGACAAAATCAATATTGTAAAGTGAATAATAAAATTCTTCAATATTTCTTATCTGCAGACACGTCTGCAGGGAAAAATAAAATGTCAAGACTAAAGAAACATGTGAAGTGACCTTTAAATTCCATTTCTCGTTATTTTTTCATTATGTTAAATAATTAATAGTCTGTTTTTCAGTCACTTGCACTATATTTATTTCTTATTTTAATTTTATCAGATTTGATGCAATTTAATTTGCTAACTAATAGTAAACAAAGAAAATTTCTAACTGTAGCATTTTTAAATTTCGCGGTACAAGTTTTTTGACCAATAATATATATTTATATATCTTTTGACAAAGAGCTAACTTCAGGTTAGTCCAGAAGAGTTTGTTCTTTGTTTGACAGTTCTGTTGTGAAAACCCGCGAATGTAGACGTAAACGTGTCGGTGTCGATGTTTTTATTGTAATTATCACAATTATATATTTATTAACGATAAAAGAAAGAAATACAGTTTCAAAAAAGCAGTTAAGATCAACAATCATGAGTAGTAATGCAAAAAGGACGATATACGTTGGTAAGTTGACTATAGATCAACTCTTTCGGAAAGTTAACCTATAAATGTAAACAATGAACTTTTAAAGATTATTAATATTGTTACTAAACTATTGTTCAGATTGCGGGAATTAAGCTGTAAAGTTGAAAATTAATATTTTGTTTACAGGTGGCTTAGCTGAAGAAGTAGACGAAAAAATGCTTTCTGCAGCATTTATTCCTTTTGGAGATATTGTTGATATACAAATTCCTTTAGATTATGAATCGGAGAAACACAGAGGATTTGCTTTTATAGAATTCGAAGCTGCTGAGGATGCTCTTGCAGCAATTGACAATATGGTAAAGAAAAAAGAAATACAGTTTAGAGAAACGTATATTTAGGACAAAAAGTTTATTTTATTAACAAAATAGAAAGTAAATAAATTATTTTGAATTGTTTAATTAATCAATTGATTTGATTTTAAAAATTTAGCACGATTCGGAATTACATGGGCGGACAATTCGTGTGAATATCGCTAAACCGCAAAAGATTAAAGAAGGTTCCTCGAAACCGGTCTGGGCAGACGATGCCTGGCTACAGGAACACGCAGGAGAAACCTTAAAAGGATCGGAAACGACACCTGCCGAAGACACTGTGTCAGCTTCAAAGAAGAAACAAAATCCACAAGTTTACTTCGACGTCAGTATCGGAAGACAAGAACTCGGCAGAATAATAATGATGCTCCGAGCTGACATTGTTCCAAAAACGGCAGAAAATTTTCGTTGTCTCTGCACTCACGAGAAGGGTTTTGGATATCAGGGAAGTTCGTTTCATCGCATCATTCCGGATTTTGTATCCTTTTTATCCTTTTTCAAAATTTATAATTAATTAATACTTCTTTTTACTTTACCAAAAATCTGTATTTATCTTTTCTGTGAAAATTGTAATTTCCTTAAATTGATAATTTAGATGTGTCAAGGAGGAGATTTCACCAATCACAATGGGACCGGTGGTAAGTCGATTTATGGTAAAAAATTTGACGACGAGAATTTCGATTTAAAACACACTGGACCCGGGACATTGTCGATGGCAAATTCTGGTCCAAATTCAAATGGTTCACAATTCTTTTTGTGTACCGCAAAAACCGAGTGGTTGGATAATAAGCACGTTGTTTTTGGTCACGTTCTCAGTGGACTGGAGGTTATGAAGAAAATTGAAAAGTGCGGCACTAAAGGTGGAACTCCTTCGCAAAAAGTTGTTATCACAAATTGTGGTGAATTGACGTGAAGAAAATAAGACTGAAATAGATCCAAGTTTGTTTTACCGATAAAATAGTAACAAAATATTTATTTTCCCTTGGAAAACGAATACAAAGAGAAATAACAGTCACCGTAAAAAAAATATAAACAATTTTAATAGTAGTGGGATTTTTTTAATTTACAATCTCGATGCCATTCCACCGCTAGCAATTACTGACTCGCCAGTGATGTAGGAAGCATCGTCACTGGCTAAAAATGCAGCGATTCCTCCCATTTCGTCCGGTAAACCTAATCGTCCCATAGCGATTCTTGAATTTGTGGCATTTTCAATTTCTTCCGACTGGTACATCTACAGAGGAGAAAGATTTTAATTTTTATTTCCTAGAAGGGAAAAATTATTATTATTATTATTATTATTATTATTATTATTATTATTATTATCATCTCACCGCCTGTGAGAATTTTGTTTTTATAACACCAGGAGCGATGCAATTGACACGAATTCCGTCTCGAGCCAAATCTTCATAGGTCGCCTTGCATAATGCAACTAGAGCCGTTTTACTCAATGAATAGACGCCTAATAACTGGAAAAAAATTAACTTTTTGCTCCAAGTGCTTGTGTTAAAAAAATGAATTTTAAAAATACGAACGTACGAAACTTACATCGAACGGTTGATAAGCAGCTATTGAAGAAACAATAATAATCGAAGGCGATTTTCCCTGTTTGAGAAGAGGTCGAGCCTCTTTCATAAGCAAGTAAGTACTTTTTACATTTATATCAAATATTTTATCCCATACATCTTCACTTGTGTCTAAAACTGGACCAACACTTGGATTTACTGCCGCATTCGAAACAAGAATATCCAGTCCTCCAAATTTTGCTTTTGTCTTAAAAGTTAATTTTTAACTTAAATAATTAAAATAATTACAATTTTTGTCATTTTTTTTTTAATCTAGGTCGAACTCAATTTTCAATCTCTAATACCTGGTCTAATAGTTTCTGTCTATCTTGTTGCTTTCCCACGTGACACACAACTCCAGAAACTTGTAAACCTTCTTTACTTAACAGTTGAACTGCATTATTGACATTTTCTTCTTTTCTGCTGCTAATCATCACTTTTGCACCTTCTTGTGCCAATCTTTTTGCAATTGAGAATCCAATTCTTGAAAGAAAAATTAATTTAAAAAATTCGACAAGTTTTTTAATCATTTTCTCCATTTCTATTTCCAAAAAAAAAATTGACATACTTACAATTTGATAAAAAAAAATAATGCTTACATTATTTTCTACATGCATTTAAAGCAAAAGAAATTAATTACAAACCCTTGAGTAGATGCAGTTACGATTGCAACTCTTCCCTGCAATCGTTTGCATACTCCGGTTGTATTTGAAAATTTTTTTATCACTTGATCTGCTGTAGTTCGCATCATTTTTTCTTTTTAATACCAAAAATTAATAGGTATCTATAAATTTACAAAAAATATTTAATAGAAAAACTATTTTTCATTAAAGTACTTTGTTTTTGTTTTGTACTTTGAACTTGCTTTGAACGCAGAAACATCTGATTATTCTACAGAGTAGTTTCTAGTTTTGCATTAAAAGCAAGATTGTGAATGTAATTTCTGCATTTTTCAGTTCACTATGAATTCGACTTTACATTTAATCCCCGATTTATTCAAATTTACAACTGTTTACGTAATTTACCTCTGGAAAAATTAGAACCGTCATTCTCCACCCTCCTCAAAAGTGCTCAAAAGAAAACAAATTTTTTTCAAAATGATTCGCTTTACAGACGTTTTTGTCTTAATTCAAGCCTTCTTACCGGGTAAACAAACATTTATTTTGTAAATACAAAATTTAAAAAAGAGGTATTTATCAATCTCTGTTTTTCTGTTCTCTTATATTTTTATATAAAGAAAAAATGAATTGGAAAAAAATGTTCAATTTTTAGGTTATATTCCAAGAATATGGACCCTTTGGAAGTGGATATTTTTCAAAAAATATTGAGCAGTTGTAATGGAGTTTGGAGCGAAATTAACACGAAAGATGAGTGGAAAAATTTCAGAACAGAAAATCGTTTTCCAACGATTGATAATAATTTATTAAATGCATTAATAACATCTCTAGTTAATCTGTTGAATTACAAAGTTTCTCATGCTCTTGAGCAACGATATGAAGTTCGATTGTGTCTGATTGTAGGTTCAATTTTCAAAATTTTAATTTTCAAATTTACTAAAATTATATGGAAAATAAAGCAACTTTTTTTATCTTTCAGGATATAATAAGGGCATGGAGTAGATTAGGAGGTTCTTTGAGTAAAACATTCTTAAACGGAGAGAACGGAATAACATTTATGGTTATTATTTTGGAGAAATACTTAACAGACGAATTCTTGACGTCCGTAAATTCCGTTGAACATTTAATAAATTTCCATCGTGCCTTAATTTATCTACTGCCAAAAAATCCATCGCTAATGAAATTATCACATAAAATAATCCTTCGTCTCGCTGAATTGGAATTGACTGAAGAAAGTGAAAAATTACTGGTTTCAATTTTGGAAGCAAAGGAAAATATCCAAGTTGACGATACTATTTTAGAACAAATATATTCTTCGCAAAGGATTAAATTTATTGAAATACCGTTGAAAAATACGTTTGTAGGAAATTATTCCAAACTATCGAATTCTGATGATCACGATTGTCAATTAAATCTAGATAATGATTTGGATGAACTCTACGATAGAATAGTGAGTTCATCGTTGATTTTTCATCTGACTGTCAGTTTATTGTACGATTTATTTCTAGTAAATAATTATTCTCAAGAGATTCTTATTTTTATAAAAATAATTCTTGAGTCTGTAAGTAATCGTTGTAAGGCACGTGGAAAAGATATTCTCGATCTTTATCCAATTAATTTACAATCGTGTGTTATACTTTTGAGAATTGAGCCAAGTCAACATAGCAACGACTCGAAGAATTACACTCTAAATGAGCTTAAAAATATTTTTTTGACAAATAATCAAGATGCTGTAATACTAGTGTCTCATTTTCCCCTTTGGTTAGAAGTATTTGCATCTTTTTTAATTTCCAATCAATGTGATTTAAATTCGTAAGCATAGTCTAAAGAATGTTTTATTAATATTGACTCTCAGGGATTGTAATTTAATTGCATATTTATGTATATAGTAGTAGGAAAAAAGAGAATTTCTCATCTTTACTAAAAGAAAATAGGTATATTTATCTCAAACTTTGTTTTTTAAAAAATATTTTGAATTTAGTACCGTCAACAGGGGTAATTATGGAACATCAGAGGTAAATATGGAACGCGTAATTCTTTTTTATGTAAAATTTTTGTGATAAATTATTTTAATTTGGTTCTTGTTGTAAATAATAGTTTAATATATTGCCTAAAAAGTTACTCAGATGTTTTTATTTTTATTGTCATTGGCAACGAGAAAATAATTATTAAACATCGAAAAAGTGGAAAGATTATTTCACAAAAGTGTAAAAATCTACTAATTTCTTCGAATTAAATTCGCGTTTAGTTTACTATTATTATCTATTATTATTTTACTCTGCAGTACTAAATAAAGTTTTCTTTATATACAGACAAAGAAAATTTATTATACTTGCTTTTATAATTAATTATAATAATTTGTTCTATAATTGCCCCAAATGCGAGGCAATTATGGAGCAATATTTATGTTTAAATAACTCCGTCAAAAAATTTTTTTTTGTCAATGGAACTTGAAGGAAATCTTTAGAAGAATGTTCACAATATATTTGAATAGCTAATAAAATTTTTTTGTACACTTTAGATTTTTAGTGAAGAAGAAATTCAAAAAATCGCGTTTTTTTGTTCCATAATTACCCCTGTTGACGGTACTAAAACAAAATCATGTTTATATTATAACAAATTGTAATAAACTATAACTTTATTGACAAATCGGAATTATACATTTCCTTCAAGTAATTCATTTCTAATCAAAATCGATTTGTTTTTTATTTATTTAATATCTTGACCTGTCTTTTTTTATTTTCGTAATCCAGCTTCATTAAAAAAAGAAAAAAACTGAAAAATGGTACTTTTCTCTTATAGTGCAACTTTTCTCTTTTAATCATTAGACTAAGTTTGTTCTTAAAAAACAAATTTAACAAAATCGTGATTCCATTTTTATTCCATTTTTTGTCCCGTTGGAATTTCTTGTATTTGTATCGGATCGAGAAAATTTGTGCCATTAGTTTTTGATGGTAAGAGTGGAACTGATTTTGGAATGACAGGAATTGAAGTGGATTTGGTTTCATTTTCCGGAGCAGGATTTAAAGTTGAAATGGAATTCGTTTGTCTTGCGAGTGGTTTACGTTTCTTTGAATTATCAAATTTTTGCCGATCTCCTTTTTTTTCCGTTTTCAATTTCAAATTAGAATTCTTCGACTGGCCCACCTGTCAAATCCAAAGCAATTTAGTAATTCACACTTTTAAAAATTGGAATTTTGAAAATAAAAGATTTTCTTAATTTTTACTTAAAACTTGAGAACTTTAATCTCACGATTCAAAAATTAATTCAAAATTAATCTCAATTAAAATTGCGAAAAAATAAAAAATATTTGAGATTAAAATTCTGATAATTCTGAATTTCATTTTTCATGAATTTTTCATTTAATTCTATTTAGATTCTAATCACTAGCAAATGTTACGCCCGCGGAACGAGATATTCAACTGAGCCGCAGCCGCAGCCGCAGCCGCAGCGTGCAATAATAAAATTTTTTATTCTTAAATATAAATTTTTGAATAATAGATACATAATTAATTATTTTTATAAATAGTAAAATTTTTTGCAAAAATTCAATTTTTTTAAAACTTTTAATAAAATTTCACGAAAGAATTCAATTATTTTTTAACATTTTAATAAATCTTTCACAATTAAATTATTTTTTTAAATAATAAAATCTTTGCAAAAATTCAATAATTTTTTTTTTTTTTTTTGATCAAATTCTTAGTAAAAATTCAATGATTTTCAATATTGTATTAATTTTAAAAGTTTGATTTGATGTTTTGTCCCATATAATAAATTTAATAATAGTTTAAAATTGGCATTTGTATAGGACATGAAATGTGTACATACAACATTTACGTTTCGAAACCTCATCAGAATTTATTTAAAAATCATAAAATAATATGCCATAATTTAAATTTGGGTATGGATGTGAAAGTGAATAAATCCAAATGCAAAAAAGTGACCTTATTGTTGTTTTATATATCGGTCATAACTATAACCAGATGTTTTTTGGTTAATTTAAAAAAATTGCTAATATTTTTGCAAATATTTTTGCAGTAATGACCAGCATGGCAACATTTTTGCATCGGATCACAATACATACAGATTATGATTTTTATATATTTATAGGTATATATTATTAATATGATATTTATGATTGCATATTTTATGATTTTTAAATAAATTTAAACGTAAATGTTGTATATACACATTTCATGTCCTATATACAAATGCCAATTTTAAACTATTATTATATTAATTTTAAAATTGAACATACCTATTTTAAAGTAATATTATTGAAAAAGTTAGGAAACAAAGAAGCAAACCTAAACTAACTTCAAACTGCGAACAGATATAATTAAAAGTTATAATTAATATTAATAGAATAATCTATAAATAAATTACTATTTTTTATAGATTATTTAGCTGAAAGGAATGAAATGAAGTTAAAGAGAAAATAAAAATTGAAAGTACAAATTTGAATAAAGGGGACGAAAAATATACTCCTCCTAAAAACCACTAAACAATCATATAGGAAATATTTAATTCATTCTTTATTTCACGGAACTGTACATCTCTAGATAAAATAACGGCACAGTGAAAGAAAAATGTGTAAGTCAACAGTTGAAATGCGACAAAAGAATTTTTTAGCAAACAACAAAATGACAATGATTTTTTTTTCTTCAAATTATCATAAAGTCATCAGGCACGATATAAATGCTTTCCTTATTATTTTTTTTCGAGAAGAAAATTCAAAAAAGAAAAAAATTTCATATATATATATATATATGTATATATGTAATAGAAAGAAAAAAGATTTCAAAAAAAGCTTTAATTTCTTTTTATACAAACAACCCTTAGAGAGATTAACACAATTAAGTATATATGGACAATTTCTCAAAAAAATCTTCATCGAAACGAAATAGTAAAATGTTTTCAACACAATAACATTTTCTATATAATTTATTTAAAAAAAAAGTGATCGTGAGTTGTCGATCTCTAAACATTCACTGAATTCACATCTATCGTATAAGCGAGAGAAAGAAGGAAATAAAAATTAAATTTCAATTTTAAGAGCCACCACCTTTTCTCATAATATCTTTTTTTGAGTCAAGAAGCCGGGTAAAAGCATAAACAGTAGAAATTTTATAAAATGAAATGCTCTGTTATCTTATAAAATGTGTTTACATTTAACATCGAGGCGATGAGTTGTATTTTTCTGATTTTCCAAAAAAACGTGAGCTCTATTTTTTTGCACACACAATAATTTTAGTTTTTTTTTAAAAGAACAGCGATGTTTACAATAATTCGATTTTGGTTCTATTTTTTTCCCAACCCGAATTTTTTTTCTTTCTAATTTTATCGACCTTATACAATTTTTGGATGAATTAATTATAATATTCACACGTACATACGCACGCCCATACACGCTCACACGTACACGCATGCGTGTGCAAGTTTTATGTAAATATATAATATATATTTTATATTCATATATATATATAGTAATATATATAAATTGTTTTATTCTGTAACTATATATTTTCACTTGAGAAAGGGCGAAAGATCGCAATTTGAAAATTGAACATCTTTTTTCTTTTAAGCTTGAAGCGATTTTTCGCCCTGTTGAAAAATTTTTTTTATTATTATTATTATTACAAACTATGGCGGAAAACGTCTAGTCGATGAAATAATTCGACTAAATTTTCAAAAAACCCTTTTGGTTCTACTGCAAAGTCGTATTATTTATTTATTTTTTTTTTTTGAACGGTAAGTTGATAATTGTTTAACAATTAATTATTATGCTGATATCATTATGTCCATGTAATAAACGTTGAGAAAATCGCACACCACTAAAACACTCGTTTTGCCACCGTTTAGGAAAAGAAAAATAGTAGCGGCAATTGGAAAAATCAAATAATTAAATATAATCAGCTCCTCTCTCTCCCTCTTTTTTCCCCACAATTTTATTGTGAGAATTCCTTAAAAATTTCTTTTACTATAATTTAAATTTGATAAAATTCAAAAAGATCAAAACAATGAAAATAGATTAAAATTAAAATTAACTTAAAATATACATTTTATGTAAGACATTTTTTTTCCTTTTGAAGAAAGCCGCCAATTATATTGGACAGTTTTTTTTTTAATAAAAAAAGAGAAACCCAAGAGTCCGCTACTTAAAAAAAATATTTTTTCTACACACACACGATTATACCAAAGCACGCATGCAATAAACGCAAGCACATTAGGGCAACGAACATACGCACTCCAGTTTTCTAATACAATTTTTTCTTTTTTTTTCGTTTTTCTTTCTTAACTTTCGACTCGATCGAAAAATTTTCCTTTCTCTAAATATATATTTATTTATTTATATATATATATAACGTCGATTGAAAACGAAGTGGCTCTAATAGGTCGCATCGAAGACGTGCTGTACACTTTTTTTCTTTGAACTTTCTTTTTTTTTATTCACTTATTCGTTTTTTTTAAAGACGCAGCTCGGTAGTTTTATTTTTTAAAACTGTAATAAAGAAAACTAATAGTAATAATATTAATATTAATAAACATTATCGCCGTATTGAATAATAATAATAATTATAATAATCGCAGCAGTAAAGAATTTAAGCTACCTCACAATCAGAGTTTGTGTAGATTACTTTTTTTTTTACATCGAAATGCGCTCAACAACTAATTACATAATTAATAACCACCGAATGATAAAATCGTTAATTCGATTAAATCTTCATTCATTAATTTACAATTTTCAATTAAATTAATTTTACAATGTTATGTATATTCAAATTAACGGATTTTTTTTCATTCTGTATTGAAAAATTTCAATAAAATTCTTTATAAGAAAAAAAATTTAATTAAATACTTGGAAAAAATTTAATTCTTTTCCTAAAATAATGAAATTCTTCACAGAAATTCAATTATTTTGGAAAATTTTGGTAACATTTTTTGTCAGAATTCAATTAGTTTTAAAATTCAAAGATATTAAAATGAAAAATTATCAAAAAAATTAGGAAACAAAAAGCAAATGAAATCTTTGATCCACAAGTTCTGAATTTTCAATGTAAACAAATTTTTTTTCTTTTTTTTTCATTTTGAATTATGGCACAAAATATTAATTAAAACTTAATTCATTAATTATTAATTTATTTATTATGCTATTTAAAAATATTAATGGATAATTAATAAAAAATATTATTTACCCATTGAAAAATAAATTATTTACTTAATAAATGTTAAATAGAATTTTATTTAGGAATTCAATTATTTTGAAAAATAATCAAATTCTTGACAAGAATTCAATTATTTCCAAGAATAATATAATTTTTCACAGTAATTCAATTATTCTAAAAAATTTTAATAAAAATCTTTATAAGAATTTAATTATTTTGAAACAATATTATTGGAATAAAATTTGTATTTGGAAAAGAAATAATTAAATTTGAAACTTCAGCACTTTAGGAAAATAATATTTTCAAAAATGTATCTCGATGGCTATAGTGTATAGTCTCTATGGTTAAATTCTTAATTAACTTTTTCTATTTACAATCTAGAGTAAAAAAAAATTTTTAAGTAAAAAAAGAACTTTAAAGTACAAAGAATATTGACAAATCAACAAAGACTGATTGTGAGGTAATGCAATAACCGTAATAATATTAATAATAATAATTAATAGCAGTGATTGTAATAACAGTAAAGATTTATCCCCTCACTTACAACCGTGTAATTTTCCTGCGCCTATTGCTTACACTTTCGATAATAATATTAATTCTTTAGCTAATCTCGACGATTAATAACCGTTTGTATTTTTTATTGCAAAAAAACAGCAAACCAAACTATCCTCTAACAACCACCATTTTTTTCTCTATTAAAAAAATTGATAAATCTCCGATGAAGATAGATTCAGAGCTAAGAAGAAGAAGAAGAAGAAGAAGAAGAAGAAGAAGAAGAAGAAGAGAAGAAGAAATTTGATTTTTTTAGAAATGGATAGAGAAGAGGGAAAGAGAGAGAAATGTCTAAAAAAAGAAATAAAGGGAGAGAAAAGAAATAATTATAGTCATAAAAATTGTGTTAATCCATGTGTGTGGCAATAGTAATTCTTAATAGTTATTCTCTCACTAGACACGATTCAACATATAGAAAGTTTATCGTTATTATTTAATAGTTATTATTTATCATTTTTTTTTATAATTATTATCTTAAAGCTGTCTAAGAACTCACTGCGTGGCAGGAGTGTCGTGTTTTTTCTTTTTTATTTTATATTACTTTTCTTACTTTAAAAACGTGTTTGAAACGTTTTTTTTCTGTAAATCTGTTTCTCTGTTATGTCTGTTTTTCTTTTTAAATTATAAATTGGAAAATAATTGCAATTTTTAGTGTAAATTGTGTATATTTATGTGTTTCTGTTTCTTTCGTGAATGTAGTTTTTTTTGTATAATCTTAAATATTTACTACTTGTTGATGCTTTGTAATTTGTATTTTGTATAGATCACAATGTCATAACCACCTGCGCCAATGAACGATTTTTTGTATGCCTTTTCGTTTCCTTTCATATTGAACATTTTTCTTTTACTCAAGAGTCACAGTCGCCAACGAACATTAAAAAAAGACTCTTATATTTGTAAAATTCCTTTTTATAATTTCATAATTTCGCATACATTTCAAAAAATTATTTTATTAAATATTAAATTTGAATTTACAATAGTCGAATAATTTTAATTATTCCTAAATAACCACACAATAAAATACTTCCTTTAGAAGAAAGTAAAAAAAAAACAAACAAAATGGTACTTTCATTCTCAAAAAAAAAAGCACGTTAGTTCTTTGCGAATAATCAACACGGTGCTTAACAAATTTAAGAGTGACGTATATTTTTCCTGGCGACCCTGGCTTCACTTTATTCCTCTTTTTTTAAGTCTCCTTGGATTTCTATAATTGTGATTTATATTTCGTTAATCTATCCTTTGAATTATATGTAATATCCTAGTTAAATTCAGACCAGCCGAAATTGTTGATTTAGAATAGAAGAGACAAAAAAAAGAAGATAATAATAATAATAATAATAATAAATCGAAGATGCAACGGAGAACAATATTAAGAACAATCAATAATCAATAATCATGAAACATTAAATTCAATAATATGAATATGAACAATCAATCACAATTAAAAAGACGCATTTGATGCGTCTTAAATCGAAATATATAATAAAGATCATCGCTAAAAAATAAATAAAATTTTTTTTTCATCTCTCAATTGAAATTGCGAAATGTCTTCTGATTTTATTGCAAATCATCATTCATCGCCCTTTTTTTATATTCAATTAAATAGCACGTAAATCTGTGTATGCATAATCTATGCCGCTTATTTATTTATAATAATAATAGATTTCGCACCAGCGCGAAATGCTTACGAGTTTTTGTCGTTCCATTTTCGGACAGTATTTCATTTTTTTAACACGTATATTTTATCATTATAATATTTTATAAGAACGTAAAAGGGAACGGATAGTCGTTCAAAAAATTGTCGACATCATCGTTAGCACAGCGTTGCAGAATGAAAGCGTATAAGATTTTCTGGTTTTTTTCTTTTTTTTTCTTTTTTTTTTTGCTTTTTTTAAATATTTTTTCCATTTCATTTTCTTTTCTCTTCCATCAGGGAATTAACTCGAACGTGTATCCATCTCCGACTCGATCTTCAATATTACATTTCGAATAAAATCGATTTTTTTGTTTTCCTTGCGCCCGAAAGAAAAACGGACCCAAGTGACTGCCAGCCAATAATGAATGACAGTGATTTGAAAATCAATATGACTTTTTAGTTTCTTGGGTTTCGCAGACACCTGGGTCCGTTGACATTGGCATTTCGTTATAATTATACAGTTTACATAGATTCTATATAAATACCTAATATGTTTATTCGTATAATACATATCTAAAATGCAATTGTATTAGAAGTCGGCCGTCGAGCTCAAACATCGTGAACGTATCTTTTTTTCTTTTTTTCTTTGTTTCTTTAAAATTCTTTAAACAGACACACTGGATGTGTATGCTAATAAAAAGAAGACTTTCGATTACGTTCAAGTGTGTGCCCGATTAAACTGTAATTTAATATATTTTATAATAATATACACATTATATGGATCGTAATCGGCTATTATCTCTTTTTGCCGCCTATTATTTTTCTTCTCTATATATTACCTCATTATTATTATTTATTTCAATAAAAGACGTCGATCGATTTGTAAAAACGAAGGATGTAAATGTGAATGCGTATTATAGGTTGTCGCAGTGTATACCGTTTGACGATTTCAAAATTTTCCTCATGCGCATTTTTTTCTTAATTTTCTTAATTTTATCACTGATATTTCTTTCTCAATAATTTTTCAATAAAACAAAATTTTAATATTTCTCTAAAATAAATTTAAAGCGACACCAAAATGGAACGGTCGACGTTCGTCTCTTTTTTTCCTCCGCGACGTAAATCGTTAATATAACAACTATTTTATCCATAAATTCTGAACGATCAAATTCAATTGTAAACGTAACCTCGACTACAGTCCATTTCCCGCGAGGAATTATTTTTTTTCTCGTTGGACATGAGGCGTGCTGACGAGAGATAAGTTTTGAAAGAGAAATAGGGAAGAAAGTAAAGAGTTAGAGGGAGTGTGGGGAACTTAGTTTCAATGAATAAACTGATAGCTAAAGAAAGTGCAATTATTATCGTGGGGAGAGGGAAATGGGGGGGGAGTGGGTGGGGCGAAAAACCGAGGAAATGAACGGTAGTATATACAACGTTAATCGACGGCAATTCCCGTCCAAATAAGGACATTGCGCTCCATAACCTTCGAAATACCTACAAATTTTTTTTTTTTAATAATCGTAAAACTCGCTTTTTTACGCGTTTGATAATAATTCGTCAATAGATAAAACTGGTCCAGCCTTTTTTCTTTTTCTTAATGAAATATGTACTTTGAAACGAGAAATTGATTGGGACAAGAGACTAGATGCTCTGTTTAATTTAATCAGAATTCTAGAAACGCCACAGGATACGAGAGTAACGATGATTGATGATGATAATGGTAATGATGATGATGATGATGATGATGATGATGATGATGATGATGATGATGATGATGATGATGATGATGATGATGATGACGGCATATGGACTCAGAGACAAATTATTATTATAATTTTTTTTATATAGTAACGCCTAACGATTCGAAAACGAGTTACGGTTAGAATTCCAATGTTCGAGTTAAGTTAAAGCCTTTTTCACTTGATTAAAGGGGAATCTAGATTTGGATTGGGATTGGGTTGTTGTGAAGTAGAAGATGGTGATGGTACCTGTGCCATCACTGATCCTTTTCCTTCGGACAGTGAACTGCTTCCGCCGCCAGCGCCAACGCCACTCTCCTTCATTTTGTCACAATAGTCCGCGAAGATGTCTCGGAATCGTGCCCAGGATTTCTCTGGTACTGTTATGGCCGTTCTGAAGTTTGTCTTCACCTGTCGATTAGAAATTCATTTCACTAAGAATATTCTCAAACAAATTATTCAAAATTGGTCCAAACTATTCAGAATTACTCTAAATTATTCAAAATTACTCCTAATTATTCTAAACAGCAAATGTTACGCGCGAAACTCGGTACTGAATTTATTATTATTTAAATTACAACATTTCTTTTCTATTTAAATATCAACTTTAATTTTTTTTAATAATTTCGAATTCAAAATTGAAAAAATTCACATATTAACTAATTTTAATTCTAATTTACTATTTTCAAAAATTTTAATTAAATTGTTCGCGAAAATTCAATTACTTTTGAAAATAGTAAAATACTTCACAGAAAGTTAATTATTTTCAATACAATTCTTAAATTTTATTAAAAATCTCCCAAATAATTCGAATGATTTCAAAAATTCTAATAAAAATTTATCCAAAGAAGTCAATTATTATTTTCGAAAAAATAAAATTCTTCTCAGGAATTCAATTATTGTAAAAAATTTGTAGTTAAAATCTTCGAAACAATTCAATTATTTTCATAAATAACAAAATCCTTTGCGGAAATTTAATTATTTTTTATAGATAATAATATTCTTCGCTAGAATTCAATTACTTTTATAAATAATAAAATTTCGCAGAAGAATTCAGATTTTTCAATATGGAATTTCTACAATTTAAATTTAAATTCAAAATTAAAAAGATTCACTAATTATATAATTATTGTAATCAAAAATTTTAATAAAATTCTTTGGAAAAATTTAATTATTTTCAAAAATTTTATAAAAATTCTATACAAGAATTAAATTATTTTTAATACCTACAATAAGTTTAATTAAATTCCTCGAAAGAATTTAATTATTTAAAAAAATAATAATAATTCTTCGAAACAATTCAAACATTGTGAAAATTTTTAGTAAAAATCTTCAAATAAAATCAATTTCATAAATAATAAAACTCTTCGAAAGAATTAAATAAAAAATTAAAATTTCAATTTTAATTAAATTCCTTGAAAGAATTGGTTGATAAAAGTTTAATAAAATTCTGTGTAATTGTTTTGAAAATTATGAATTTTCCTAAAATAAATTGTGTTTAATTAATTGTTATTATGTAATCTTGAAAACAAAAAATCAGAGTTTTTTAATTTAAAAATTCAAAAGAAAGAGAGAAATTATATGAAAATGCAGACAAAAACAACTAGATTCAAATTGCGAACAGTTTACCGGAATACAACGATAATTCCAATCATTTTGATTGGAAATTTGATGAAAAATCATTTTTCGAAACAAACCTCAGAGATTCTCATGTAAATGCCTCGATTATTTTGTCCAATATCGAAGTAGAAATTTTTATTGTCGACGCGCATGTAACGTCCTTCGGGTAAGTCTCCCTTAAAGCCACCATCATCCGTGCCAAATTCCTCGAGAAGATCTGTTAAGGCATCGCGAAACTCGATCATACCTTGCGCTGGTATCGCGATCTGTGTTCTCGGTCCCCCTCGTGTTATCGTTTGCGACACCTAGTCAATGTATACAATCATTTAATTTCATTTGCCTTTCATTTGCTTTGACTTTTGCAAAAAATCCGCTTCTAATTTATCACTTTTTCTTTTTTAATTTTTAAATATAAAAGAAATAATTATTGCATTTTGATACAATTGCCAGTTTTTTACGGCGTCTTTTCATTTTTAAATTACATAATGAAAATAATTACTGCCTTTCGATACAGTTGCCAGTATTTTCATCGTATTTTCTCATTTTTTTTATAAATATAAAAAAGAGAAAAAAAAATTGCAGTTTGTTACAGTTGCCAGGATTTTCATCGTATCTTCTAATTTTGAAATTTAAAAAAGAAAAGAAAAAAAATTGCATTTTTGATTATAATGTGAAAAAAGAATAAAAGCTAAAAAAATTATATATTTGCTGGTCGGTACATACAGCGGAACTCACCCGCAGGAAACGGCCACGAGAATTTTCCTTAAGGTCTAGATAATACCGCCTATTATCCTTAACCATCATTTCCGACTTAAGTTTCCCATCATCCGGAACATTATCAGGATTTGGTGGACCTGAACAGTCACAAAAATTTAATAAAATTCGAATAAATCAAATTTTTCGTATTTAATTTATGTAAAAAAAAAGAATTTCCAAAAAGATAAAAAATTACCTAAAGATGCGTAATAATCACTAAAGGTTGAAAGATGATCTCGAAATTCCGATGCTGTACTAAGTGCTAGGAAGATTTGGCTTCTTCTCCCATCAGCTCCAATCTATTGGAACAAAAAAATAATGTTTAATTATATTTTTTTTCTTCCGAATTTTTAATTCTTTTTCTTCTAAATTTCAATATTTTTTCCTCACAATTTTCAATATAATTATTTTCTTCTAAATTTGAATAATAGTTTCTCTAAATTTTAACTATAATTTTTTTCTTCTGAATTTGAATAATAATTTCTCTAAATTTTATCTTTCAAAAAGATAATTAAATTAATTAAAATTAAACTTCAAATTTATCTTTCAAATTTTAATTATATTTTTTCTCTAAATTTGCATTATGAAAAGAAATTTCTTTTTCATTCTAAATTTGATACAAAGAGTTCTATTTCAGAAAAAAAAGAAAATACAAATTACAAGCTTTATTTATCTAAATGAATGAATGCGACAAACTGTATATAAAGTGAAATATTTAATTACCTCCGCAACTTTGATAAATCTGCCACGCTTGTTCTGTTTTACATCAAGGTAGAACCTTTTACTTTGTATTTGCAACATTTTCGTCGCCAACTCCTGCTCGGCTTGCTGACCTTGCTGACCTAAAAATATTCAATTTCAAATCAATTTCTAGTTTTCCAAGACCAACAAAATATTTATATTTTTTCTAATTACTAAAAAATAGAACATAGATATTTAATTATACTCTTTTTACCGTTTAATCGAAATACATAATTATTTCCTCTCTTCATTATTTATATTATAATTCAAAACCTTAACTTTCGTATATTTTTTTGTATTTAATTGTTCCATTTTCAAAATTAGAATTAATTTTAAATTGTACAAATCTACAAAATTGACAAAATTTGTTCAAATTTTGTTTTAAAATTCTAAATTGTGTATTTTGAACATAGGCGCAATTTTAGTCGTTTATTTAATTATACCTATAAATGATGTAAAGTTTCAATATAAATAAAATAAAAATACCTAAATAGATAAAATAGATAAAATAAAAAAATAAAATAAAATAGAAATAAAACAAATAAAAATGAAATCAAAAGATCAAATAAATGTATAATATAGAGGAAAAGTAAAGATAAATATAAAGAAATGGAGAAAACAATGTTTAGCTATTAGAAACTATCAAGAATTTATAAGAGAGAGAGAGAGAGATTTCTTCCACTTGAGAACAATTCTCATCTCCAGCATCACGGTGGTAAGAGAGGCGCGTGAATTGATCCTACTAACTTCCGAGAGAGGCAGAGAGACAGAGAGAGAGAGAGAGAGAGAGAGAGAGATCTTTAGAAAACTGGGCTAAATGGGAGGAAGGGGTTGGTTACTTTCAAACTAAGCTCACTGGGTCATTCCAGAAACAATCGGAAGTAAAATGGTCACTTCTTTTCCTTCAAATAAAATTTTATATTCTTCACATTTTTTTTCTATTTTGACAAACTACTTAAAATCGAAGTTTGAACTTGTTTCTATTTTTTTTAATGAAGAAAAGAGTTAAAATAGAAAATTATTTATAGAGAAACGTTTCCTGTCCTCTAGGAGATCAATAACAGCTGCGCCTTCGGGTCATCAATCCCTTCCTTTCGCAATTTCCTTAATTTTTCTCACTTTTTCTTTTTTGTCTTCTCAATTTTTCCTTTAAAATATCAATTTTCAAATTCTCTTTTCCTTTTGATCTTCATCTTCCAGTCCAAAAGGATTCGCTCGATTTTCACGAAAAATACAGAGAGGTTGACACTGTGTCAAGGACGTTTGTAAAATGAGGTGAAGGAGAGAGAGAGAGAGAGGCGAGAGTGGAAAAGCAAAAGAAAACTGATTGAAACTTCCGCGTTTGTTTATTGTTCTTTTTATTTACAATTTTCGAGTTTTTATATTCTCATCAGTTTGTTAATTTTCTACTTTTTTATTTACACTCTTTTTCACCTTTTGAGAGACAATAAATTTTCTTTTCCTTTTTCCTAAAATTCAGAGTGAGATTTTCTTACGGTTTAAATATTTTTCGAAAATTTACAAATTAATTTTTTATTTACACTTTTTCACCTTTTGAGAGTCAATAAATTTTCTTTTATTTTTCCTAAAACTCTGAGTGACATTTTCTTTCGGTTTTAATATTTTTCAAAAACTCACTAAATAAAATAGAAAATAGTGAAAATTGAAAATTTCTGCTTAGGAAATAATTAATTTTTTTAATTACCGAATAATATTTTTAATATAAAATATAAATTGAATGAAATAACAAAAATGTTGTACAAAATTCTAAGAACATCTTTTTTCATGTCTAATTCAAATTTCCCTAAAAGAAAAAATTGTAAGTGACAAAATTCTCCGAAATGAAAATCCCTCCAAATTGTCAATTTTCTTTGAAAATAAAATCGATTAAATTTATTTGTAATTCGCTTACTATTTACTATTTACTATCCTATGAATAGAAAAATTCGATTCAGTTAAACGAAAATAGAAAAATATGTAAAATCGAAAAAATATTCGTCCTTATAAAATTACTTTTCGGGCGAAAAATATTCGTCTTTATAAAATTTACTTTTCGTTCGAGAAAATGAATATTTTTTCGTCTATACAAAATTTACTTTTGTGGACGAAAAAATATCCGAACATCGCCAAAAATAGATGAAAATCATTCGACAAATGCCTTTTAAAATTTATGAATAAAAGAGCAAATGAGATAATTGAAAATTTGCATAAATTAAAAAAAGGAAAAAAAGGAAAAAAATGAGGCGTTTCAATCGCGGTGGGTACATACTGGATTGTTGCAGGCTGCCTGAAATGGGGACAGGGCTGAGGTCACCCTGGAAGATTCTGCTCTTAAACATCTTGTCGATGCTGCGATAATCGGTATATCTGAACATACTCCCTTTCAAAATCTCGTTGAAACAACACCTCGATTCAATTATCTTCTCACCCAATTAGCAATTATATTTATCCAAGCGATTCGTCAAAAATATCCTCTCCTTCCTCAGAAACATTTCTCTTCATAATTCAAACAATTATTTTTTCACTCGGAACATATTGATGACAAATCTTTTCCAAAAATCAAATTTCGATTTTCAAGTTGCTATCAATTCAATTTTACTCAATTATTCATATTCAATTAATAATCAATTCAATTTAAAGTAAATTAATAGAAATTAAAATTTAATTCTATATAAGTTTTGTTTTATTTTAATTTTATTACTTTCTTTTTAATTTCAAAGAAATTGTTATCCAAATTTATTTCTGCTTCCAAAAATGTTCATCTATTTTATATTTTCGAAAAATGGAAAATTTCCTCCACTTGGGAAAAAATATGTATTTTTTTCATTTTTAAAACCCGTCTTGTAATAAATATTGGTTCAAATTTCGAGAAATTCCATCGAAATATTGTCGTCGTCGTCGTCGTCGTCGTGTATTATTTTCTCTGAGGTAGACTTTGTAATTCCCCATTCTCCAGAGAGGAGAGAGAGAGAGAAAAACTACCTCGAAGGGTTTACTAGGTCACCATTTATCAGGAAGAACGCTGAAAATCTTACGACTCCTTATTATCTCGCCCCGTTCATTCGAATAAAAATTCTCTACAAAAAATCTCCATCAAAATAAAATTTCTCGAACCACACTTTCGAAAATTGGAAATTTGTCAAATTCAATCATTTTTCTATTTCCTTCGCACTAGGACAGAAATTTTCTTTTTTCAATCTCTGTTTTCGAAAGCTCCTTATGGAAACTTGATATTTTTCTCCTTCACTTCTTACGTAACACGTTAGTTGTAGTCGATCACAATTATTCACATATTGCAGAGTGTTTGCTTCTTTTATTCCTGTCATTCGTAATTTTTTTTCTCAAAAGCAGAATTGTGCGAAATTGCTTTTCAGTTTTCTTCGAGTGGATGTAATTATTGGACACACTTCCGGTGTCTGATGATAGAAACCGAAAACTAAATTGTTTTCGTTGGAAAAATGGAAAGATGATTTGAGTGAATATTGGCACTTATTTGATGGTGTGTCGATTTCGAGTGGACCATTGTGGATGATCGCATTTCTTTTTCTCTCCCTTTTTTCGACTACGTTTACAAGCCTGTGGCACGAACTTGGACGTGGACGTAACGTAGACGGAATACATGTATGCACGTACTCCAAGGAGCAAGTGCATTGATCTCTGCGCGCCCGCGACCTGCCTCAATGCGAACTGCATTCCCCTTTCCTGTCGACTAAAGCCTTGTTTCCATGACCGTCAACGATGCGTCGTCGTCTTCGTCGTCCCTCGTCCTCAAACAAATTCACCACTTAAGCAAAATTTAAAACAAAAAACCAATTAGTAAATTGAATTTCTATCTTTTCTATTTAATCCAATTTTTTTACCTATTTTCTAAATTTTCGCTAATTTTTAAATTAAAAAAACACATTCGTGGAACAATTTCGCCAAAAATATTCAATCATACCGATATCTTTGTTCGAGGAACTATAAATAAATTTGATTCATCAAAATCTGGAAATAAAACTCGAGGGAATTTCGAATTTACAAATTCTTTGTAAATTTCTTTCATCTTTCGCTTCTTTTTCTTTTTCTTTTTCTTCTTCTTCTTCTTCTTAGGCGTCATAATTACAATATTCTCAATTTGCTGACGAAACGAAAGAAATACAATTGTCAAAAGGAAAAGAAAATATTTCTCCTCCCATACGTTACACTCTTGATTTTAAAATAATTGTCAATTAGAGAAAAAAATAACAAACAAAAAAAAAACAAAAAACAAAAATAAGACGAATCACTTCAGTGCAAAGTCCTAAAAAGAGTTTCTATAAATAATTGTCGTTACTGTGCGCGGACAAAAGTATCAACTGAATGTGACATCTCAGGGGACTTCCCAAGTGCCAAGAGAAGAGGAAAAAAACAACACGGGAATTCGAGAATTTATCGATGAAAAATTTTCATTTTCTCATTTTTTTCGACAATTTTGTCTAGAATGAAAGTTTTGAATTAAGAAAAAGAGACTACCTTCTGGCTTCCAGTATTGTATTTTATCCATAGTGTCACCCCAACCGTTAGTCAAAATTCTCTCAACATTTGTCGGACATTCGTTTTGAATTAGTTGAACGAGTTCTCCCATATCAGCCGAGAATCACTATTCAATCGACACGATTTCTTTCTTCTCTCAGAAAGTAATAACCGGACGCGAAATCTCGTTCTTTTCACTTTAAACTGTCACTATTTGTTCACGATTCTTACATATTTTTTTTGCAATTAAATATCAGAGAACAATACTCGTGAAATGTGAATACAGTCCCTTTAAACACTTTCGTTCATCTTTTGTTTTCGTCACACGAAACATTTGAAAATCGGTCCTAAAAGCACAAGAAGAAAGAATTAAATTTAAAAAATAATTTTAAAACGAAACAAGAAGGTTCTTTATTAGTTACTGGATTTTTAGTAAAAAGAATGACAATGAACTCTTAAAGTAATTTTAGGTTATGTTAGGAATCTAATCTGGATTTCGTCAATTTGAAATATAAATAAAAATAAATGAAAATTAATCAATTATTAGGTACTATATAATTATATTATAATTCTTTTTTAATCCTTATAATGAATCTTCCGGTGAAACAAGAAATTCATTCTCGAGACGAATAAGAGACGAGAGATAAGCGACAGCAAGTCTACTTTGCACGATCTGACAATGAAGAAAATAAAATTCTATTTCTAAAGAAGTCTATAAAAAGAAATATTATTTCCGTTAAAATTCTCCCTTTTATTTACAGTTGAAAATTGGAAATTACATTTGCAAATAATCGAAAATAGAAAGTTCAATAGATTTTCATACTAAAAAAACAATGGACCACCAGCAGAGAAGATCCGGAATTTCGACATGACTCACACGCGACCGGGAATCACGTGTACATTGTCAGATCGTGCGATTACCTTTTAAGTCAATAAACTGTCACAATCTCACAAAGATAAATTCACAATAAAATTCAAGAAATACGCTAAATACCATTTTGTGACACACGATTCTCTTTTTAAAAATGATACTTTCTTGAAATAGTTTTTCGGTATCGTTTAAAGTTTACTACGAAAAGTAAACTTTTCGGAATTTCTGATTAGATGAAGGAAACGAAAGTTTCAAAGGACTAGAGGAAAAGAAAGAGATTTCGCGTAGAGAGGTTAACTGAAAATGATGATGATGATTCGAGACACGAGTTGTTTGTAAGAGTCAGTGCAACGATGACACATCGCGTTTCGCGGTGACGGCTATGACGAATAGAGGAAAGTACATTTCTATCCCGAGACGAACAACGAGTATATAGAAAACAACCACGTATGTGTCGTCAAGTAAATGAAATCGGTGCTCTGATGACGTACCGGTCATTCTTTTTTGACACAACTATAGGTAATTTCACTTTCTGCATTATCGACTCGTGGTACGAGTTACCGACAATATGCTTGAAATAGTTTGTACATCACCACGGCGCTAGTAGTACAAGCGCGCACTGGTGGGGACGCTCGAAGTGGTGGGGACACGGGTATATAAGCAGGCGCCCGAGACGAGACTGGCACTTCATGCTCAGCTGTGTTACAGGTAAGCAATAGTACCAAAGCCTTGTTAGGGTGCAATCCCATTACAGCAGAATGCGTCGACCGAAAACAGAAAATCATGAGTGCGAAAGAGATAGATAGATATTGTTGTTCTTTTCACTCTCATGATTTTCTGCTTTCGGTCGACGTATTCTGCATTCATGGGATCGCACCCTTAAGGCAGACGGACGTAAGCTGTATTATAGCAAAGCCTTATTCAGGCAAACGGACGTAAAGCTGTATTACAGCAAAGCCTTATTAAGGCAAACGGACGTAAAGCTGTATTACAGCAAAGCCTTATTAAGGCAGACGGACGTAAAGCTGTATTACAGCAAAGCCTTATTAAGGCAGACGGACGTAAAGCTGTATTACGGCAAAGCCTTATTAAGGCAAACGGACGTAAAGCTGTATTACAGCAAAGCTTTTTTAAGGCAGAAGGACGTAAAGCTGTATTACGGCAAAGCCTTTTAAAGGCATACTGAAAAGACTAAAGCTGTTTTACGGCAACGAATACAATTTTTAATGATAGACCCATCGTTAGGGCATACGGATAACGTTAAATTTTTTGAAATTTTATGTACATACGTGTTTTCTTTTCTCTATTCATTAATAACAATATCACGCGGGTTAATTTCGTTTTTAAAGTAATGAATAATACCTCTTGTTCTGACGAGGCATTAAAAAATTGTTACACTCAAAAAGCGACTAATAAGTAATTTTTTCTCTTCAATTAATCCCGATTGTTACATAGATCGTTTAATAATCGTGTGTACATTTAATTTTTAACGTTATTCGACAGTTTATTAAATAATCGTTGATAAAATAAGTCCCCGAGTGCAGTCCCATGGCATCGTTATTTGCTTTGCTTTTTGTAACTTGACTATTAAAAGAATTCATTTTAGAAACTTTATAAATTATTTATTACATTATATTATACAGACTTTTTTCAAATTTCTATCAAAACTATAATTATTTTAATGAAAATTTTGTTAAATAATTCATCTTTTTGAAAATGATTTTCTCAAATAATTGATTATTTTCTAATTTCAAGACAATATAATTGAATTTCAAAGATTTTTTTTAAACTACTAATTGAATTTCGTTTTAAAGAATTTTATTATCATTTTTGTAAATAGTTGCTTGATCTCTAATAATTTGTGAATTTAATGTAATGGAAATTTTAAAAAAAATATATATATATATTAACACAAGTAGTAGCTTGTAGTTGCTAAAATTTTAAAAAAATACCCAAATAGCCTAATTACAAAACCCAACGCAAAACGATGCCATTAGATTGCACCCTTATTATTTTGTTTTTTTTACAAAAAATTTTTCTTTTTTACAGAAATTCATGTACCAGTATCTACTGTATTGACATAATGAAGAGAAAACGACAATTGAGTTTAAAATGTTAGTGTTTAACAGATGTATTTTAAAAATATTTTTATTTACATGTAAAGTTAACGATTGTAATTTATTTGTTTATTCTCTATTTTTTCAGCAACAAATGAATCTCGTGAAGGACATTCTACCCGATTCTTCTACGGTAACTCACAGACACAAAAATCTGACGGAAATTTGACATTTTCTCAATCACCAACAACTTCAATGACTGAGCAGGCTGAACCTCGAAAAGCAGAGAAGAAAACTTTTCGCCCGAGTGGAATATTCAGATTAAAATGTAAGTTTTTTAAAATTATTTTCTTCAAGTATTTGATTTAAATTAAGGAATTTTTAAATTTTAATTCTTTTGTTTCTTTTTAATTTTCAGCACCAACTAGATCTCGCGAAGAAATGTCTACCAGTTCAATTGGAAAGACTGAAAATGTGAAATCTGGAATTCCGGAGAAACAATCTTTTACTTCCAGAGAAAGATTGAGTTTAAAATGTTAGTGTTTAACAGATGTATTTTAAAAATATTTTTATTTACATGTAAAGTTAACGATTGTAATTTATTTGTTTATTCTCTATTTTTTCAGCAACAAATGAATCTCGTGAAGGACATTCTACCAGATTTTTTTACGGTAACTCACAGATACAAAAATCTGACGAAAATTTGACATTTTCTCAATCACCAACAACTTCAATGACTGAGCAGGCTGAACCTCCAAAAGAACAGAAGAAAACTTTTGGCCTAAGTGGAAGGTTTAGATTAAAATGTAAGTTTTTTAAAATTATTTTCTTCAAGTATTTGATTTAAATTAAAAAATTATTAATTTTTATTTATTTATTCCTTCTTTTCATTTTTCAGCACCAACCAGATCTCGCGAAGAAGTGTGTGTCAGTTCGATTGGAAAGACTGAAGATCTAAAATCTGGAATTCCGGAGAAACAATTTTTCTCTTCTAGTGAAAGATTGAGTTTAAAATGTAAGTTTTTTAAAATTATTTTCTTCTAGTATTTGATTTAAATTAAGGAACTTTTTAATTTTAATTCTTTTGTTTCTTTTTAATTTTCAGCACCAACTAGATCTCGCGAAGAAATGTCTATCAGTTCAATTGGAAAGACTGAAAAGCAAATTTTATCTTCGAGTAAAGGTCCGGAAAAAACAATTTCATTTCATAGTCAAAGATTAAGTTTGAAATGTAAGTTTTTAATAATTAACCAAGGAAAAAATGATTCGTACGATGAATCATTTTCACCTGGGTACATTTTAAAAATATTTTATTAAAATAACAATTTAAAAATTTTAATTTATTTAATTCCTTTTTTTCTTTTTCAGCACCAAGTGATCCTCCTGAAAAGCTGTCACCGTGTTCAGTTTACCGTGTACCAACAGAAACATCATTATTATCATCGTCATCAACTGGACTCGATTTAAAAATCACTTCTTCAACAGTAAAGAAATCGAAAAATCAAGAAGCTAAATTTTCCCATTCAACATCAACTTCAAAAAGAGAAGGTAAAATTTTTATTCCATTTTCTTTTATTATATTTTCCTAATCGCTCTCAATATAAAATTAATAAAATTTCCATTTCTTCCAATTATAGGTGTTGACTCATCAATTGAAAGTGGTGCTGGCCCTTCTTCAAAACGAAAGAAATACAGTGTCGAGAAATCTGCAATTGGTGTTTCTTCAAACAGAAAAAGAACGTCAATTACTTTGGATAATGAAAATATTGATAAACCGTTGCATCATAAAGTGAGAAGAAGATTGGAATTAATGGGAACAGAAAAGCATACGGTAAAAGTTTGTTTGGGAAAATTATGTAAATCAGCAAACATAAAAAATCGAATTGAAGAAGATGCAAAGGTTGTTTCATCAATGATGTATGAGGCAACAACAATGGCATTATTCGGCCTGTATGAAGAAACGAATGTTGAAAATGTTGAAAATTGTCCATCATTGTTGGAGAAATGGACCAACAATGGTCCCGACTTTCTGTCATTTTTAATATCATTAAAGCAGAAAGTAAATGCTCAACGTAAAGTAACTGAACAGGATGCGAAAATAAATACAATGGTCAACGAATATAAAGAATTAAGGAATGACATTCCACTTTATGACGGAGAATATAGAACTGCAATAATTCAGGAGGCAGCTTTAGTGTTAAATCAAAACTTTAAAACAAATTTCACGACGCATGCAGCATCACGATTAAGAAGATATTTGCAGCTGTTAATGGAAATTGAATACGAAGAAAAAAATCATATGGAAGAAGATGAAATTCAAGAAATTTGTTCAGTTTACCGTATCGAAAATGATAATGATGAAAAAATAAAAATTAGAAGTTTAAAAAATAGCATTAAAAATGAAGAAAGAAAAGAATTTCAAAAATCTCAAAAACAATTTCCAGATGAAATGCGAGAAAAAAAATCATCAGACTATTGCGATGAAAGATATGTTCGACAGGAAAAATATCGCAAACATTGCGATAAAGTCTATTATAAAAAAAGGCCAAGAAGGCGAAGAAAAAAATCTAAAAAGGAAAAAAAAGAAGAAAAAGAGAAGAATAAGGAAAAAGAAGAAGAAAAAGAGAAGAATAAGGAAAACAAGAATTTTCGAAAAAGAAGGCCTTCATTTTATAAACAATCTGTTGCTGCTTTAAATCTCCTGCTGCAAGAAAATAAATGTAAAGTGAAAGGATTCCCTATTGATTTACTGAAAAAGGATGATGTTGATGCTACCAATGAAAAAAAATTGGACTTTAGAAAATTGACAAAAGATGAAGAATGGCATAAATTTTTGCCATTTTTCATTATGATTCAACAAGAATTTCATGATAAAAAGAAGAAGAATTTCACATTAATTCCACAAATTTCATTAGGCATGAAGCATGTCGTTTATACAAATACTGCTTTAAAAGATTTGCAAGTGGCAACTGTTATTCAAGAAATTAAAGAAAAAAAGGCAATTTTACAAAAAAAGAAAAAAAAATCAGGAACAAATAAGGATCATCTTCAAAGAGCAGTTGATAAAATGGACGATGAAATGAAGCGCTTAAGAGAAATGAACAATGAAGAAAGGTGGAATTCAATGTTCAACTTTAAATCAATCCAAAGAGGTCGAAAAAAATTAAAGAATGGTGGTAAATTCTCTGGTACAATAACGACAAATGGTGTGGACGTGTCAGTAATTTTTGATTTACCCACAAAACATGATGTTGTGCAATCAAAGAAGGAAGTTGGAAGTTACAAAAAATTTTGTGGTTTTGATCCTGGTGCGAGGGCGACTCTGGCTGGCGTCAGTAGAGAAAACGATCCTAATCCAACCACTAATGTAAAAAAGGATTCAGCTATTAACATTGGTAGTTGGATGATGAGATGGCAAATGGGCGACTACAGAAGAAGAGAATTAATAAAAAAAAGGTATAGATATGCAAAAATATTACAGTATTCAACAAACTCTTTTCCAAAGATCAGAAGAATTAGGAAAAGATAAATTGCTAGTCGTGAAAGTAAATGAGTTTAATACAACAAAAATGTGTAGTCGCTGTGTGAGACCACTTAAAATATCAAAAAGTCCCCATCGGTACACTTATTGTGCGAAATGCAAAACAACGTGGGAAAGAGACGTAAATGCAGGGCGTAATATTCTTAATTTTGCACTTGTTCAAGAGAAGATCATACCAAAGGATTCCATAAAAAATCACCATCTATTTCGGATCAAGAATGATGACATTGAACCTGAGGCTGCAGAATTGCAGAAATAATTTTTCCCATCACTTTCAACATTTATTTTTAAATGTAAGTTTTTAAAAATTATATTTAAAAAATAGTTAAAAAATAGTTTTTTTATGGAAAACATTAAAAAATTAATTAATTTGTAATTACTTTCTCTTTTTCAGCACTAAGTAAATCTCTTCAAGGACATTGAAAAGGAGGAACCTCAACAACCGGAAATACAAATTTCTACGATGGACAATATACTGCTTAATTGCGGATATAATTTAACAAAACATTATTCGGTCCTGGTGGTGATGGCTTTTTGCCATTGTACATACCGGGAGATCTCTTATGAGATCCGAACCAGCCTGTAAAAAGGCATACCAGGTTTTTTAAGAAATTAAAAAACATGCTACTTCTTTTACTGATTATTGTTTGAATTTTTCAAATTTTTTATAAAAACAAAAGCACATTTGTGTTTTTTTTTATAAATTAAAATAATCAATAATAGGAGTGGAGGTAATTTTGTAAAAGACATTTATTTCTTTAAATTTAAATCATTTTTCTCTTTTTTACTTATAATTTAGTTTCAGTTTAACGGTGTAATTTTTAAATTTTAATTTTTTCAAAACATTTTAACTTGATTCAACATTTCACTTTAATTTTAAACTTTTTTTTTAACAATTTCAATTTCTTCTTTTACAAAATTACCTTCTAATCAGAAGTACCCTTACCAAATGCAACTTAGCTTGCACTACAAAAATGATCTTATTGGCGAAATGAACCGCGCATTTTTAAAACGTTTTATATTTAAACATATAAAGTACTTTAGATGGACAAGTTTTATTCTACAAATAGAAGCATTTTTGTAGCGCAAGCGCAGTTGCGTTTGGTGAGGGTACCTGGCAGCTCTGGTACCGGTCATTCATGGGCTGTCATGCTGCAGGAATGTGCGCATCATGGTGGCGCAGGATAACCAATCAGAATTCAATTCTTACTTCCAAATAACCACGCGCGCCACATGTCACGAACAAACCACGTGACATAACTCCACCTCTCTCTCTCTCTCTCTCTATCTCACTCACTCACTCTCTTTCTCCTGTACCACGTGACGTCACTGACAGCTGATTCAACACCGATGGTAATTTCTCCTTCTTCTTTTGTAAGTCTTCTGCTTTTAACGCTTTTAACATTTCACCGAATAAAAATATCCTTTTTTGGTCTTCTTCTCAAAGAGAAAAAAAACTTCATTTTTCCTTTTTTTACACTCATTTCTTTTTAACTCTTTTCTTCATATTTCCCATAATTCTTCATAATCATTTTTTTATACTGAAACTAAGTTTCTTTTCTGTATTTATTATTTATTTCGATGATTTCGATTTAATTCAATAATTGAATTTCTGCAAAATCTATTAGTTGAGACTAGATGGCGCCACAAGTTATTGGCGCGAGAATTTGAAATTACGAAAAAATATTCCATAGATTGTAATAGAAATATTACAATGAAATAAATTAAAAATTTGTCTGTGTCCATATTTTATAAAGGTCGAAAATTAGTTATTAATTTTGAATTTTAGATCTAGTTTATAAAAAAAATTTAAAGTTTTTGTATCTATATTCTAAAATGTAAATTGTATTTATTTTACGAGGAAACAATTTCCGGAACGTCAATATATTATATCGAATTGGAACATCAGAAAAGAAAGTGATTCCATGAAGAACCCTTTTTTTTACTTGGAAAATTAAATTATAAGATTTAAATTTAATCAAATTATAATTTTTTTTCTGGTATGTTTCAAAAAAAAGTTCTATTTACCAGAGTCAAAATCAGCTCCTCCTGCATCCATTCCTCCTGGATTTCCATATTCTGCAATAAAAAAATAACTAAATTCAGAATGTGAATAAAATAATTTTAGTGTCTAATTATCCGCGATTGATGGTTTGATTTACTTTTCAACGTTCTATTATTATAATTTAAATGCATTGCTTAATTATTAAAAGGATAAGATTGTTACAAAAAATACAAACTTTTCTACAAATTAAATTCAGTTTTAAACTGTGTCATTCAATAATAATGATTGTTGTAGTCCGTAAGTAGGTGTCAAGAATTTTCTCACATGTTTTTAAAACATTATTTATTCCACTTATTATTTTATTAATAAGAGTCTCTGTAAAGACCTTATCGTCCGAGAAAATCAATAAAAATAGTTTAAAGAATAGTAGAACAAAATTTTTATTATCGATAAACATTCTGTTAAACTTTTTTCAACCTTGACTTGAAGTTATTTTTCTTTATCAGGTAAAAAATTCTATCAGAAAGATAATAACAAGCTTCTTCTAATGATGGATAATTGTAAAAAAAAAAATATTTCTGATTTTTACAATATAAAAAGTTGTTTTTGTTGCATAGCAACCCTATAAATCGTGCCCTTCATTTAAATTTCAACCGCTTAGCAACACTAATTTTTTTCTTTTCTTATTTCTTGAGAAAAATATTGACTGAAATTTTAGTTTGATAACAACTGATCGGTAAAAATTACGAATATTGAGTCATGTGTCAATGAAAATTAAGGTCAAATAATTAAACTCGAACGGCACTAATTTATCAAGGAAATTTGTCAAAACTTTGATCCACCTAGCGACAGCGCTTCAAAAACGGAATTGTTCCACTGTGAATTAAGGGGTGGAAGCTAGAATGGAAGAGAATAAATTACTAACATATAATAACAAAAATATTGATAATTCAAATAGATGTCACGTATGAATTTTTAGATTTAAACTCGAATAGTAGTAAAATTCTTCTCTGATATGTAAAGAAATTGTTTATAAACGAATTGAAAAATTATAAAAAAAGGAAAAATGTAAAAAATTCAATAATTCCGCTGAGCTTATGGCACGTGCAATTTAAAATTTACTCCAATCAAACGGAACCTCCTGTGTGCACGCGCGAATAATTCCTCCTTCTGATCATGCATGTGTTAAGATAGAATCAAGCGGAAGATCAAGCATCTGCCATCATTCATCCAAAGGACTGTTCCAAAATCTCCTTTTGACCTTCGACTTTTTTAACTTTTTCTTGAAAAAGGCTAAATTTATATATGAGAAAAAAAAGGGTCACTGATCACTGCAGGAAACCGGCAGTGCGACGAATCAACGTCGGAAACGACCACTCGGGGGAGTCGCTGGCAGAAAAGCAATCGTGGTTTTCTTCTCTCTCACACTAACCGATACGCGGCCAGCCATCTTGAATCCTGGGAGATTGCGAAAAATAGCAATTTTTTTTCAACAATCCTCTGACAGAACGCCAACATAATTAAATTATCAATTCATCAAACATTTCTCAACGAGAATAGATTCAAAAAAACTTGCAAGACAAAATTTATTTGAAAACCCCGCATACAAGATGCATGCCCCGAAATTAAAATGTCCGATTTTTGACCTCCCTTTTTCAGTCAATTATTATCATTAGGTAAACGCTATCTTATCATTAGGTAAATGTTATATATAAATTAGAAAATCGACACAGGAGATTCCATTCTATTTTATGTATCTTTCGAGAAATATCTTACTTTGCTGTTGATCATCCAAACTCTCTTCGGACATGGCTCCAGAACACGTTTCTTTATTCACGTTCTGATATATTCACTTTCACACGTCGTTCTTCCAGTAAAGCGAAAACAGTGGGGCCCGTGTTTTTTGAAGAGAAAAAAAAACTCGACACCGTCCCGACGACACGACCAGCGCGACGACCAACCAACCAACACACACCACTCGCAACACAACTTCACTCCACGACCCGACCGCTGTCGACCACCGAACAATCTTCTTCACCCAACTAAGTCTAAACCAAACTCTTTGCTCGCGCTCTTGCCCGCTCTTGTTACACTTCGTTCCACACACTGTTTTCCCCAGTAGCAGTGGTGGGTGTGTGTAGGGCACTAAGTATATATGATTAACATATATATGTATTAAATAGTTGCACCTGCACACACAAAACTTATGGTTAGGTGGTGTGGTGTGCAGTGGCAGTGGTGTTTGCAACAAACTGAAGTTAACCGCACAACACCAGGGCTGTGCAGTCAACTAGACTATTAAGGTACATTCACATGAAACTATTTCAAACCTAAAGGCCACACCCCTGCTTTCTTGTGATTGTAAACACTGGCTTTATAGCGGTGTGGCCTGACCTTTAAGGCGCTGGCACAGCTCCTACTGCCTGCCTGCCTGCCTGCAGGTTGACATGGTAACACATAGGAGTAAGAGAGTAAGAAAATTCAAATTAAATGTTTTTTCTCTCTCACTCTTATGGCGCCTGCCTGCGCAGGCAGGCAGGCAGTGAGGTGAGAGTGTACCTTTATACTTTTCAAAACAAAGTTTACAAACCGGGGAAAAAATACACTTCACATTTGGATAAAAATTTTCTAAATTGAAAAATAGATTATAATTTAAAAATAAAAAATACTTCTCTGAGAAGGTAATAAACAAATAATTGCATTTAATTCCCAATTTGGAAAATTAAGAAAGTTTCATTGGTTTCATCACAAAGTATAATAGTGCAAAAATAGAAATTATTTCGAAAAATACTATTCGGTATGTTTCTAATAATTATTCCATATAATCAATTAGAATTAGAAGACAATTATTTACATACCAAATCAATTAAAATTGTGAATAGAATATTAATTACTACCACCTAGCAAATATTATTCAATTTATTATTCTTATGCAAATTATAAAATTTTTTACTTTCAAATATAAATTTTTCAATTTCATAATCAAAATTTTAAAAAATCACTTATTAAGTACATAATTAATTATTACTGTTTATATTTTCAAAAATTTTAATATAATTCTTCGCAAGAAATCAATTATTTTCTATATTTTAATAAAATCCCTTAAATGAATTTAATTATTTTAGAAAATTGTAATAAAATTTTGAGAAGAATTTATTATTTAAAAAACTTGAAAGAAATTGTTCCTAAAACAATTTCAAATTGTTTTAAAATTTTCAATTAAAATTATTAAAGAAACTTCATTATTTAAAATAAATTGAAAGAAATTCTTCAAAAGAATTTAATTAGGATTTTCAAAAATTTTAATACAATTCTTGTCAAGAATTCAATTTGTATTTCCATAAGTATAATAAAATTCTTCGAAGAAATTCAATTATTCCAAAATTTTTTATATAGGTAATTCTTTGTAAGAATTCAAATATGTATTTTCATAAATAATAACATTCTTCGAAGAAATTAAATTATTCTCAAATTTTTTGACAAAATTCTTTTTGCAAGATTTCAATAACTTTCAATATTATGTACTTACAAAAATTAAAAAATTTAAAATATTTGAAAAGAGGAATTATTAAAAAAGTTAGGAAACAAAAAAGCAAACAAAAACTAACTTCAAACTGCGAGCAGATTACCGGAATACAACGATTATTAAAATAGATTTTTCAGTAAAGACATATTCTTTATTTCTATAACGTTGTAAAATTAGACATTTTCATGCATGACAAATAAAATTCACATAGCATTTTTCATTTTTTCTTTCTTTAAATTAACAAAATACTGTTAATGTACAGGCATCAACAAATAACTTAATGACGAGAGACATAAGCAATTTTTACAATAATTGATAATTTGTTTGTTAATAGCAGTTAAATAGAAATAGTTTAAAAAAAATTTTCTTTAATTTATCAGAAAAAAGGTTTGATATCTCTAAAAAAAATAACTTCACTACAGAAATAATAGAATATTTTCACTTATATTTAAAATTAAGAGACCTAACAATATATTTAGGCCACTTAATTAACACATTTGATAAATAATTGTTTATCGATTGAATTTATACAATCGTATATGGAATAAAATTGTCGTGACATTTATCAGGAAAAAAACAATGTTTTTTTTATCAACTATACTGAAACGTAAATTATGTTTATGAAAAACAAGTGTAAAGCTCTCTATAGAGATTTTTTTTTTTAATATTTGTATTATTTTTATACACAAGACTATATTACTAATTATTTTTTTATCATATCACTTTCTATAAACAATTTTCATCTTTTAAAACCTTCTTTTGTTTAAAGAGAATTTGTGTATTTTTTTACTAACTTTCTAAAGAAAAGAAGGTCGTGAAACAATCTAAAAAAAGTGAAACTATTTTACTTTATTGTGTTTCTAGTGTTAGGCAAGCATATTAAGATCTAGCAAAATAAATATTCAGCATTATCAATAATTTACAGTAATTTTTCTTTTAATAGCGAAACAAATTATCTTTGTGCATTATTGTTATTAAAAAATTAATTAATTGTTTTTAAACCGAAAAATACTGAAGTGCACAAATAAGACAATGAAAAAGGAATTATCATTTTTATCAAAAATGAAATATTAATCTTGCAATAAAAAATTAATAATAATGAAATGTATATAATTTTTTAAAAGTAAAAAATAGTTTTCTCACTACGTGACTATCGAAGAGAGATAATGGAAAAAAGAAGAGAATGTTACTTGATAATGTCTTTTACGAAAATTCTTAATTCCGTAAAGTGTTATTTATGTAAATTTAACATTAAAGTGCCTCTGCTACTCTCTCTCCTTCTCTCTCTAATACTTTTGTATAAAAATAATTAATTTTGAATTTTTATTTAATAATCATTTATACGTGTACTGCCATTGTGGCTAAATGGAAAAAAATTACCTCGTCTTTTTTTTTTTTTTAAATAAAACGAAATCTAAGAAATACTTTTCTATTTTTTGCTTTCTGTGATATTTTTTTGAAAGCACAGTATATTTTTTTTGAAAATGATCTGTGCGTTGTACGCATTACTATAATATACCTATTTTTATATATTTATATATATTAAACATTAGCGATAGAGCTTTACAAATATTTTCAACTAATATAAATTTAAACGCTCATCACTCACTTTTCTATAGTCTATATAAGAGTGAATATTAAATATAACTGACATTTCTGAGAATGTTGAGTAATCTCAGGTATTCAATTGTTACGTGTATATAGAATAATTTCATTCATGTTGCTTTCAATCGATATTTGTGAACTAACTTAATGGAGAACTTTTGTGAACTTTTGTTTTCTTTCGAAACGAGATCAAGAAAAAAATTTAAGAAAATAATTGTCTTGACTCGTTCTAATCAAACATCATTTCTAGAAGGCTCTATTACTATAACATTACTATTTCAAATATACATATCATAGAAATTCTTTTTTTTTTTCTTTTAAAACTATCTTTAAATTGTGAACGTTATTTAGAATGAATTAGAATTGTACCCAGCTTGCGTTGGTTGTTGGTGGTGCAGAAGCCACTGATTGTTGTTGTTGTTGTTGTTGTTGTTGTGATGCACTCGCAAATTCACCCCATTCTGGATTATTCGGTGTTTTTTCACCTTGCGCTGGTTTATGAGCTGGCGAGGAAGTTGGCGTTTTTGCTGGCGGTGGAGCAATTTTGATACTTCCCGGAGGTGGTGGAAGACCGATTCCAGTGCTGGTTCGTTGTTTCGATTTCGATGACACTTCACTTCCATCTTTTTTCTATATTTAAACATTTTTTTAATTTCCTCACTTAACAATATAATTTGTAATAATAATTATACAGGGTTGCCACAGGTTAGGGAAATCAGGGAAAAGTCAGGGATTTTTGTTGAAAGTAGTGAAAAAATTTTAATTTTTAGAATTCATAAGAAAACTCTGAATTTTTGTTGTCTTTTTTATTTGCCTCATAAACTATGAAACTACTACGAATTCTAATACAAAACCTTCAAAAAATTTTTCTAATACTGACCGGAATAAATTTTTTAATATTATTTAATTATTTTAACGCAATTATCTTGATAAATAACAAAATTCTTCACAGAAATTCAATTATTTTTAGGAATTTTAAAAAAATTCTTTGCAAAATTCAATTATTTTCATAAATAACAATATTCATCACAAGAATTCAATTCATTCTCAGGAAATGAATTGTCATAAATTTTAATAATATTCTTGGCAAAATTTCAATTATATAAACGAAATTTAATAAAATTCTTCACATAAATTCAATTAATTTCATAAATTATTATTTAAATTCTTCTCAGGAATTCAATTATTTTTAAAAATTTTAATAAAATTCTTTAATATAATAAATTTCAGTAAAATTATAATTAAATTAATTAAAAGAAATTAATTATTTTCAAAAGTTGTTAATAAAACTTCTTCGTAAAAATAAAATTTTAAGAAAAATTCACGATTATTGAATAAATTATTTATTTTTGTATTTAAATAATTGAATTCTCGTAGAATTTTCTAATAAAAAATTCATTTAAAAATGAATTTTAGATAATAATTGAATATTAAAAGCGTTATAGGGGTGAATATTTAAAAATAATTGAATTTTGAAAAGATTTCGAATTCAAATCTTTGAAAATCAGAATTTTTCGTACTTTTAACTAATAATTTTGCATAGAATTAATTTTTTTGAAAAAGTTTAATTGAATTTTTTAAAAAAATTATTTAAAATTTTTAATTTTCTAATATATATGTATTTAACTGAAGAATTTTCAAATAAACGAAATTTCACATAAAATTGAATTGTAAACAAATGGATTTGAATATTCTTAAGAAGAACTTTTTCAAAAATTATTAAAAATTAATATAGATAATTGATTTCAAGAAGAATTTTAGTTAAAAATTCTAGAAAATTATAATTGAATTTAAATAATGAAAATAATTTCGAAGAAGTTAGAGAACAATATTCTTTTATAAAATAATAATTTTATCACTAGGTTATCTTTAATTATTATAAGTCGAAGATTCGGAGTGATCGACTTCTTCATGTTTTAATATATAAGTTTATATTGAATTTTAAAAGATTAGAATTTGAATCTTTTAAAAAACTTTAATTCCTACGGAGAAATAATATTAATTAAATATTTATTTAAAAATGACGTTATTGATGTTTTCGGATAATTTTACTTTTAGAACATTAGAACCTTTTTTTTTAGTATCTAATAATTTTTAGAGTGAATTGCAAAATATTCTCTAGGGTCAGTCGAAAAAGTGAAAATTCTGTCTGGAAATTAAAGGAAAAACAAAGTTAAATTTTTGTAGTAACCCTGTTATAATAATAATAATAATAATAATAATTAATAAAAATTGGAAATATTTCGCTCACTGTGATTTTCATATCGATTTTGATAGTTTCCCCTTCTTTGAATCGAAGGTCTAGTTCCTGTTTTGGTTTTTCCTTCTCTTTCTCAATTTGATCTCGATTTTTGAGCCACTTGAAATGATCCTGCAAGGCAACATTGAGATCAAAACTATCGGATCGATCCAGAAAGCCAACGCCAATGAACGCTGATCGGCCATTATCGTCCTGAATTCTTAAAACAAAATATCGCGACGAATCAGTCACTGCTTCGACGGCAATTCCTGGATACTGTTCAATGGGACATTTGGCAAACAATTCGCCACTCATTTTGTCTTCTAGTTTTAATGTGACTGCGTCTCCTTGCGATACTAATCGCATACGTCCTGTCCATGTTGGTTCCTGTAAATTCCAGTCTGCTGCTCTGTAAACAAATCACAACCAGAAGGAAATAAAAATACTAATCTTTAAATACAACATATTTTTATCAACAAGATTTCAGAAATAATTGTAAAATTAAGATTTCAGAGTTATATCGAACGAAAATTCAAGTGATGACATACTTTCATTTCATGAATACAATCTAAGAGGCAGAGAAGTTTTTTTTATCAAACATCCAGGATGTGACATGGAATATACACTTACCGATAACCCCTATTAGTTGCTCTCGGTGGTATTTTAAAAACAAAAACTTCAGACTTTACCAGCAGTACACTTTCGTATGTTTCCATTTTCCACTTCTACAATGTTAAATGCAACGTTAATTTTAAGAAAAGCTGTCAAGTTTGTTGTAATGAGAACAATTTGACAACTCGTTGACACAGCTGCTTGAATCAAGTACTTTTTACCATCTCCTCCTACTCAAATCTTCTGTCAGGTGTCAGGAACATATAAGTATGTTAAGTACGCGCATGACTCATGTGAACAAAAATTAAGCCAAGTCAACATTTTTTTCCATCCCATTCCCATTTTCCCATACTAATTTTATCAAAAATAAATGTCTTGAAAAAGAATTATTATCATATGTTCCTTTTATTTGGATAAATTTAAACACTCTTTACCAGATTTATTTACTTTATGAATTATAACATATTTAATAGAATTGCAAAAATCAATTCTGTTTGTGAACGACCCTTTAAATTGAAAAATAGAAAGCAGGGATGGGTAAAAGTGTTTTTTTCGGAGTTTTCTACGTATAATACATAAATGACGTATAATACGTAGAAAATTGTAGAAAACCTGGTATTATACATGTCCAGTTCTGCGCATGCGTACAAACCTCACAATAATAATAAAAATCATATGTTTGATTATTTTTTATTTGTTTCCTGGTTTTCATTACTAAATTGTTGCTAAAAATACCAAGAAAAAACCAAAAAAGGTTACATATAAGGTAAGTTTACAAAAAAATGCGTATAATATATATTTATTGATTTTTCATATGGTTTTTTACACACATTTTTTCATAACTTGTATTATATATTTATATAGAACAATTTTAAAAAGACACGTTAATTTATTATTTATTTGAAAATAAACGGGTTTCAAATAAACTTTTTCATACAAAAGTACTAAATTATTATTATAGCTGTATTTTGCAATGTTTTGTTGCAAATAGGACACAGGCAGGGCAACATTTTTCCCTTTATTATTTTTGGGAATAAAACACAATTCCTCCCAGGAATTGTGTTTCGGCCTTCCACCTCTTTTGTTAATTTTTTTTTATTTTAAAAAAAGCAATATTGTACAACAATCACTGACACATGGCCTGGCACATGGAGATGTATAACCTATAAATGGGTCTGGCGGCAGCAGACAACCTGACCTGACCACGAACAGTTAGAACTTTGTTTGTGTGCTATTTCTTTAAAACATAAATTTTAAAAAAACTTTTCAATGTTAATTAATAAATTTTTAAATTGAAATTATGTTTAAAATTTATTTAATATACTATTAAAATCACATGTTTCTTGTCTAAAATTTAAAAATCCCGCGCGTCACGCAATGTATGTAAAATACATGACATACGTAGAAAACTAAAGATGTATAATACCACGTATTATACGTGTAGAAAACCAGGTATAATACATCATGTATAATACGTACCCATCCCTGATAGAAAGTACTCAAAATCGATAAGTCGAGTTCCCATCTATGTCATTATCAACTGTCAATGCCATTGTTCATTTGTTGTTGTCACATGGTTCACATGTCACAGCAGATGTGTTTATAAAATATAAATTGTATTTTATTCTTTAAAAAGACATTTTCACTGCATTTTTACAATCATTTAAAATAACAGAAATTCTACGGACTGTCAATAATATTATTATTCAGTGACATGTAAATCAAATGTAAATAATACAAAATGGTAAATGAAGAAATGTCAATCGTAGACTTGGAAATGACGAACAATTCCCTGTTAGGTGAAACTGAGAGTAACAATGCCAATAATTTGGAAATTAAATCTATTAAACAAAATTTAAGTAAACGACAATTGAAAAAATTAAAGAAAAAAGAAAAATGGATTCAGAGCAAACCGGAAAAGAGGTAAATGCAACTGTAACTGTAAATCAACTGTAATTCAAACATATTTAGGTATATAAAATTAAAATAAGAGGATTTCAAAAGTAAAATAGTTTTCTAAAAGAGTTAATATATTTCATACATTTGAATAAACGTTTAAAAACTAAAAACAATTCAATTTTTAGGTTATGTAATCTATATTCTTGTAATTTTATAATTATACTTACAGACCTCGGATATTATGATTTTTTTTATTAAAATTTTTCTATTTTTCCTTAATAATCTTTAAAAAGAAAAATGGACAGTTTCAATTATTATAAAAAATTGAATTTTTGTATTGAAATAATTGAATTTTCGAAGAACTTTCAGAAAATTATTAAAAATTAATATAGATAATTGATTTAGAGATGAAGTTTAGTTTAAAATAGTAGAAAATAATTGAATTTTTTTTTCTATTTTTAATCAACTAAAGCGAATTTTTGGCTCGTTAAAGTCGATCCGAGGCCTGTATTTATTAGATATAAATTTTGAAATGCGACAATTTAATTTTTTAATTTAATGTTTTACAGATTAAAAGAAAGAAAGAAACTGAAAGAAAAAAGGGCATTTGCTCGTGCAAATAATATCGATCTAGGACCATCGAGAAAAGGTTTAAAGCAACGTACAATGGCAAATAGCACTTGTAAAATAAACGTTTCTCTAGATTTGTCATTTGATGATTTAATGATTGATAAAGATGTTGCAAAAATGATTAAACAAATTTTAAGATGTTACACCTTAAATAGAAGAGCTGACGCTCCGTTACAATTTTCAGTGACAAATTTCACCGGTAAATCTCTACAAGAAATGAAGAAACACAATGGTTACGAACACTGGGATGTAAGATACGAATCTTTGCACAATTTAATTTAATTTAATTTTTTGTTTGATGAACAAATTTTATAAACTTCTTTATAGGTTAAATTTCATGCAGAGCACTATTTGAATTTATTCGACAAGGAGAAAATTGTTTATCTTACAAGTGAATCAGATAATATTATAGAAAATTTAGAAAATGATACTGCTTACATAATAGGCGGTCTCGTTGACCATAATGCTCAAAAGGTAAGAAAATAATGTTTCTTAAATAATTAATAAATTTTAATATATAAAAAAAAACTTAATTGTTCGTAGGGTCTTTGTCATAAACTAGCAAACAGTGCAGGCGTAAGACACGGACGGCTACCTTTGGATAAATATTTGAATATGAAAACAAGAAAAGTTTTATCTATCGTGCACGGTAAATTAATTAATTAATTAATTAATATCAATTTAGAATTTTAAGTTTATAAAATAAAATAATTAAATTGATTAAATTAATTTCAGTTTTCGAAATACTATTAAAAATCAGCGAAGGAAAGAGTTGGGAAGAAACACTACTTCAAGTTTTGCCAGAGAGGAAAAATGCTCAACCGATTTGTTCAAGTCCCAGTAAAGAAGAAACAAAACAATAGTATTTTTCTTTTTTTCTTTTTTTCTTTTTTGAAGGTACAGTAAAAATTAAAATAAAATCATAAGGAAATTTCTCTATATTTTTAAAACTATATATTTATTTTCAATAAAATTCATGATTTGTTCGCACTTTTCACAAGAATACAATTACTTTTTTTATACATACGTGTATATATATATATATATATATATATATATAAAGCTGCCATTTAAAGGATTACATTAGTCGAAATTGTAAAAAGAAAAATATTTTACTGCAAGAAAAAACAAGTGAAACATGTTTTAACCAATTTTTAAAAACTAAACATCGAAAGACTGAGAAAATAATAAAATAAAAATAGAAATTAAAAAGAAAAAAAAACTAATGCATCTTTAATTGGCGCTGTAAAAGGATAATGTGGATGTAAATATATATGTAAGTTATACAGACAAATAGTAGCATTATTTCTTACACGAATAAATCAGACAGTTCTTTAGCTATTGATTTATCTAGTGTAATTTTATTGTAGAAATATACACACTCCTTTAACTATTTCTTTTTTTAACAATATTTACGGTACTTATTTTTTAAAGGAGTGTATTTTGTATATATTTATACAAATAAATACTTTTCATCTCTTCTATCAATTTAACAATTCACTTATTTCACGGGTTATACTTAAATTCCTCACAAATATAATTTAATTAAAATATTTACTTAGTGATAACTTTCTCTTTTTTATTTATATAATTCAAACGTAAAATATTACATAAAAAAATAGGTCTCAATAATTTATTTGTTCTTGGTATAAAATCAATTTTTAACATAGAAAAATAAAAAAAAAATTTCCATTCCAATTTGTAAGGGGAAAAAAGTGTTTTTCTTTTTGTAAAATAATAAAAATTACCGAGTTTTTCACACCACCTCTTTATAAAGATATTAAATATCGTTGCAATTTATAAATTATCAACAATTTCATATAATATAGTTTTTCTCTTAAAATATTTTTAAAAAATTTCACTTTAAAAATTATAAACATGATAATTACATAATGAAAACTTATCGTTTTCAAGTGTAGTGCCTCTCTTTTTTTGTTTTGCTTTTATTTACAGGAAAATAAATATTGATAGATTATAACGGAGTGGATCGTCTTAATTATTGCAAAGGCAAATATATTGGTGTATAAAATTCTATTTCTCATTCTAAGGTAATGCAGTTTTATATATGCTTATAAAAGAATTCATTTTTTTCAAAGCTTTAATTGACAATTACTTTAAATACTAGAAAGTTTAAGTAACGTCTTATGCCGTTTCTATTTCGTATAATTTGGAACTCCATAAATATATTTTTTTTTTGAAAAAATATATTCTGTAAAAGAAATGATTTTCTTTTTCGAAAAATAAATTGCGTTTCATCATTAAAAACCGTGATTATAATATTTATAATATATTACTTAAATTTTATCAATATTATTTAAAGCTAAATTATTTGTCCTTTGAAATATATCGTATGAGCAAACATTAAAAATCAATCAGCTAATTGAATATACATATATTTTGCATTTTTAGAAATTGAATTCCTCTCTTTACCTTTTCTTCTCCGCAAAAATTTTTATGGCATTCGAATATAATTGAAAACTTGCGACAAAATATAATCATACATCTTTAAAATTTCCTATGTCACGAGTGTCAATTATTTCAAATTCACTGTCGCTATCATCACTACTATCGTTTAATAAAATTTTCGATTTTTCATCTAGTTTAACATCGTCCTCGGATGAAGAGCCTTTTTCAAAATGACCACTTTGAAATTTCATTCCATCGACATCGGTTTCACCTGAACTAAAACCGTCTGTACTTCCTTCTTCATGTGAAGGCATTTTAAATCCCACTAGATCATCATCATCATCATCATCATCATCATTATCATCATCATCGTCGTCGTCGTCGTCATCATCTTCATCATCATTATTGAAGGGATCTTTTTATTGATATTATTATTAGAGAGACGAAAGTAATTGACTTTAAATAAACGAGTGAAAAAAACTTACCATTTTGAATGTCTGACGCAACGCTAACTGGAGTTGGTAAATGATCTCCAGAATCACCAGCAAGTTGTAAAACTTGTAAATTATCTTCTGTCACTGCAGGTAAAAATTCTTCTATTTCACTATCCCATTCTGTTCATAATAAATAAGTTTATTCATTAATCTATTAAATATACTAAATATATTTCCAAAGTATTTAAACATTTTCTTCAAACAAAAATTCAAATTTTTTACCTTTATTCGTTAATACTTTTGAAGGTATTTGCAATAAAAGAGCAGGACCAATTAGAATACTCATACATATCGTGTATGCAAGAAGTACACCATTAACAGTTCTTCCAATTAGCCATAGACCCAACGATATAGTACATATAGTAGTACAAAACTAATTAAATAAACAAAAAATTAACGATCAAAAATAACTACATAAACAGAGTTGCCACAAACATTTAACTTTCTTTTTCTCTGATTTCCAGCCAAAATTTTTACTTTTTCCCTGATCCTAAAAAACATTCTACGACTTGCTCTAAAAATTATTAGATACTCAAAAAAAATGTTCTATTACATTTAATTACTAATTTCTTAAATTGCAAAATTATTCCAAAACATCCCTAACTTCTTTTTTTAAATAAATATTTAATGATTATTTTCCGTAGAAAAATTTTGTTTGAAAATTCTTCAAAAATTCAAATTCAAACCTTTTTGAAATTCAACAATTCATAATAAAGAATATTTAATTAAAAAACTCCGAGTCTTCGACTGGAAGTGATCGCTTTCTTCATGTTTTATAATAATTAAAGTTGTCCGAGTGATAAAATCATTATTTGTGGACGTCCACATGAGAAGGGCCCATTTTGGCACTATTGGAGTTATCTATATGGGCGTATTCCTGGCAAAATTTTCAAAATTTTGAGTAGTCTTAGAACTTTTTTGGTTAAAAATTCGCTGAGTTACGGAATTTCAAAGTTTAGAACGCCAAAAACGTCATTTCGAGAAAAACGGAATTAAAGATTGCGATACCAACTAATTGTTGAATCTCTGGTTCTTCTTGGAAGTTATTCAGATAAGAATTGTTTCCAGTTCAGGGCACCTTGAAGATAAAAAACCACCACCCCCCCCCCCCCCCCCTCTTAATTTTGAAAATACGAAAAATCGACAATAGGAGCACTTTTCTAAAAAGGACAGTTTTTCTATTAAAAAACCATTTTTTTACAAGATTAATGATTAGGTACAATTTTATTGTGTCATTTGAAGAAAAAGAATAGATATTAAACTTGTTAAAAATTTTTCAACAGTCTCTATTTTGCGTAAAAATTGACGCAATATCCAAATTTTCATTTTGACAATTACGAAAAAAAATACTCTAACATCAATATCTCTGGTTCTTCTGGGAAGTTATTCAGATAAAAATTATTTACAGTACAGGACACCTTAGAGATGAAACATCAAGAGGTTTTAAATTTTTCCACACCTCCATTTTTAAAATACGGATTACTTTTGCAAATGACCGACAAAATGGGCCCTTCTCATTTTACTAAAGAACCAATGAAATCAAACAGTTAAATTATCGATAAATTAATGAAAACCGCATGATTCGACTTGTCAAAACATGTGGATTGATAATAAAAAATAAAAAAAAAAATTAAGATTTTGCTCCAAAATTACTAAATTGCGATTATCTCGAAAACTAGAACCGACAATATGGGCCTTTTTCATGTGGACGTCCACATTTTATATTAAAGATAAGAATATTGTTACTGTAACTTCTTCAAAATTATTTCCATCATTTCAATTCAATTATTATTTTCTAGAATTTTTAACTAAAATTCTTCTTTGAATCAATTATTTTTAATAATTTGTCACAAAGTTCTTTTCGAACTTTCAAATCCATTTGTTAATTAAAAGTATGAAAAATTTGTATTTTCAGAGATTTTAATGTGAAACTTGTTCAGAATTCAACTATTTTTTTTAGAGTTTTTAATTAAAATTCTTCTCTAAATCAATTACTTTTAAAAATTAAATACATTATATTAAAAAAATCAGCTAATTTCAACAGAATTGAAATTAAAATTTTTCAAAAAAACTAGTTCTACAGAATTGTTAAATAAAAGTATGAAAAATTCAAATTTTTAAAGATTTTAAATTAAAACCTTTTCAAAATTCCACTATTTCTCAACATTTAAGCTTCAATGCTTTTAGTATTCAATTATTATCTAAAATTTTAACTGAAATTCATTTTTAAATCAATTTTTATTAGAAAATTTTACGAGAATTAAATTCTTGGAATACAAAAATAAATAATTTGTCGAATAATTGAATGCGATAAGTTTTATTATATATTTAATATGAAACTAATTCAATTTTTGTAGAAAAATGTAATATTTATGAAAATAATTTAACTATTGCGAACAACTTCATAACAATTTTTTAAATAATTGAATATCTGTCAAATTTTTATTATTTATGAAAATAATTGAATGTTTGAGTAAAATTTTTTCAATTTTTTTTAACAATTGAATTTTTTGGGAAGTTTTATTAAAATGGTAGATAATATTTAAAATCATTGAACTGATAATTATAGATAAATTTTGAACATATTTGAATTTCCTCGAAGAATTTTATTACTTTTAGAAATAATTGAATTCTTATGATAAATACTATTATTTATTAAAATAATTGAATACCTGCGAAGAATTTTATTAAAATTCCTGAAAATAATTGAATTCTTGTGATGAATATTGTTCTTTATGAAAATAATTGAATTTTATTAAATATTCTGAAAATAATTGAATTTCTGTCAAAACTTTTATTAGGGGAGATTGGGGAATTGTAGGCCACCTCAATTATTTAATAATATTTTTAAGTTTGATCATTCAATTTTTTTTTATTTTCTTTTGTTCATCCAAAGTAAATTTTTCATTAGCATTTCATTACTTTACAACGCTTTATAATTACCTATAAACCGTAAACAAAAATCACCTGGAAAATTTAATTCAAATATTTATTTTGGACCTTCATGTTTTTATTGTTTTTACATAAGGATTTTCAAGAATAAATTATCAAAAATATTTTTTTAATTATTGTGTGGGATTGGTACTTTGACTCCAAAAAAAACTTTGCATCAAATTAAAATGAATAAATAATAGGGGAGAGTGGGGCAAGTCGGGATAGCGGGTAAGACGGGGTATCGGCCTTATTTAACAAACGAATAAGGCTATTCAAGTTGGGTGGGGGAAAATTCAAGATGGATGCTAACTGGTGCACAAACATTGTATAGAAAGTGTATGGGATAGAGTCTAATTTTTTAAATATCTCGCTTAAACGAAATTTTTAACCATAAGTTTATTAGGATTTTATGTTTCATTTTTAAAGAACTATTTTTTGCAATAATAAAAATCGATTTTATTTTTTTATTGATTTTATTATTGCAAAAAATAGTTCTTTAAAAATGAAACATAAAATCCTAATAAACTTATGGTTAAAAATTTCGTTTAAGCGAGATATTTAAAAAATTAGACTCTATCCCATACACTTTCTATACAATGTTGGTGCACCAGTTAGCATCCATCTTGAATTTTCCCCCACCCAACTTGAATAGCCTTATTAACCAATCGCGATTATATTTTACATAATACTGCATCGAGACGATAGTTTCTTGTTTACAAAACCTAAAAGCCACGAGAACAAATCTTTTATCTGTTTTACTAAAAAAACTGTTTTCGACGATTTTCTTGTCATTTTTTCACTTTTTTTAGGAGGTGTTTATTACTTAATAATAACAGTTAATGAACTGTATAAATTTTTTTCTAACTGTCAAGGGTTACAGAAGAAGTGAAGCATATGTTTTTTTTTCTTTGTTGAATCGTAAATTGTAGTAATTAATCGTTTTATTCAATTTCGTAGGAGCGGGCAAGATGGGGTAGGGGAGAGTGGGGCAAGACGGGGTTCACAAATTAAGCAAAAAAAAAGAGAAATAAGAGAAGTTAAGAAAACTACTAAAATCAAGACTGAATAAAATAAGAGTGACCAAAAAGAAAAAAGCTTGTCAGGTTAAATCATCAATTAGCGATGGTAAAGTGGAAAATACACCTTGTCTCTATTGCAATGGTTATTATTTAGACTGAAATGAAGGCTGGGCTGCTTTTGTTGTCTACGGCCAATGGGCTCACTGCAGTTATGCATGAAGATGAAGATGCAACCTTTACTTGTGAAATTTGTCGACAGAAATAGGTTGTTTCTTTTAGTACCCCATCTTGCCCCCTGATGGGGCAAGATGGGGTGATTTGCAATTTTTTCTATATTATTAATTATAAGCTTTTTTAAGAAACAGATGGCCTTTGTACGCCTTTTTACGAAAGACTGATTCCCAAAGATGATAATTAAAAATAATAATAAAGTATACATATATTCGATAATTTTCGTTTTTTTGCACTTTAAACCTTAAGTACCCCGTCTTGCCCCACTCTCCCCTACAAAGATTTTTGTAAAATGAAGCATTTGGGAAATTGTGGGCCACTTTTTTTAGGGGTAGTATTTATTGCTTGTTTTTGGCGATATAATTGCAAATATTATTAAAATCACTCATAGTAATAGTAATTTAACAAAAACAATTCGTTTCATTGCGATTCATGCGATAAAGCTGTTTACTTAAAAATTTGTAATTAATTAATTGTGATTCCGATTAATTTCATTTTTTTACTTTTTCTTTTCGAATTTTAAACTATGTAATAATTAAACATTTTTAACATTTTTAATATTTCTAACCATGTAATAAATATATTTCATCGTTATTTTTGATTTTGAACTTAATTTTGTCAGCGGCCCACAATTCCCCAACATTTTTAAAAATCATAAAATTGCACTCTTTGGTAAAACTGAAATTTCTTTAAGGCAAGTGATAATTTTGGGAAACTGACTATGATATATGTTAGTTTATACCTCCTACTAACACGAAAAAATTTTTAAATTTGAAAAAAAAATTTTTGTGTGTCAGATATTGAGCTAAAAAAAAGTGTGTCCCACAATTCCCCAATCTCCCCTACATTTGAAAATAATTGAATTCTTGTGATGTATATTGTTATTTATGCAAATAATTGAATTTTGCAAAAAATTTAATTAAAATTTCTGAAAGTAATTGAATTTTTGAGAAGTATTTTGTTTATTTATTAAGATAATTGCGTTAAAACATAAAATAATTGAATAATATTTTAAAAAATTCGTTTTGAAATTAATTTTTATTAGAAGATTTTACGAGAATTCAATTCTTTAAATACGATAATAAATAATTTATTGAATAATTGAATTATTTTGATTAATTTTAAAAAAATTTTAAGAATAATTGATTTTTTCGAGAAATTAATTAACAATTATTTAAAAAATATTTAAAATTCTACGATGAAAATAATTAATCAATTATTTTTAAATAATTGAATTCGAGTGATAAGTTTTATTATTTGTGAAAATAATTAAATTCTTTCGAAGAATTGTAAAACAATTTTTTAAATAGTCCATTATATGCGAAAAATTGTACATATTCCCTAAATTCTATTTCAAATAATTGAATTTCTGTTGTCTTTTTATTATTTATGAAAAGAATTGAATTCTTTCCCTGAATTGCCTGATTTGCGGCAACTCTGATAAATATGTCTAAATTTGTACGTGTAAAAAGTACAGTAATTTACCAGTCCAGGTTGATCTTTACGTAACTGCTTAAAACTTTTCCAAGCTGATTTCACTTTTGCTAATATTTTATCAATTTGCTCAGCTTTTGCTTGAGATCTGCAAAATTGAACGTTTTTTAAACACATTTTTAAAAATCAGTGACGAAGTTTTTTTTTTTTTAAAGTTTCTTTCAACTTACAAATTTGAAATTTCCTTCTTCTCCTTTTGCAATTGATTTTCAACTGTACTGTAACACAATACAATTAAAACAGCACTGCTGGCTGCTGCAAATCCACGAATTTCTAGCACCACAATACCCCTGAAAAGATAATTAAACATTAATTAATAATTAATATTAAAAAATAAAAGGAAAACATGGAAGAATTCATGAACATAGGATAATACTTTTGTCTTAATAAATATAGAAGAATCGTTTTAATTTGATAAAAAGAATCAATAAGAAATGTTTTGTAAACAAATTACTATAAATTTATAGATTGTATTACATAATTTTTATTTAATTTTAAAAGGTGTCAATGTCATCGTTAGTCATTGAAAAACATTCGCAATAAATAGTTTGTTTGAATTGAAATCACGTGACAAAAAAAATCTATACGATAAGAATTATCATCAGAAAATGGGTATTAAAGCCCCCCCCTAAGAGAATATGTATGTATGTATGAGTAAATATACTATGTGTTGAATGTAAATTTATATTTACGAAACATATTTATATTTTTGCTAGCTATGACTCAAACTATAAAAAACATTTTTTTCACTGTATATATTGTGAATGAATGGAGAGGCATTGAATGTCGCAATAAATGCAGTTGTAATAATTATAACAAATTAGCATTGACAGTTAATAAACAATCTACTTACCAGAATAAAATATTAAATACAATAACTACTGAAATGCTATTGACCGAATTTTGCCACAATAGAATACTTTCAACAATGTTGAAAAATCTCCTTGTTGCTTCTGCATTGTCCTTGTTTGTTTGACAATGCCCTGTCGAAATTCTCCTTTGTGTCGGATTATCAGAATCATTACTATTATTATTTTTAAATAATCGACGACTATTTCGTATCCAATTAAAGAAATGCTCCATGGTATTTATCCAGGGTCTCTTTTTCTTAAAGTCGACCTAAACCTCGTTTTCTCTTGGCATGATGTATATATAGAAACTTATTCCAAAAATGCACGCCACTGAATTATTTTTAGCACATGACAACGCGAGATTTTTCAATCTTCATTAGAAAATTTAACGCAGTAACTGTAATGGGTATTTTGATTTTTCCTTTTTTCGTTTAAACTAACACGTAATATTTAGGTGGCCTTCCCTTTCAAACTGCTCGACACTTTCTATTTATCACCCCCGCCAAACCATACTGTCACTAGTATTATTATTTTTCTCTTTTTCAGTTTAGTCAAGTTTAGTTCAAATCATTGCACCGCAAAACAATGCACTTGTTATTAATTTGTGAGGAGAATATTGAATTGTTATTTTTCACAATTTTGACAGTTATTAAACTATTGGTTTTTATTATACGATAGGTTCTATTATCTCTCTCTCTCTCTCTCTCTCTTTCTCTCTGTCTATCCCTCTATGTATGTACATATGTATATACTATGTAGTTAGAATGTATAATAATAATGTTCCTTTTTGTAAGTACTCCTATTCAACAGTATGTACCAGCACCACTGACGTAAAATCGTGCGATCGCACGACTACTCCTCGCTCATCGCGGCATGACACGTGACGCACAAACTGCGTATATGTGGTATATGTAGTTTACTACGACTTTGAAAAATATGTTATTCTTCTTGAGATGAAGAACATACGGTGTGACCCCACCAGCACGTTACATTTTCTTTCCTGTAGTCTTGCCTGTAGTACATTTTTTTATTTGTCATCCTGCAAATTGCAGAGTCAACGCGAAATTCTAAAGTTGAGTCCACAATAGTTGGTCTAGTTTTGCATTATTTTCTTGAAGGTACGGCAGGGATGGGTAAAAGTGTTTTTTTCGGAGTTTTCTACGTATAATACATAAATGACGTATAATACGTAGAAAATTGTAGAAAACCTGGTATTATACATGTCCAGTTCTGCGCATGCGTACAAACCTCACAATAATAATAAAAATCATATGTTTGATTATTTTTTATTTGTTTCCTGGTTTTCATTACTAAATTGTTGCTAAAAATACCAAGAAAAAACCAAAAAAGGTTACATATAAGGTAAGTTTACAAAAAAATGCGTATAATATATATTTATTGATTTTTCATATGGTTTTTTACACACATTTTTTCATAACTTGTATTATATATTTATATAGAACAATTTTAAAAAGACACGTTAATTTATTATTTATTTGAAAATAAACGGGTTTCAAATAAACTTTTTCATACAAAAGTACTAAATTATTATTATAGCTGTATTTTGCAATGTTTTGTTGCAAATAGGACACAGGGCAACATTTTTCCCTTTATTATTTTTGGGAATAAAACACAATTCCTCCCAGGAATTGTGTTTCGGCCTTCCACCTCTTTTGTTAATTTTTTTTTATTTTAAAAAAAGCAATATTGTACAACAATCACTGACACATGGCCTGGCACATGGAGATGTATAACCTATAAATGGGTCTGGCGGCAGCAGACAACCTGACCTGACCACGAACAGTTAGAACTTTGTTTGTGTGCTATTTCTTTAAAACATAAATTTTAAAAAAACTTTTCAATGTTAATTAATAAATTTTTAAATTGAAATTATGTTTAAAATTTATTTAATATACTATTAAAATCACATGTTTCTTGTCTAAAATTTAAAAATCCCGCGCGTCACGCAATGTATGTAAAATACATGACATACGTAGAAAACTAAAGATGTATAATACCACGTATTATACGTGTAGAAAACCAGGTATAATACATCATGTATAATACGTACCCATCCCTGAGGTACGGTCACACGACTTTTGGAAAAACCCGAAAAACCATTCTTGTCTTTCTCTCTCCTATGACCACCTATGACAGAGGCACAAGTTTGTCTCACTCTACGTTTTCCGTTTTTGGAAAAAGTAAGAAAATGTAGAGTGAGACAAATTTATGCTTCTGTCCATAGAAAGAGAAAGACAAGAATGGTTTTTCCAAAAGTCGTGTGACCGTTTTCCCTAAATGCAGGGTTGGGTACGTAAACTACCTAAAGTAATCATCTACGTAGTGTAAGTAATAGATTTGACCAATCAAAATAAGTACTCAAAAAATCCAGTCATCTGATTGGTCAAAATCAACCATTTGGCAAATTCATGAATTCTCTTAGAATTCTACTACAGACCATTTCATGTTTTCTCATTTCTCTTCGATTCGATCGCAGTTGATCGCAGTCATTGAATCAATTTCAATGGAGTTGGAGTAATTTATCCGGTCTGGATTGCATCATTTTGCAGTTATATTTTTACCACTAATTAAATAATAATTGGGTAAAAATAATGTTGACCGCAACGCGAGTATTGTCGAGAGGATGTTCCGGAGTCAGTCGGGATATTTCTAGACGGCATCGGTTTAGTACTCTTTTGAAGAATGTAAGTTACCCACGCCGTCTTCATTTGAACTTTGTTATCAATAATAATTTTTTTTCCATTAAAAGAAAATCGTGCTCATTATATTTATCGCTATTATTTTTGCTCTAAAGTGAATTTATTTAAGTACGTGAATTTTAATATTGAAATTCGTAAATTAAATGATTAATGGAAAAATTGTATTGCAACCGGCACGTGGTTGTGTAAACTGGTGTAAATTAGCCATTTTACGTTAAAAAACGAAATTATCTTTATTTTCTTTTGTTTGCAGAGAACTAGTTCCGTGCTTTCTGTTTCTCCTGAAAAAGTTTGCGATTTACAATGTCGTCACAAGTGAGTAATTTTTTCTTTAGTTTTTTGAGGTTATGGCTCAAGGAGTTTACAACGCATTTACCTATAATTTAAGTTTACTTTTATAATTTTGGTAATTTTCCTTTCGTAATATTTAGTAAAAAAAAAAAGTAATATTTTAATATACAATAAGTAACGATTTGCAATTATTGAATAAAGGTCAGAGGGCGTGAAGGGAGTAGTCATCGGTATAGATTTAGGAACAACTTTTTCTTGTACGGCTGTGATGGAGGGTAAACAAGCGAAAGTTATTGAAAATGCAGAAGGTTCAAGAACAACTCCTTCTTATGTTGCCTTTACAAAAGGTTCGTAACCATCTAAAAATATTCAGGGTTGCTACAGGTCAAGCAAGAGAAAGTATAATTTATTGGTCAGGGATATCAGGGATTTTTATTAAAAGTACTTGAAAAAATTAAATCATAAACTATAAAACTACCACGAATTCTAATACAAAACCTTCAACATTTCTTTCTATTTCTGAAATTGTGATAAAATTCTTTAATTCAATAAATTTCCGTAAAATTGTAATTAAATTCCTTAAATGAAATTAATTATTTTCAAAAGTTGTTAATAAAATTCTTCGTAAAAATTCAATTTTAAGAAACATTCAACTATTCAATAAATTATTTACTTAATTGTATTTAAAGGATTGAATTCTCGTACAATTTTCTAATAAAAATTGATTTAAAAATGTATTTCGGTTCAAATCAGAATATTTCTTAAGATGAGGGAAAAGGTGAAAACTCTGTCTAGAAATCAGGGAAAAGTCAGGAGAAAACAAGTTAAATTTTTGTGGCAACTCTGATATTGGAATTATCCTTAATTTACTAAATTTTCAATTTTAATTAAATTCTATTTAATTTTCAGATGGAGAGCGTTTAGTTGGTATGCCAGCGAAACGTCAAGCTGTGACAAATTCATCAAACACATTTTACGCAACTAAACGACTTATAGGCAGAAAATTCGACGATGCCGAAGTAAAAAAAGAAATGTAAGTAAACTAATTCTTCGTTCTCTTAAAAGAACAATAAGATCTCAACAACATTTATTGCAATAATTGATAAATGTTGTTGCAAATATAGAAAAAAAAATGTTTTCATTAACAGGAAGACGGTGTCTTATAAAATCGTGAAAGCATCGAATGGCGATGCTTGGGTTCAAGGATCCGATGAAAAAATGTATTCCCCGAGTCAGATTGGAGCGTTTGTGCTAATAAAAATGAAAGAAACTGCTGAAGCCTATTTAAATACACCGGCGAAAAATGCTGTTGTAACTGTTCCTGCTTATTTCAACGATTCTCAGAGACAGGCAACTAAGGATGCTGGGCAAATTGCTGGTCTCAATGTTCTCCGAGTAATTAACGAACCAACAGCCGCAGCTCTCGCCTATGGCTTGGATAAGACCGAAGATAAAATGTAAGGTGAATTTATTTTTAGTTTTCGTTCTAATTCTTAGCACTCATCTACTAAAACCTACTTTGTGTCACCAGAATACTAATTAATAATTCCATTAATTAACGAATTCGAAGCCTGAATTCATTAGAATAGCACAAATTAATGACAATTGTTCTTTACAGAATTGCCGTGTATGACTTGGGCGGCGGTACTTTCGATATTTCGATTTTGGAAATACAAAAAGGAGTTTTCGAAGTCAAGTCCACTAATGGCGATACGTTTTTAGGCGGCGAGGATTTCGATAATGCCTTGGTCAACTTTTTGGTCACTGAATTTAAACGTGATGTAAGTTTTCAGTTTATATTCGTACCGAACATTGGACGATTCCTTATTTTACTCATCTGAATTTTTGATTTGACTTTTACAGCAAGGTCTCGATATATCAAAAGACGCGATGGCAATGCAACGTTTAAAGGAAGCAGCCGAGAAGGCAAAAATTGAACTCTCAAGTTCATTGCAAACCGACATCAATCTCCCCTATTTAACAATGGATTCCAGTGGTCCGAAGCATTTGAATCTCAAGATGTCGAGAAGTAAATTTGAAAATCTTGTCGGCGACCTGATTAAACGAACAATTCAGCCTTGTCAGAAGGCTCTTAGCGACGCCGAAGTGTCTAAATCCGACATTGGAGAAGTGCTTTTAGTGGGAGGAATGACCAGGGTTCCTAAGGTGCAACAAACTGTTCAGGAATTATTCGGAAGGCAACCGTCACGAGCAGTGAATCCTGATGAGGCGGTTGCAATTGGAGCTGCTATTCAGGGCGGAGTTCTCGCCGGGGACGTCACTGACGTTTTACTTCTTGACGTCACGCCTCTTTCACTCGGTAACTATTTTTTCAGTCTCACACTCTCACATATTCATGTGATGTTAAATATTAATGATGTTTAGAACTAATCTTCTCTCTGATTCAAGTGAGGAAAAAAGTGTTTTCTGAATAAATAGGAAAATTATATTGCTGTAGGTATCGAATTTATGTAAAATGATGAATGATGAATGAATTTTTCTCGTTTTTCTATACAGGTATCGAGACGCTTGGAGGAGTTTTCACGAGGTTAATTTCGAGAAATACAACCATTCCAACGAAGAAGAGTCAAGTATTTTCGACAGCGGCTGACGGTCAAACTCAGGTAGAAATTAAAGTTCATCAAGGTGAACGAGAAATGGCTTCTGACAATAAACTTTTGGGACAATTTTCTCTTGTTGGAATTCCACCAGCACCGCGAGGTGTTCCACAAGTCGAAGTTACATTTGACATTGACGCCAATGGAATCGTTCACGTCTCGGCCAGAGATAAGGGAACTGGAAAAGAACAACAGAGTGAGTTCATTTTTAATTTACTAATAGAGTTTATAATAATCGTTGTATGAAGTTAGTTACTCATGGTTGCCACACAGCCTGAAAAACCTGGAAATAGCATGGAATTTGAACAAATTTCTGGAATTGTTTTTGGTTAATGAAAGATATTAAGAAAAATTCCATTCAACGTGTTATATTTCTTTAAAAATGTTAACATACAATTTTCCTTTTCCATGTTATCTTCTCTTTAAATTAATTTAATTTTTCTTTTTAATTATTGACTAAAACTGTGAAAAATGTTGTTAAGATTGTTCTAAAAAAAAGGAATTTATATCTTTATTAGTATTACGATTGTCAAAATTTTTTGTTACTAGTTGCTTTTTGTTCAAGATTTTGAACAAAATTTAAAGATTAAAATTATTTAATTTAGACATGACTTGAATATTATATTCATATGACTGATTCTTCTGAAAGTGACATTTTTGATGTCTCGATTAATTTTGCGCAACCTAAATTCTTACTCTTGAGTATGAAATAAAGTAGTTTCAATAGAAAAAACCATATAATTTAAAAAAAAAATAAATTGAAAATCGAATTTCAAAAGTAGCACTTTCAGAAAAATCACCCTTATATAGGTAAGTGTGTATTATTGTCTCACTTTGACAAAAAAATTGCCTGTGATTTTAACTGTTTAAGGGAACATTCATTTATAACTACATAATAATGAATATTGTTAACACTGTTTTGTAAAATACTTGTTTTTTCATCACAAATAATTCCTAAATTTTAACCTGGAATTTTTAATATTTTTGACCTGGAAAACCTGGAAAAAGCCTGGAATTTTGAAATCTAGATTTTGTGTCAACCATGTTACTGTTTGCTTTTTGGTTTCCTAACTTTTCAAATAATTTTATTGTTTTAAAGAATTTATTTCAATTTTCTTGTAAATAATGGAGCTTTTTAAAATAATTTTGATTCGCGCGTATCATTTACTAGTTTAAATAATAATAATTATGCGAGTACGTTATACAAAATTATTTTGAAAAGTACTAATTTTTGATGACTTTTTTTCTCTTACCATGATGTTAATATTTTTCGTCTCTCAAAGTTACTATTTATTAAGTAACATATGTGGACATTCATTACTGAGTATTTTTATTTTAGTTTTATGAAATTTAATTTTATTCACTGTCTGAAGCAATGAATTTAACAAAGAATTAAAAATATTTCAGTTGTCATTCAGTCGAGTGGTGGTCTGAGTAAGGACGAAATTGAGAATATGATTAAAAAAGCAGAACAGTACTCGAGGGAGGATAAAGTAAAGAAGGAAAGGGTTGAGGTTGTTAATCAGGCCGAAGGAATTATTCACGATACCGAGGCTAAAATTGAAGAATTCAAGGCACAGTTGCCACAAGAAGATGTAAGAAAAATTAACATTCAAATATCATCCACAAGTTTTGAACGTTCAATTGAACGAAATCCACTCTTTATTTTTTAATTTTAGTGATGCAAAATTATTGTAAGAAAATTTTAATTTGCAAAAGAAATAAATTTCTTTCATTTTATATTTTATATATAATTTCATTTTGAGTCTTAATGTTTTTATATTTTTTATAATTTCATCTTTTTCTGAGTTAAAATCTAATTTCCTTTTTTTCTCAGTGCAATAATTTGAAGGAGAAAATTGAGAAAATGAGAGAAAGTCTATTGAAGAAAGATGAAATTGATCCCGAGGAACTTAGAAAACAGACAAACGAACTTCAACAGGCCAGTCTCAAATTATTTGAAATGGCATATAAAAAGGTATTTTGAATTTTAAATAAAATTTTTATAATTTAAATTTTCATTTAATCAATCAACTAATTATTTTTTTTATAAATTTTCCACCATGATGTTTATATTTTTCGTCTCTCAACGTTCTTCTTTATGAAGTAACTAACATGTGGACAATCTTTTCTGAGTTTTTAAATATTTGCAATATATAGTATAATACCAAGTTTTAAGCAATTTACTATAAATATAAAATAATTCCTCAGATGGCTTCTGAACGAGAAACTTCCAATCAGAGTACTCAGCAAGAACCGGAAAATCAAGATGAGAAGAAGAAGGAAGATAAAAACTAAATTTATTTTATTTTTTCAACTGAGAAAAGAAAACTGTTAAAATGACTCTTATTTTATTGAATTTTTCTTTTCTATTCTTTACGAAAAATATTATTTCGTATACTATTTTTCTTTCTAAATTTCTAAACAATAAATTATTGTAAATTTTGTAATGTATATATTTAATTAAATTGACGCGGCGTTCAAATCATTTTTACCATGAAATATGGGTATAAATTATGAGTTTGTTTCTTCAAGCCTAAAAAAGGAAAAAAATATGAAAATTCCAGTGATTAAAAGCTTTTGTAAATTTTTATTCTTTTATATATGTATAGAGTATATATAATAATAAATATAAAATAGTTAATGAATTTAATTTCGAACTGAAAGAATGAATAAAAGTTGAATGTATGAAGTGAAATGCAAATTATACACCAACCGTTGTGTATAAATTAATATTAAGATTTAACAGAATTTCGAATTCTGTTTTCAAATGTCATTTCAAATAATACGCACTTTAAATGTTTTCGTTGTTATATTTAATAAACAAAGATTCATTATTTACTTTTCAGTTTTATTTATTAGTCTGAATTTAGTGACAAATCTTTACAACCTTTCCAAGTTTTTATATAATTCAAAGTAATAGAATTCAAATTCTTCTGGAATTAGTTAAGTTTCTAATATAGGTAGGATATTTCATTAATTATTAAAAATAATGAATTCATAGAAGAATTTTAAAAAATTGAATTTTTGAGAAGTTACAAATGATTGCAGAAATTAAATTATTATTAATACAATAAAATTTTAATCGAATTTATCGATAAATGGAATTATTCTTCAAAATTGTATTAAAATTTGTCAAAAGAATTCAATTAATTAAATAATTGAAATTCTACGATGACTTTTAGAATTTATGAAAATAATTGAATTGAGGAAAATTTTTGAAAATAATTGAAATTCTGTCAAGAATTTTATTGAAATTTTTGAAAATAGTTGAATTCTTTAATTTTTTAAAATAATTTTCATAGATAATTTAACATTTAATAATTTCAATGAATTCTTGGAAAGTAATTTCTTATTTATAAAAATAATTGAATTCTTGCGACGAATTTTATTAGAAATTTGAAAAATAATTGAATTGGTTCCATACATTATATCTACTAGAATCTTTACAACTTTTCCAAGTTTTTATAATATTATTAATTAATTTTTAATGTTGATTTTTGAAATGAAATTTGAATTCCGTATTTCTTCGTAACTGCGTGTAACAACTGCGAAACAAATGTATATTGAATTCTGTACTTTAACGTTCAAACGGTTCTGAACGGTTCAAACGACAAGATTGTGCGTGTCAAAAATCGTGAAAATTTAATTAAAATCTTTATAATATCGTCACAATGTCTGTAAGTATAAAGAAATTATTCTAATATTTTCAAATACGAGCTAAGGACAATTCTAATTGAATTTTTGTTTAATTTTTCCAGACACCGAAACAGGTAAATTCAATCGTCAGATTTTCTAACCTAAAAATGTTCTGAGCATTGTTTTTCAATTTTTTTTTCAAATTTTCTTTATTTATAGCAATTGAATGCTCATGGAGATCACAAAGAAAAGAAGAGGAAAGAAAGTATTTTAGATCTCTCGAAATATCTTGAGAAAAATATCAGAGTGAAATTTGCCGGTGGAAGGGAAGCGGCAGGAATTCTTAAAGGTTACGATCCACTCTTGAACTTGGTACTCGACAACACAATAGAATATCTTAGAGGTAAATGTTTACACAATTATTAGGTAATTACAATTTATTTATAAGATTTATAATAATTCTTAAAACTTTCATTATTTGGAAATTAAATATTTACTAATATCTAATTACTGAAGGTAAATAAATTTATCACGATAGTCAAGTCTGAATGCTTTAAATTTGAATTGAAAAAATAAATTTTCAAGACAAAAAATCGGTACATTTATAATAAATTGTCTGAAAAGAATAATTAAGATAATGATTTACTTATTTTGAATTCATTGGCTAAGAATTGGAAATTATAGTTTTAATACCTAGAAGTAAAAAATGTTCTGTTAGAATTAAATTTTGTTTTGAGGAATAAAAAGTGACATAATAAGAATAATATTCTCGCAGATCACGATGACCCGTACAAGTTAAATCAAGACACACGACCACTTGGTTTAGTCGTATGTAGAGGCACATCAGTTGTCCTGATTTGTCCCGTCGATGGAATGGAATCTATACAAAATCCTTTCATCCAACAAGAAGGATAATTAAACTAGTCATCTAGAATTAATTATAACTTTTTTTTTGACAATCTTTTTTACATTATAAGAATTTTTCAAATATTCGAATCCGAAACGATATGGAAAATTTAATTTCACCTTAAACATTTGATATTTTCTATAAACAAATTACAAGTAAAATAAATTTCAACGTAAATCATTCGTAATTTTATCTGTACATTTATTTTCAATAAATATGACTTGTAGTTTTAAAAACTTTTCTTAGTACTTTTTACAGTTGTTTGTCTTTCTAGGAAAACTATTAACTAATTTTTAGTATTTTCTTTTTGATATTTTCGTAGTTTTTCACAGAGTACAGTTTATCTTATTTCTATGAGAAATTAATAGACAATGTATTTAAATTTTTTATAAACAGAATGTTTGAATTTTTTGGAATTAAGTTTTTTAATCAAGTTTTTTGTGTATTTTCTATTTTGTATATTTGATTTTGTTAATCCGAGCCAAATTCGTTTCGTAGCCATGGATACTGTTTGGGACATTCGAAGCAAGTGTGAAGATAACGATACGACTTTAGAACTCTGCTTGGTAATTTACAGGCAGTCGGCAAATCACAGGCAATTTCGTATGGTTCGAATTGTTTGTTACATCGCCAGGACTCAAACATTTGTAAATTATTCACTGGTGTTGGATAACGTAACCATTCTAGGGCCTGATGACTGGTCACAAAATAGACGTCCGACAATCGAAGAACTTCATCCATAAATTTCTGTTGGAAAAAATAATTATGTTAATTCATTTCTGTTAGAAACAATAATTTTGGTAATTAATTTACGCTAGAAAAAATAATCATGTTAATTAATCAGGGTTGCCACAGATCAGGACAAAGTAATGGAGACAATTTAATTTTAAAAATTCATAAAACAACTTTGAATTTTAGTGCCTTTTCTCTTTAACTCATAAACTATAAAATTACAACGAATTAGAATAATACAAAACCTTCAATTTTTTCATTTATTCTAACAATAATTTCTTTTTGAATAACTTAATTTTTCAAGAACTATGATAAAATTATTATTTAAAAATTCTTTTATTATTTATTCTGAACATGATTGCAGAAATTCAATTATTTTTCAAAATTCTCAATAAAATTGCAATTATATTTATAAATATAATAAAACTATAAAATAAAATCTATACGCAAACATTTAATTATTTCCATAAATAATAAAAATTTTACTCAATAATTCAATAAATTTCTAAAATTCTAATAAAACTCTTCGCAAAGATTAAATTACCTACTTATAGAAATAATAAAATTCTTCTCAAGAATTCAATTCATTTCTAAAATTCTAATAAGAATCATGGAAGCAATTTAATTATTTTCAAAAATTTCAATAAAATTCTTGACAAAATTCAAAAGAATTCAATTATTTGCAAATTTTCTTTAAAATTCCTTAATAATAATAATTCAATTATTTTAATAAATAACATAAATAATAAAACTCATCTCAAAATTGCAATTATTTTTAATACAATCTTAATCGAATTTCTCGATAAATAGAATTATTCTTATAAATCGTATTAATATTCGTTGAAAGAATTCAATTAATTAAATAATAATTGAATAGTCTTTTAGAATAGAATTCTCATACAGAATATTTTATCAACAAATTTTCAAATAATTGAATTCTTTTGACGAATTTCAATGCAATTTTCAAGAATAATTATATTTTTTGAGAAATTCGATTTAAATTGAATTAAAAATAATTGTAATTCTGCGATTAGTTTTATTATTTCTGAAAATAATTGAATTCCTAAAAAATTCTCGTAGAATTTTCTAATAAAAATTGATATAAAAATTTAGATAATAATTGAATATTAAAAGCATTATTTATAACATGAATTTTTATAAATAATTCAATTTTTTATAAGTTTTCAAAATAAAATCTTTGAAAATTTTAAATTTTTTCTTACATTTTAACTAAAAATTCTGCAGACTTTTTCTTTTTTTGAAAACGTTGAATTGATTTTTGTTTTAGAAATTATTTCATGTTTTTATTTCCTAATATGTAATTAATTGAAGAATTTCTGAATAAATGAAATTTCGTGTAAAATTGAATTGTAAACAAATGGATTTGAAAATTCTCAATAAATTATGTCAAAAAGTATTAAAAATAATTGATTTAGAGAAGAATTTTAGTTAAAATTTGTAGAAAATAATAATTCAATTGAAATGTTGAAAATAATTTTGAACACGTTCCAGTAACAATATCCTTATAATATAAAATTTTTATCACTTTCTTCTTTAATTATTATAAGTTGAATTTAAAAAAGGTTTGAATTTGAATCTTTTGAAGAATTTTAATTCCTATGTAAAAATAATAATGATTAAATATTTATTTAAAAATGAAGTTATTGATGTTTTGGAATAATTTTACAATTAATAATGAAATTCGTAAATAAATGTATGTAATAGAACATTTTTTTGTGTATCTACCTAATAATTTTTAGAGTGAATCAGAATACTTATTCTTTTTAGAGTCAATTGTGTTAATTAATTTCTATTAGAAAAAATAATTTTGTTGATAATTAATTTCCGTTAGAAAAAATAATCATGTTAATTAGGTAATTCCCGTTATAAAAAGAACCTAGGTAATTATGATAATTTTAACTTTCTGAAATTGTCTATAGGTAAAAACCGTTTCATTAATAATTTACGTTGCTCTTCTTTTTTTGTGTATGTATTTTTTAGCTTTATTCTAATTATATTAGGATCTCACCGTGAAGGCATAATTGTAAGCGGAATTTTGAAGCCAAGCTGAATGTAAATGAAGACCGAGTGGCGCTCGATTACTCAAGTAATGTCGTTTAAAGTTCAACATCAACATTTTGTACACATCTTCGCCAGAGAGATTCACTGGACAGGTCTCGAAGGTTGGACACGTGTAATCCTGAAACACAATTTATAACTTGACATTATCTTTTTTTTCATTTCAGTTTTATTATTTCAAAAAAAAAAAATAAATAAATAAATAAAATAAAAAGAAGAATACTTGCACCGAGGATCAATTGATTGAGAGGAATTTCCCAAATTCCTGGATAGGAACGAGTGGGACAAACTTGACTGGGACCGACGCAACGATGTGGTATCTTGTAATCCAAAGTATAAGGCCAAATTGGCGGATCGGAGAATGGTGCAATTATCGAAGAATCGTATTCGAAGCCAAATTCGGACATCATGAGAAATTGACGATTCCATCCTAATCGTAAAAATGGTGTTCTTGTCCCTGAGAGGTAAATATTTTATTTTCTTTAAATTCAGTTTGGAATTTGAAAGAATTGGTAAATTACAACATTTATGATAGATATATAAATTAATTGATCGATTGAAATTTAATAGAAATCGAATACCCTTGATATCTCCGATTCGAACTGCTGCATATTTATTTATAATATTCGCAACTCCGACCATTTCATCAAACCAGTCTTCTAGAGTCGCATTTCGCGACCACCAATCCTCGGGTCCTCGATGACTGTATTGAAATTCATTTTATTTTCAAATATCAATTTTAATTTTTGAATAACTTCAGATATCAAATTTTTAAATTTCACTTATTATTATTTTCAAAAATTCTAATAGAATTCTTTACAAGAATTCAATCATTTTTTAACTAATAATATTACCTATTTTTTCAATATTTCAATTATTTTCAGTACAATTTTAATAAAATTTCACGAAAGAATTCAATTATTTTCTAAAATTTAAATAACATTCTTAGAAATAATTTAATTATTTTCGACAATTTTAATTAAATTCTTTGCAAGAATTCAATTATGTATTTCCATAATTTTATTACTCCACAGAATTCAAATAGGTATTTTTTAAAGTTTTAAATAAAATTTTTTTATAAGAACTTATACATTTTAATTAATTTCCTCAAAAGAATTTAAATTATTTTAAAAAATTTTTCAAACAATTTAATTATTTCACAAAGTTTAATAAAATTCTAGAAAAGAATTCAATCATTTTCATAAATAATAAAATTCTTTGAAAGGATTCACTTACTTTTAATTTAATACAATATTAATAAATTTTGATAAGATTTGTTTAGATGAATTCAATTATTTTCCGTATATTTTCTGTGAAAAAAATTCAATTAATTGCAAAAAGTAGTAATAAAATTCAATCATCAAATTTTGAATTCCAATTATTAACAAATACTATTATTTTAAAAACTTGAAAGAAATTCTTTGTATATAATTCAATTGCTTACGATATTTTCAATTAAAATTATTAACGAAATTACATTATTTTCAAAGAACTTGAAGAAATTCTTCAAAAGAATTTAATTATTTACGAAAACTTTAATAAATTTGTCAAAAAAGATTAAATTTTAATAATGATGAAATTATTAATTACAATTATTATCAAAATCGGTTATAGGTATTAATTAATATACATGTTCTCGAAAGAATTGAATTATTTTAATAAAATTCTTTGAATGAATTTAATTATTCTCAAAAATAGTAATATAATTCTGAAAAGAATTCAATTATTTTTAAAAAATTGTAATCAAATTGAATAAAATCAAATTTTTAATTACAATTATTAATTTCAATTTAATTCTTTTTAGTATTTTCCTGATATTTTCACTAATTTTGATGTTCCGAAAGTGATTAACGTTCAAATGAACGACAATATTTTTATTAATGCTTTTAGTTTACATTTCATTAAAAAACTATTTTTTTTATGTAGAAAAATTAAGTCTTAAGTAAGTAAATTTTGAATTTCTATTAATTTGCAATTGAAAAAGTAGTCATTTTTAAAAATATTGAAGTAGGAAAAAAATTTCATTTATTTGAGCTTTTGGAATTTTAGTAGATATAATTTAATTTGTTTTCATTTATTTTCAGAAATTGATTCACTTAACTAGGATCATAATTGCAGAAAAGAAAAGAAAATCGAAAAATTTCCTTTATTAGAATGGTATTGTTAAACTGACAATTTTTATTTTTAGAATTGTTGGAAAATACTTACGTGACAGAATGGGTGGCAATTTCATGACCGGCATTCCAGAGATATTGGACGTCTCTATAATTCGTATATTGATGACTGATATAAAAAGTAGCTCGAACAGGACAACCGTTTGGATTTTTTCTCTCATCCGTAAAAATTTCTTAGTGTTCAAAGAAAGAATTAAAATTATGACAGGTAAGTTAATTATTAATTAGTAATTATTAATTTATAGACTTTT